ATTTGTAGCAGTATCTACTGAAAAAGAAGAGGATATATTCAAGATTGAAAGATTTTCCAAATGGATTCGCTTGATCCGAACTACTTCTTGGGTAAAAAGATACATAAACAAGTTATTAAGGAAAGTAAGAAAAGAAGACATTAACATCCCAAAAGATCTGACAGTGCAAGAAATGAATGCAGCCGAAAAATATTGGATAGAAAAATCTCAACAGCAAAGCTTCTGGGATGATATCTGTACCCTGAAAAAAGATACAGCTTTAGACCGGAGAAGTCGTCTTAAACAATTGTGTCCCGCGCTTGATGAAGATGGGTTGTTAATTGTAGATGGTAGACTGAATTTGGCTACTCATATGGAATACCGAACAAAGAAACCATATATTCTTAGCCCAAAGCATCCATACACGAAGCTCATGTTGCAATACTATCATGATAAATTCCGACACCAAGGTATAGAAACAATTCTGAACGACGTGAGACAACGATTTTGGATCATCGATGGGAGAGCTGCAGTGAAGTCAACATTCTCCAGTTGTCTTAGATGCAGAAAATCGAAAGCGAAACCTGTGGTGCCAAAAATGGGACAACTACCAGAAGTACGGTTGACTCCAGATGTTCGAGCCTTCGTGAATGTGGGTATGGATTATTTTGGACCCCTGCAAGTTTGCGTTGGCCGTCGTCGAGAGAAGAGATGGGGTGTTCTGTTCACTTGCATGGCAGTTCGGGCTATTCATCTAGAGGTTGCGCATACTTTAACCACCGATTCCGCTATCATGGCCATCAGGAGGATGATAGCACGACGAGGAAAACCATCAAAGATCTTCAGCGATAATGGAACAAATCTCCGTGGAGCCGCCGAAGAGTTGAAAAAATGTCTAGCAGAAATGAATACGTCTGCTTTGCATGATACAATGGCTTCAGAAGGTATTGACTTTCATTTTTTACCACCTGCAGCGCCACACATGGCCGGCGTCTGGGAGCGGCTGATTGGTTCTGTTAAGAAGACCATTGGAGTTGCTTTATATAACCAATCTCTCAGAGATGAAACTCTTCTGACACTATTAGCAGAGGCGGAAAACATAGTAAATTCACGTCCACTAACCTATGTTTCTGTTGATGCTGTTGATCCTGAGGCGTTGACTCCCAATCATTTCTTGATTGGATACGGGAATCAGAACGGACCAGTATGTATCAGCGAATCAAACTCATCATTGCGTAAACAGTGGAAGAAATCCCAGATGTTAACAGATATATTTTGGCGTCGATGGGTCAAAGAGTATTTACCACGGCTAAATAAACGATCTAAGTGGACAGACGATAACCAAGAGATCAGAGTTGGAGATATTGTATTAATAGCAGATGACAACATACGGAGAAATGCTTGGACAATGGGAAAGATAGAAAAAGTATTTCCAGGGCCCGATGGAAGAATAAGAGTTGCCGAAGTGAAAACTAGTACCTCTACTTTCCGGAGGCCAGTCAAGAAATTATGCCGTTTAGAAATAAGTAGTGAAGAAAAATAACTTCCTTCACCGCGGGGAGAATGTCACGGCTAATTTATATTTTAGTTAATTCTGTACACATAGTATTAGGGGATTTTGACAGGAAAAGTCATTGAGTCAGAAATAGATAATTGTAATGGTCAGATTCGATACGAAATAAAGTGAAAAGGTTTTCTGAAAGTTGAAATCTTTATATTAACGATAACAACCACAAATACAAAATATGTAGGATGCAAGAGTGAAAATGACGTGTCTGTAAGTTATACTGCGTATACCTACTTCTCTGTTACTTTCATCAATAAATTATTCGAAAATTACTTTTTATTCAGGGGAGACGGAAAAATCATATGTATAACATTGGGGGTAAAGTATATTGTATCATTTATTTTCCTGCACATTTTACGAATTACTTTTCATCAGCCTTGAGCCTACTTTTCGTCCCAGATGAAGTATTATACATAGTGTCATATTAGTCACTCCATAAATTCTTCTCAGAATTGTATTTCCGAAAATATATTTAGCACACATGACATGCATACAGTATTTCAGATACCCACATCGAGGTTTCCACCATTTCTCAATCATAAGGCTCAGCTCATTCAGTTCATAGATAAATTTCTGCTCAGCTTGAAGTCAGAATTCATTAAGTCAATCAGTCAACCCTGATTTACAGTCTAAGAACAGTCTCTTTTGCTGAAATATATTAAGCTTTCAGTACAATTTATATGATTCCTACCTCGCAAAGATTATGCTGGAGTAGTAGACTCTAAAACTAGAGGATTGTTTATCTATATCTTGGTATAGTCATTGAGTATTGAATCAGGAATTCCATATGGAAATTACGTATGATACGCCAGTGACCTCAATATAACCTAAAAAACAACGAATGTCAAAAATCTAGTGTCTATCCCCAGAATTGAATAAGGATGGAACTATATAACTGTTTCACAAACACTTTGGAGTGAGAGGACACGAGGATCTGTCCGTACCCTGTTAAGATGACTTCAACGTCAATTTCCATCAAGGGACCCTAGGAAAGTTTTGATTAGAAATTCGTTCGGAATATGAAGAAGCGTATGATATCATTGGAGTTCAAAAAGGGTATTATTGTTATTTGTTTTATGAGAGTGATATACGCTGATTACATGGATTGGATTGCACAGATTTTATAGGTATATCGACGGCAAAGGATGTATGCTGAAGCCAATGTAATTCACTTCCCACGGGAGTTAATATTTCTTTTCTCCCGTGGGAGTAAATTGGCAACTTTGTTTCCTTAAATGAGGGAACAAACGCCTACTTTAGATTCAGTGAGTAGTTGAATATAATAGTAAAATATTATATAAAAAAGACACAAAAGAAATTTGGAACATTTTTATTTTCACAGTTGTAGGAATAAAAAAACTTGGAACTACTAGAATGGATTTTACTGGTAATAAATTTTCGGTCAATTGTGCCACTCGCTCTAGGATATTATCGGGAATTTCGGGGTTTTCTTCTGACTTCATTTTGTCGGTATGAATTTGATTGACAGAGAAAAAACAATGCTGACAATACAGTGTTTGGGATGTATGATTTGTTCCATGGTTATTCTCAAAGTTTTTCCGTGTTCTAGCGAGAGCTAGCCCAAAAAAGCCCAATGAGATGATTTGAAAAAATTATAATAGAAATATCGGTAATTTTGCACTTATCATGCGATGGGTTTTTTTTCGAAAATTTTTTTTGGTACTCACGTATTTTTGTCTGAAAACACGAATTTGATAATGAAAATGTGAACAAACCACTATTTATCAAGATATTTCAAGAAAAAGTTCGAAATTTTGTCTTCTTTTCCCCATTGTGTTGGATGCATTTACAGGTAGGTACTTGCTCTTATTATTTTGTCATTGGACACTTTATATACTCATGCTCATGATGTACTTCACTGACACATTTTGATAGATAGAAAATTCAACAGGAAATATGATTTTTATGGCGAGTTTTTCCTATTTAGTGAGCAAGCATACCAGATGACGGCCATTTAATCCATATGCAATCCAAATACGAGATGTCAAATGTCAATACATTGCTTTGGAATGACATTACACACGCCATTATTTCAAATGATATTCTTCCTTCTTTTCACTAAACATGGATAAATCACAAGAAAATCATATTTCTAGTTGACTCATATAATAAAAAAAATGTGTCCAACATTGTGTGATATATATACATTGTCCAATGATGGAAAAAGAAGGGCAAATTGTTCTAAATGTGATCCAGAAGACAGGCGGAAAAGATGGTGAAATTTGTAACTTTATAGTGAAATATCTTGATAAATATTGGTTTGTTCACATTTTCATTATCCAATTCGTGTTTTTCAGACAAAAATACGTAAGTACCAAACAAAATTTTCGAAAAAAAACCCATCGCATGATAAGTGCAAAATTACCGAAATATCCCCTCAGATAATAAAACAGTCTGAACCAAATTTTTTGCGTTTTTGTTACAGAAACGTGACCCTTTCAGAGTAGATTTATAGAAATAAAGTCATTCCTAGCACAAAACAATTTTGGTTGACCTTGTGCTTGCCCAGAATATACAGGCCAGAATTGCACAGTACGTCAAAATTCCTTATAAAATAATATAATATATAATCTTGGTCCCTGGGTAATAATGATATTCTTTAACTGCGTACAAATGCTATGTGCGATACATTATTGAATCGAGATGTTCATGGAGATTTCAAAAATTGAATAATTTATGGGGTGTTTCATTTGAAAACATTGCCGCTGACGTCTCAACTCAAACTGGGTCACCCAGTATATCTGTTATTTACTCATAAATGAGGAATATCGAAGATGAAAATCGACCTGTTTTAGGATATTTCTCAGGAATAGATAGTGTCGTGTAGGTGTTTATAACGACCTTTTCAAAACATGCATACCCCTTGAGGGTACTTACTCCATAGACTTAATTTACTTACTCGCTCGGCTTTGAGAGGGATTTTGTTATATCGTGGAACAAAAAGAAATAAAAAGAGTATTTAAAAATGTGAAAGAAACGTATTTATTGAATGAAATAATTATATTGGTACTTACAATTTGGATATCAGAGGATCCATCTTCAATGGGCACAGGGACGACGTAGACTGACTTCGTATTTTTCATAATCAAATTCCAACCAATATTTCCCTCTCTGATTGTTTATTAATTTCTGTATCTCAGCAGTTTTAGATTCAATGTATTTTCCGTTCAACCTGAGTTCATACAAGTTATGGAAATATTAGTTGTAATAGGAAACTTTAGTTCCTATCTAGGTATGAGTGTCATGCAATACATTGGATTTGAAATGAATGTTTTTCTTTTTTATTAGGAATAATTATGTTCGAATTCAAATAGTTGAAAATTTGATTAGGATTTACTACATGACAATAGTTTGGCTAAACATGTATTTACTCAGTACTTTACGAAAGCACTGTACATGGAGATTGAAAGAATTATGTTCTGTATTGATCCAGCACCCGTACATCCACCCCATCAGGCTGTGCCTGTGCACCGACACGGGCGGCCTCGTAGCGAGGGCGGCCCATCGGGGCGGCACCCTGCGCGACACCCTCTGCGGCGGCAACCCGCGCCAGTCCTTCCTCAAGAAGTACGGCAACCCGAAAGGGCACAAGGCGCTGCCCTCGGAGCGGGTGGCCAAATACGGCCGCCACATCTTGGAGGCGTTGAAGTTCCTGCACGACAAGGGATTGCCCTACGGTAGGTGACTAGATAACAATAAATAGACACCGCGAAACGTTCAAAATAGTATATTATGTAACAAGTGTTATGAACGTCCTTTTACTAACGAGTATTTTAAGCAGGAGCGGAGCGAGTGTTTAATAAACGAGTGTCTAGAAGAGTTTATAAACGCGTTACATACTATGCTTTTGCTACGAACTCCGAAAATTACATTAACATAGGTACCTGCTATTCCTGCTAACCTACAAAATAATTCGAATGGAATGGGAATGGAGAACATAATACATGCAACTGCATGCAACCAGCGAGACACGTATAAGTAATATTGGTTGTAGATGTGTCCAGCCCATTGCTTACTAACCTTTGTTTCACGTTTATTGTCATGCTTAGCGCAGAATAAACAAATTGTTCTCAAAGATGGATGCTTCATTTTTACACTTCTTGGAGATATGCAAGTACCAGAACATTCTTTTTGATTTCACTTTCGTCTACATTTCTCATATATTTTTAATGAAGAATTCTGATACAAACGAATATTTTTGAATAATCCTGATACAAAATTTGAAAATAACAGTTGACATTTAATACATTTGACAGGCCAGACATGTCTCAAATTACTGAAGCTGTGTTTAATGAACTGTGTTGCCATGGTAATATGTTTGAGAAATCGTGTTGCCATGGTAACGTGTTTAATATTTTGAATAAACCACAGATCGTCAATCCGTGATTAATCGATCATTTAGCGTGGTACTTATCCGTACGCTAAATGCCATTTTAGTTATGTGAATAGAAAAATCTTCATAAAGTATACCAATGCCCCAATACCAATAATCATAAACGCCAAACACGAATGAATGAATATAATCGTGAATGGTGGGGATAATAAGAGTCACTTGTGCATTTGCAGTTGAGTGCTCAGACTGAAGAATAATATATATAGTTTTTTTATGTTCTGGTTCCTACGAAAAGGGATATCCTGTAAATGTTCAGAGAACATCGTAAGAACCAGGGGAAATAAGGTAGGAATTGGTGTTCTTCTTAAATTTCTGGAGGTTATATGCCTCGGGGAACACCTCCTTTGGCAATGTATTACAGAGCCTCGCTGTTCGTTGGATGAACGAGTCTTTGGAAAGAGGTGTTCTGCAGGTCTCCAAAGTGATCACGAAGGGGTGCGAAGCCTCAACTCGACGGGTTAATCGCGCGGGGACTGCCAAGGTAGGAACAATTGTTGATATTTCAGAAGAGCATCGTCCATGAAAATATATATAAAAAAGAGCCAGATTGCCAACTTTTCTACGGTGTTCCAGAGAAATGAGTGAGTTTGTGAGCGAGGCATCACCCACGAGATTTTTTGGGAATTTCTCTCCTCGTTTATATAAAATAAAAATATGAATATTATTTCAATATACGTGTAGTAAAGATAAATCAGATGATTTGCCCCAAAAAGTCACTGCGTTTAAAGAATTTTCTTATCAGAGAGCCTAAAAGAAAAATTCACTAGCTTGTCAGTGACAATTTGTATTGAAAAAAGTTTGGAGTAGAAAAATAAAGGAATGTAGAAAAAATATAAACTTTTTACTCAGCTTTGGACGTTTCGGGAACGAATCTGTTCCCGTTTTCAACACGAAAAATGGATTTTTTGTATCGCAAATTCGTATTTGTTCTGACACTTTTCAGTTATCCTTGACAATTGGTGACGTTGGCAATCAACAAAGAGGAGCAGTTCGATTGAGACAATAAAATGTTATGGATGGATGTAGCAATAGTAAATTCAAGGAGTGTGGATTGAAGTAATTGTCTGATTGGTTGGGAGTATTTTCAAAGCAGACTGTGTACATACTATAGCCTTCGTTTGTTGATATTCTGAATATCACAAAGTACACACAAGCTTACCCTTTGTTTAATAATAGGTATTCCCTTTCGTGCACTCCAAGCGATAAAAAAAAGTCGATTCATCCTACTGTTTTCAGAAGAAATCACAGATCTAGTGAAACACTTGCAACCCCCCGTACAGGGTATCCCAATTTGGGCACTTTTGCGGGGTATCTCTATTATCAGTAAAGATAGAGCATTGCGGTTTTCGCGACAGTGTGCTACTTTTTTATGAAATTAATAATGGCGCAAGCAGAATTGTGGTAGCTCTTCCGGTTGTCTAGATACAGGGTGGAATTGAAAAATATCACCCCCGTGTCTCAGTTATCTTTGAACTTATCGAAGAAGTTAAAACTTGTTTTTATAGAATTTTTCTCGTAGAATCCAGTGGCGTAGTTATTTTTTGCTAGCACCTTTTGTTTTTTAGTTATGGAGCAAACATATGTTTTTTTAAATGGAAAATAATTGTATACAATTATATATTTTTGGAAAGCCCACTTCATGCTCAATGTATATATGAAATAATATACAGGGTGTTCCATTTAAAAAAACATATGTTTGCTCCATAACTAAAAAACAAAAGGTGCTAGCAAAAAAATAACTACGCCACTGATTCTACGAGAAAAACAAGTTTTAACTTCTTCGATAAGTTCAAAGATAACTGAGACACGGAGGGTGCCTGAAAAGTGATATTTTTCAATTCCACCCTGTATCTCGACAACCGGAAGAGCTATCACAATTCTGCTTGCGCCATTATTAATTTCATTAAAAAGTAGCACACTGTCGCGAAAACCGCAATGCTCTATCTTTACTGATAAGGGAGATACCCCGCAAAAGTGCCCAAATTGGGATACCCTGTACATCCCTTTCTCTTCCAGGCCACCTGCACACCGGCAACGTGATCATCGACGACGACGATCGCGCCAAGCTGCTCGACCTCGAGAACGGTGTTTTGGGCGTCCCATCCTTCTATCGGCCCTACTTCATGCAGCACAAGAAGATCCACACCATGGAGGCCGTCGACGTCTACTGCTTCGGTCACGTGCTCTACGAGATGGCGTACGGCGCGCCGTTGCGAGAGAGTATCACCGACGACATCGAAGACGGACCTGCCAGTGAGTCCTTCTTTGGATTTCTTCTCCTTCTTGTTTCTTTAACGTCGGCCTCTTTTTGCTACTGAGGCTAATCACCGACGCCGGTAAGCACACTAGCCCCGTCAACGGGAAATTTTGCCTGATCTTTAACGAGTCCAACATCCATGGCCTCGGGACCGCCGAAGGACGGCCTATCCGTACCATATCTTGTGCTCATTGGTATGGTAGCTGTAGCTATGATATGCTATTTCGCTACAGATGTGCGGACTTATGCGGCGTTGCTTTGAATGGTTACCCATCCAAGTACTAACTGCGCTCCACACTGCTTCACATCAGCTATCGAAAGTATTAAAGTCGTTTATTTACTTTACCTAGTTACAATACAACACAAATTTCAAACACATTGTTTTATTATAGATCTGGTGCATCTGCTTGTGCGCTTAGATGTCCCTCCGCTTAGCACAGAGGTGGCTGGTGTTGGCCAGGGAATGTGAGAGGATTTGTGAAATGTTCATCACAGAGACCCATCTTCTAGGGCTAGGCCCTTTATATAGGTAATCTCGCTGTAGGTACCCAGATGGACGAGGGAGAGAGAGTGTTTCCGGTTTATGGAGGAAAAATAAAATCTTGAAAAACAAAATACCTCCTTCTAAGATATCGAATGTGTAGTGCCTTATCTGAGAAGCTGGGGTCATGCCCCTTCTTTGAAAATATTCGTACAGCTTCTACTTTTACATTGAACTAGTTTTCAATACTTAGAGGTATATTTCAATGAATAGGATTGGTGGATAAAGCGACTCAAGTAGTCAGTTAGTGGTACCTGTCATCAGAGTGGTATTCTGAACTAGTAGTACCACTTTGCCAGCGATATAAACGAGGAGTCTGTACGTTTGACTATAGATGGCAGCATCACAGACGGTGTGTCGTGATTTTCATGGTCCTATCTTAAAGCAATACCCACTTGATGGCGATAACATGACGACATTATCATGTAATACCCTGCGTTTCACTTTTAGTTTTCGAGATTTGTACTCGTTTGTAAAGGCGATTATTTCTGAGGCCTTTACTTTGGCGCTTTCGGGACATAGACTTCTGGGACCTGTTTCAGATAACTCGGGCGTCAGATTTTTCATGAAGGTGATTCACTTCACCTACTCCTACAAACTGAATTCGAGAGGAGGGCTAGGTAGTAAGGGTGAGGAAAGGCACAGGAGATGTCTACAGTGAACCAAGGGTAAATGTTATTGAGTGAGTCCTTTTTTGGAGACACCGACAACTCTTGGATTTCTACGGAAGTCTAGAAGAGTCACGAATCATTTGCTACTTCAGGCGATCGAAATTCCGTCCTTCTCGAAAATTTGACCTCGAGAACGACGTTTTGGGCGTGCCGTCCTTCTACCGGCCCTACTTCATGCAGCACAAGAAGATCTACACCATGGAGGCGGTCGACGTCTACTGCTTCGGTCACGTGCTCTACGAGATGGCCTACGGCGCGCCGTTGCGCGATTATCACCGACGACATCCAAGAAGGAACTGCCAGTGAGTCCTTCTTTGGAACTCTTCTTGTTTCTTTAACGTTGGCCTCTTTCTGCTACTGAGGCTTAATCATCGACGCCAGTGAGCACACTACTCCCAACCGAAATTTCTGCCGATCTTCAACGAGTCCAACTTCCATGGCCTCCGGACCTAAGGCTTAACGTCCCCTCTAACGTCCCCTCTATCTTGTGCTCATTGATATGGTAGCTGTAGCTATGATATGCTATTTCGCTACAGATGTGCGGGCTTACTCGGCGTTGCATTGACTGGTCACCCATCCAAGTACTAACCGCTCTCCACACTGCTTCACTTCAGATATCGAACGTATTGAAGTTGTTTATTTATTTTTATATTACAACACATATTTATATCACAGAGGCCTATCTGCTAGGGCAGAGCCCTTCATCTAGGTGGGCTCACCGAGAATACCCAGAGGGTGGGGGAGTTGATCTGTCAAAATCTGTCGCGATCAGTGATGGTGTCTCGTGGGGTTGGAGGAAAATAAAAGGGTAAAACAAAAACCTCCTTCCCATTTGTGATATCGAACGGCTAGTGCATTATCTGACAAGCTGGGGCGATCTCCCTTCTTTGGAATTATTCGTACAGCTTTTACTTTTACATTGAACTAGTTCTTATTACTTAAAGATATATTTCAATGAATAGGTTTGGTGGATGAAGCGACACAAGTAGTCAGGTAGCGGTATCTGTCATCAGAGTGGTTTACTAAACTAGTAGTACCACTTTGCCAGCGTTATAGACGTAGGGGTCTATACGTGTGACTATAGATGGCAGCATCACAGACGGTGTGTCGCGATCTTCATGGTCCTACCTTAAAGCTATACCACTAGATGGCGATAACATGACGACATTATCATGTAATACCCTGCGTTTTCCTTTTACTTTTCGACATTTGTACTTGTTTGTAAAGGCGTTTATTTCTGAGGCCTTTACTTTGGCGCTTTCGGGACATAGACTCCTGGGACCTGTTTCGGATAACTCGTGCGTCACATTTTTCATGAGGGTGAGTGACTTCACCTACTCCTCCAAACTGAGTTTGTGAGGTGGCCTAGGTAACAATAGTGAAGAAAGGCACAGGAGGGGCCAAGTGTAACCGAGGAGTACATGTTATTGCCACGAGAATGTAAGCTTTAATTACAAACCCTGGGTTTAGCCTGAAATACTGGCTACTAGAGTTGTTGTTGCAAAAGATAGTTTTCTCAGTCAATCTTGAGTGTTTTTACTCCACAGAAATCTTGTCATTGACAAAAATGGGGCAAGGACAAGCTGAATCCGTGATTCCGATCGGTTAAACATCACCTTGTCACGGCCACAGTAATCTACTGGATTTGGCCTCGAATCTATTACCTTTGCCTAAGCTACCGATTGAGTTTGTATCGAAAATATCCAATAACAAGAAAGTTATGATCTGGCAAAATTAATTAAATTGATTAATTAAATAATTCAGATTTATCACGTTTTTGGGTTTCCAGCTTTTGAACAAGTGAAATTCAAATAAAACCGCTTTCAGCAGCTCCAGATCCAGTCTGACTCAAAATAATTCATTACGAATTTATGTGATGTACTTTGAGCATAGGTGAAATTCGTATTTCATATGATCTTCCTTTCAGAAAAAATACTGGTGAAAATCCTGTCGACCGACGCTTGCCGCAACGGTCTTCCAAGCATCGCCGACCTTCTCTACGATCCTTTCTTCTCACTGGTCCAGCTGGCCTTTGTGTCCTCTGATAGAGCCCACTTCAAGATGGCCGCCTCGACGAAGGTATTGTTCAGTTTTCGGGTTTTCCCGAGTTGTACCTCGTTTGTTCAGAAATGTTGACGCTATAATAGCTCTCCTAACTAATGTAACTAGTACTTGGATATGAATGACGGCACATACAAGGTGTTTCGAAGGTGAGGCATTTTTCAACGGGATCTAGCACAATGTTTAACACTGAATGATCAGAAATAAGTGAACTGATGGAATTTTCACCTTTGGAAGGTTTCACTCTCACCAGTTGGCGCTACTAAAACATGAGGTCATGTTAAAATCGAAAATCCCAAAATTTTGCCGGATAGCCCTAGAAGCTATGGCCAGTTTTACCGAAAATATTCTAAAAAAATTATGTATAATATTTGAACAAATAGAAAACCTCAGGATATCGGAAGACGTGAGCCGTCTTAGGTATAATTGTAACTTTAGATTTCGGGAGGATGTAATTCAATGTTCTGCGTGGCAATAGCCAGGAAAGTAGTTGTTTTTCTCCCGAAATCTACCATTGTTGTTCATTTTATGAATATGACTTTGAGCTTTTTATATTTATTCAACATTTCATTCCACTTTGAGCATTGTGGCTATTTCGCAGTTAATTAAATAGATAGTCAAAAAATTAACTTTTTTCGATATAACTAGAAAACTAAAAACAACTTTGAAAATTTTCGGGAGCCTTTGGTTTGATCCCCTAATTGCGCAACTTTTTTCCCATTCAACCGAATTCGTATTTCCTCACGTTTCCGAAATACCCATGCTGTTCAACCTTACCTTGGTCACACTGTATAAATGAATTCTACTTCCTCTTGAAAAAAATATCTCATCTTTAGAGCACCCTGATACTAGTTACCTAAATGTGATCGATCACTCTCTTTCATTTTATTATTTTATGTAATGTACTTCTTTGAACTAGAGAGATTCAAAACGTTGATTCATCAAAAATGAGTAATATCTAGACTACACAGAGTAAACACAAAAATAAATTTCTCACTTTGGTTGAACATCTATTTAGGAATGCTGTTTGTTGTTGGCATTGTTAGTGATTGTTATCATTACTGTTACTGTTATTGATTACTGTCTTTTTTCACTACTATAAAATAATGAAAATGCTATAAGTGAAACACAAATCTCTTCAAGAGTGAATTACACAAATACCGTTACAGCTGGACAATTTGAAAAAGAGTACATTCTCTATGTAAAATTGAATGGGCTTTCAGATTTTTTAATTCGGTCAACCTGAATTTCCTAATTTCGATGAAAGAATCATAATCTCCGACACTGAAAACCCCCATATATCAATTTTGGAAAGAATGGGATCATAATTACAAAACTCGTCCGCCATATTCCATCTTGAATTTCCAAATTTTGATGAAATGTGCGGGGTTAGGTAGGCATACAATACATATTGGATCTGCCATCTTGAATTTCGTGATTTTGACAAAGGAATCATAATCACCGACCCCGAAATTCCCCAGATAACAATTTTGAAAAGAATCGGACCATAATTTCAAAACTTGTCCGCCATATTGAATCCGTCATCTTGAATTTCCCAATTCTGATGAAAGCATCATAATCTCTGACCTCGAAAATCCTCAGTATTTGGAGTCGGTGATTATGATTCCTTCGACAAAATTAAAAAATTCGAAATGGCGGATCCAATATGGCGGACGAGTTTTGTAATTATGATCCGATCCTATTCAAAATCGGTATAGGGAGGTTTTCGGAGTTCGAGATTATGATTCTTTCGACAAAATTATAAAACTCGAAATGACGGATCCAATATGGCGGACGAGTTTTTTTGATTATTGATACCAATTTGGAAAAGAATCGGATTATAATTCAAAAACTCGTCCGCCATATTGGATCTGGCATCTTGAATCTCCAAAGTTTGATGAAAAAATCATAGTCTCGAACCCGAATATCCCAGATAACAATTTTGAATAAAATCGGAATACAAAACTCGTTCGCCATATTGGATCCACCCTCTTGAATTTTCAATTTTGAAAATAGTTCACGACCGATTCTCAGACTTGCCAAATATGCGCACAAAAATTCTCATAATAATGGACCAAGCCGTTTCGGAGGAGTGTGGCGACAAACACCTTGACAGGGACAGGTGAATTTTATATATCAGAATTTAGATTTCTTTCATAAGAACCTTCTGACAATAACAAACAAAACAATAATTATTAGTGAAATCGGTCCAGACGTTCACGCGTTATGGCGTGATTCAAAAATGTGTACCGAGCTTTCTGGAGGTGATTGTACATTGAAAAATGAGTATAGTTTGATGAATGAACTGATATCCCAAAATGTACTATATTAAGGGAGATATATCTTTCCAAAGTTGATAACATTGAAATAATTTTCCCGCATAATTTCTAAAGGGTGGAAGTCACGAAATTGAGATTTCTTGCATAAAGGTCTGTTGATAAAATAATTTTTTTTGATACACTTCTACCTTACTGATATTGTTAAAAAGAGTGTGGGCGGGTCATGATTTTTTGAAGACAACTTTTTTCCTCGTATTCTTTTTGGTAAAAAAATAGAAGCATTTGATAAAGCGAATAAAATTACATGAATACGGCACTTCTATCAAGATACAAATATTGTAACCGTTTGCGATATATTGGAGTTTTTGTAGTCACTTGATATTAGCAGATTAATTCATCGGTAACAATATTTTAGGAGGCCATGATGAATTTTGTACTTGATATTGACATTCATGACAAGAGCATTGTTATTGTTAATTGTGCAAAGATTGCGTGAAAAAAATGTTTTAGAATGAAAAACTGAAATGGTTTCCAGCCAAAAAGTTCTGAGCCTCCTGAAATATAATTACTAATGAATTTATCTGCTGATCTAAAAAAATCACGACCCATCCACTTTAAACACCCTTTATAACAATTTCAGAAATGTAAAAGTGTATCAGAAAAATGTATCTTATCAACATACATTAATGAAGGTAATATCAATCTGGTGGTTTTTACCGTTTAGAGTGTTTAGACGTTATGCGGAAAAATTATTTTAATTTGATCAACTTTGGAAGGATACATCTCCCTTAATATACATTTTGAGCCATTAGTTTATCCATCAAACTATACTAATTTGTCGATGTACTATCACCTCCAGAAAGCTCGGTACACATTTTTGACTCACCCTGTATACAGCGTGTCTCATTTCAAACCTCTATATATCAGCTATCAGTCGTGCGATCTTTACCAAATTTGTATTGGTATGAATAATCATCAATATGACCAGTTCTTCAAAGACAAACATCATTTTAGACAGTGCCGTGCATTTTTTATTGAAATGAATAGGGTTCAGTTTTTTATTAAATAATATTTAGGCATTTTTTCACATGTAAACTGATCTCATTATATTGTTCTTCATGGTTTCAAACCCACATATATGTGGATTTTCATAAGATGCCTATGAACGTAATAATTATTTACTCGGAAACGGTGAGTTCAACATAAAAAAGTATAACCCGTTTTTCCTTCCAAATCATGATTTTTCACCTGCCGGATCCATTGAACGTTCCAAAATTCGTAGTTGATTTGAAGTCACTATTTATTCGAGACTGAAAATGAAAAAAATGAAACCAATCCTGTTAATTCGGAATTAGGTGATTTTTTGCATATGGGGGTTTCAAAGGATGAGGAACAATAATATGAGGTTAGATTTTCTGTAAAATCGACCCCTTTTTAGTTCAATAAAAACTCACGGAACTGTCCAAAATAATGTACATCTCTGTAAAACTGATCATATTGATGGTTATTCATACCACACCAAATTTGGTTGGAATCGCATGACTAATAACTGAGATATAGAGGAGGGGCAGCGTTCAAAGTGAGACAGGCTGTTTAGAATATGTACTTATTCGATGAGAACTGAAGAGATTCGAAACGTTGAAGGAGCAACTGAGGTTGGCCGTCAGCAGGACCGAAGAGCGCCTCAAGGAGGAACAGCGGCTGGTACGCAGCCAAAAACGACTGGCCAGGGTGCAGGAGATGATGAGCTGCGAAGAAGAGAAGAAGAAGCACAGGCACAAACTGGTGAGTCCAACAGGATGAGATTGCTTTTTTACACTGGTCCATGGGATAATATATTTCGACAGGGACATAATATTCTCGGAATTATTGACGCTGTGCCACTAACTTGACAAATTTGAATCGCTGCAATAATGGATATTCGCATAGGAAATATTATCCCCTTTCATTTGCTTTTTGTTTCAACTCGTTATCACATAACGGAAGTAGATAGGTAGGTAAAGAGGAACAATTGTTGATATTCAGAAGAGCATCGTCCATGAAAATATCTGTAAAATAGAGCCAGATTGCCAACTTTTCTACGGGTTCCAGAGAAGTGAGTGAGTTTGTGAGCGAGGCATCACCCACGAGACGAATTGCCCTCTTTTGGACAGAATCCAACAGTTTCAGGGTATGTTCGGGTGCTGCACTCCAAATATGGGAAGAGTATTCCAGGACAGGTCGGATCTGTACCTTATAACTGACCAGCAGGTATAAGCAGCTGACTGGAAATGAAATAGCTCCTGGCCCTAAATAGAACACCAAGTTTTTGTGATGCACTTTCAGCAATTGATCTCACGTGATTTTCCCAAGTAAGGTTATTGCTGATAGTAATACCAAGCATCAAAATGGATGTCTTCAAAGGCATGGTTACCTCTGACAAGCTTTTGTTTGGGCACAGTGAGATCGGCTTTCTAGAGAAAAGGCATGCTTGTGTTTTGTTTGCATTGAAATCTACCAAGTTACTGGATCCCCATTCGAGAATAATTGTTGCCAAGTCTATATTAATGTTGTCAACATTTCTTCCTCGTTCGTTTCTGATTTGCCTGGAGAGAAGGCGGTATGGGGGGTACTATCATCCGCGAAGCTGTGTACTGGACATGAAGTTGCTTCCAACAAATCGTTGATATGGAGTAGACATAGTGTTGGTACTAGAATTGATCTTTGCGGAACACCAGCATTTATGATAAGAGAATCAGATGAAACTCCGTCGGCTACTACATGGAGAGACCTGTTTGAGAGAAAACTAGCTAGCAGAGAACATAGCTGGGGAGGCAAGCCATAAGATGGACGCTTGTAAGCTGTAAGCGAGCAGGTGATCTCTGCAGTGCGATCGGTCTGTAGTTGCTAGGTGGGGTCTTTTTGCATTTTTTAGGAACTGGTTGTACTCCCTCAATGTTCCAGTTGGACCGGAATATTCCCAATTTGTAAGAGTAATTGAACAACTTGCAGAGAACAGGTGTTAGTTCGGGAGCACATTTCTTGAGAACAATCGGTGGGATTCCGTCGGAGCCACAAGCTTTGTTGGTATTCAGACCCAATAAAATCTTCCTTATAGTACGTTGGCGAAAGATGATCTCGGGCATATGACTTTCAATTGGCGTTATGTTTGGAGGTTGTTTTCCCGATGAATCCAGAGTGGAATTTCCAGCAAATAAATGCGCAAAAATGTTGGCTTTCTCCTGGACAGTTGTGGCTAGTGTTCCATCTTCCTTGGTTAGAGGAGGAAACGAGCTGGAAGTGAAGTTTCTTCCTACAGCTTTGGCGAAGGACCAAAATGAACGGGATCCGTTAAGACATTCAACAAGTTTCGATCTAAAAAATTTTTTCTAAAATTTGTTCTATCTGTCATTCGGTTGCCCCCTTACGAGCAACCCTCAAAAGTCTTCGAAAGTCTTGTGCGAGCAAGGAATGACGGGGGCCTTACCTTTTAACGTGTGATCCCAAACACTTTCTTGGGCCAACAGAAAAATTTCTGCAGTCGACGGGGATCGAATCCACGACCGGCAAGCGAATGCGAATTAGAATATAGACACTCTGTCCGCACGGCTTCCTGGCCACCCATGACATTATGAGCATCCTTTGATGATCGAATTGTTTCATTGCAAAATTGCGAAATTGAGCGCAAATTACCGCACAGGAAATTGCGATTATTCAATCATTTTGCTCAGGATGGTAATTGGCACAGGTGCCGTTCGATAAAATACAATGTTCTACACGCCTTTCGAACATATAACATTTCGTATTATCTTTTTCTTAAAGGAACGATCGAAAGAACATCAACACAGACACAACAAAAAGTTGGAGAAGGCGAACAGCATGAATTGTGAGAGATCTGATAGCGTCAATAGCAGCGCGACCACTTCCGTTGGAACCTCGACACCCCCTTCAACAACAGGTAAGACAACAGCGCCTTCCCCAAAAAGTGTCACATGCTCTGAACAATTGCGTTAGACAGGCGCATAACTGATTTTTTTATTTTTTGCGCATGTTCTTTACAATATTGCTTTCAATTCCATCAATTCTCCATGGTTTCAAGGATTCAATATCACAAATGAAGTCACAGTCTCAGAACGGTCGAAATTTACCACTCGTAACTGCTGATGTCACAACTCAGTGAGTGAAGTACATGGTTGGAATATGTCAGAATACATTTGAAAAAAAAAAAAACAGGAATTGTCCAGCTAAAAACATTCATGAAGTCATGATTCATTGCTATCTCCTAATTTGTGTAAATAATCTTATTTGCTTCATTCTTAACTGAAAAATATTTCCAAAAAATTCGATAGATTATGAAATTTTTCAATTACATTCTCCGTATTGCTTCACTTTATTATTTTGACTTGAGGTAAATCATAGATTTTGTGATGGTAAAATAAAACATTCATTTTGAAATCATGATGAAAAAAACAGTATACAGGATGTAATTTAATTGATGGCTGAATATGAAGAATATATTTCCTTAGCTCATTTTGAGAAGAAAAGTTGATATGAACATATGCCCCAAACCTCTTAACTTTCGAGCTGTACGGTAATAAAATTTTAAGGAAAAAATCGTTCTCTTATAACTTCAATACCTTTCTAGATATATTTTTATGTTCTGGTTCCCACGAAAAGGGATATCCTGTAATGTTCAAAGAACATCGTGAGAACAAAGGGAAATAAGGTAGGAATTGTTGTTCTTCTTAAATTTCTGGAGGTTATATGCCTCGGGAAACACCTCATGAAATATGACATGCACCAATAGACATTTTTCGATGCAGAAGATTTTTTAATATCTTCACCAGTGGCGTACATAAGGGATGTATCCTGGAGATTAAAAAAAAAATTGTATACCCTTGATTTTTTCGAGAATAAATAGTTATTTATTGTACAAGGGAAAAAAGTAGTAGATTTTAGCTCCAGGTTGTGTTGTCTCCCGACGCGTAGCGGATGGAGACAAAAAACAGTGAGCTAAAATCCAATATTTTTCCCGTGTATAATACACTATTTTTTTCTGTTACAGAAGAAAGGACGAATCAATTTTGAAATCTGAAAATTATCGACGTGAAATTTTAAGTTTTTAACAGTTAGGGACACCTGCGTTGTAGGCACCTTATCATTCTTTTGAAGTAATCAAATATCTGATGTCACTTCTGTCAGTCTAATTCTGTGATTTGATTTCAAAAAATTGCGAATTTAGTGGTTGTTCAGTAATATACTTAACCGCGAAGTCGAATGGAAGATAAGACTTGTAGTTCTTTCTCGGAGACGGTATTATTGACTCATTTTTCGGAACTATAGCACAACAAAAGCCATCAACAGTGTGTATATATATGTGATATATATCCAGGAAAAAAGTACTCACTTTTTTCCCACGGGAAAAAGTAAATTATGAAAAGTTACATTTTACAACCTGCCAACAGAGATGAATTGCCAAACTTTTTTCCGTCACAGAAAAAAATCATTTCTGAAATCCTCATTTTTTTGCAAAAATTTTACCTGATTTTTTCCGTCCTCCGAACCGTTTTCATGTAAAAAATAAAAACAATCTTCATGCATTTGTGGCATAACGAAATTATTTTGAACTAGTAGACTAATGTCCTATTTTGTATTTGAAATAATGGCATTCGAGCGATTACGTTGCGTCTTATTATGACAAGTATTCATGAACCTGACGGTTTTTCACACTGTGAAAGTTTCTTTAATCAATAAAAACACCCTACAGTTCGAAAGTTAAGAGGTTTATGGAATATGTTCACATGAATGTTTCTTCTTAAAATGAGCTAACGAACCATATCCTATATTTTCATCCATTAATTAGAGTACACCCTGTACAGTATATTGTTTAACGAGCACGGAATGATAGCCTTTGCCCACGAGAATGAAGTTGCAAATTGTACGAGTGGGAAATTAGCATTCCGTGTGAGCTATGCACTATACTTTTTACGGCTGTAACAGGTGATTTTGACATTTTTGATTTCTTCGGCTTGTAGCCATCTGATTTTATCTTTTAATGCTCATCTATTAAACAGAGCTGTCATCGCTTGAAATTTTACATTTCATGGAAGATCACATTCACTGTGAAATAATAACACAATGATCATCAGAGAAGGAAATGTAATTGAAGACATACAATGTTTGGTGTTTGGTGAAGAGGTGGAGTATCAGCAAAAGCTGTTTTTCAACTCAACCTTCACAACAAAAACAATTTACAAATACAAGCACAAGTAGTGGATGATGAGGTACACTCGACCCCAGGGAACACGCCGCGGTTGGACGGTATGAGCGCCCCAATAACCGTGGTTGAAAGATTTCACACCGTCCACGCGCAACAAGCTCCCCTGACGACGACCGTACATTAATATACGTATAATATTTATCATCGAAAAAATAATATGGAAAACATGAATGGAGATTCTTGAATAGGTGATATTTTTCAAAAGTGATCCTATAACTCATAAATTTTTAAGGAGATGCAATTTTAACTCAGGTGATGAGCTACATCAGTATACATATAATAAATTATCAGAAACATAAATGAGAATTCTCAAAGAAGCGATAATATTATATGTTTATAATGAGAAAAAAAAAACAAACACACACACAAAAAAAAACTAGAACAATATCTATAATATAATCTATTCAAAACTTTTAACTCGTCTCCTGCTGCGTATACAAATCATATATGGGTCTTTTTTTGTTTCGTCAGTTTTTGGGGAGGCGTAGTTTCAATCTTTTTTTGAAGTTTAGCAGATTGTAACATTTTGCTGCATTGTACGAGAAGCTTCGAGTAAATATTGAAGTTCGATGTTTGGGGATTACGAGTACATCACTTGCGTGTTGCAAATCTGTTGATGTTGTAGAAAGATGCCAGTCTACGGAAGAGATAATCAGGTTTTCGGGAAGGTAAAATTTTGTGTACATTTGTTAAAAGATGCAAATTTCTCCAGTCTCAACCATCCGGATTGTTTCATTACGGTTGATATGTGATCAAACTTACGGATTCCGTAACATAGGTGGAGACAGGAGTTCTGTATGCGTTGCAAACGATGGGCATCAGACTGTAACAAAGCGGGGCCGTAGATACTGTCACAGTATGAAATTTTTGAAAAAATTAGCGATTCACAAAGTTTAATTTTGAGTTGTGTGGAGAGAATATCTCTATTTGGGTATAACTGTCGTAACGTGTTATAAGAACTTTGGCATAAGTAACTAACGTGCCTAGCCAATGTACCTCATTGATTTATCGAACACAGTAAAACAAGAGTAATTTTGCGTCATAGCCATAGAAAATAGTTTATTGATTAACGAGCACGGAATGATAGTGATTTCCTACGAGAATGAAGTTTGCAGCATGAGCCATAGGCGAATGCTGCATTCATTCGAGTAGGAAATTAGCATTCCGTGCGAGTTATACACTACAATTTTTCTACGGTTGTAACAGATAGCGATGAGATTTTTTTGAAATAATAACACGATGGAGTCATTGTGATATCAGATACGGAAATAAAATTGATGACATACAAAGTATCTCATTGATGTATCGAACACAGTGAAACAAGATCAATTTTGTGTCATAGCTGTAGAAAAACAATATTTTAGTTCGCCCACCATTCACGCCTCCGTTGCACATGCGACATTGGTAGCACAAAATTGCATTGTTATCGTCGTACCTACAGGTTCGAACGTACCGTCACCCCCTCCCCCGCCGCCGCCGCCACCCCTGACGGGCAGCATGCCACCCCCTCCCTTGGCCAACGGTACAGGCCAGTCAGAGCCCAAGGACCGCACCCAGCTGTTGGGCGCCATCTGCAGCTTCGACAAAACGGCCCTGCGCAAAACCAAAGTCTCGTAAACCGATCGCCGCCTCTTACCCCCTTTCCTGTCCCTTCCCATCTGTCGCAAAGATTGTGATGTATTTTAAGGTAAGGTACCGTAAAACGCGGTTACTTTGATCCGCGCCCTGCGCGAAACCAAATAGTCTAAGAGCCAGCGCCAAAAAGATTCTCTGAATTTACTAAGCCTAGTTTTTTCACAGTTTATTCCAATGGTTTTGTACACAAACATACTGCGGTCAGTCAAGCGAAACTGAGAACAGGTGTCCCTGGTATACTATCGAAGTTGTCGTTCCTACCGAGGTAATGCAATGAATTTACTAAGGCTGAAAATCATTATACACATTGTATTATTGCATATGAATGAAAGTTATGAATGTCAGTCAGCTGACTGTGGGGACGGGAGCTGGTCAGTCAGCCCCAATGTATGCAAAAAATGATGAATTGCAATTCATTTACATCACTTCGAAATTTTTGTGAGGTTATTTGTTGTTATATCAATCATGAAAAAAATGGTCAGTCATCGATTCTGCCGAACAACGCCCGTCAGTTAGCAAAAAAAGAATTGAAAATTTCGCGCGCGCGATCGCCATTGCAGGCGGCCGCTCGCTCTTTTCTTCATGATTATTCAACGAAATTGATTGATTAGGCCATTTATTGATTATAATCCAATAGATAATATTGAACTTTCAGTATATTATTGGGATTGACATAGGTATGGAACCATGTGAATATCTCGGTAACATTTTGTTAGATTGTTGTGAATATATGTACAGGGTGATTTCAAATTATGGCAGATTCGAAAATTTTTTCACACATGTTGTCATTCCTACGTGATATTCACAGCACGCCAGCAGAAACGAATTGAAATTTTTCAGGGCTGATTTCTTCATATAAAAATTTGGGAATCCTGAACACGAATTCGGAATTTCCGGTCAATTTTGCCCCCTAATATAATTTTCCAGCAACATGGGTAGTTCCATCGCTGCTGACGTGCAGTTTATATCACGTAGGATGACCCCTTTCGTGCAGTGAGTTTCTTTTTCAGATATTGTTCCTGAAATTTTCATGGTTCTACGTCAAAATATATGGAAATTATTGGGGTGTGAGAAGTGAGACACACTATATAATATACTGAATGTTCAATATTATCAATCGAATTATAATCAATAAATGGCCTAATCAATCGATACCGTTGAATAATCATGGAGAAAAGAGCGAGTCGCGAAATTTGTATTTCTTTTTTTGCTGACTGACGGGCGTTGTTATCGATGACTGACCATTTTTTTCATGATTGATATTACAGCAAATATCACAAAAATTTTGAAGTGTAAAAAATGAATTGCAATTCATTTCTTTTTTGCATACATTGGGGCTGACTGACCAGCTCCCGTCCCCACAGTCAGCTGCCCGACTTTCATAACTTTCATTCATATGCAATATACAATGTGTATAATGATTTTCAGCCTTAGTAAATTCATTGCATTACCTCGGTAGGAACGACAACTTCGATAGTATACCAGGGACACCTGTTCTCAGTTTCGCTTGACTGACCGCAGTATGTTTGTGTACAAATCCACTGTAATAAACTGTGAAGAAACTAGGCTCAGTAGATTCAGAGAATCTTTTTGGCTCTGGCTCTTCGTCTAAAAGTCTCGAAAACTGATCGCCGCCTCTTACCCCCTCCCTTGTCCCTTCCCATCTGTCGCAAAGATTGTGATGTATTTTAAGGTAAGGTACCGTAAAACGCGGTTACTTTAATCCGAGGGGTTACATAGGAAAACAATTGAATTTTAGTGAAATAACCATAAAGTTTAGCGACATCTAGTTTCCACCACTCAATTCGTCACACATTCAAGAATGGTATGGCAACACTGGTATGGACATAATTTTTCTGGAGTTGGCAATCCTGACATGTCATTTCTAACCTACAAATTGCCCGCTGGGTGTGGTCTCACAGTGATGCCAACTCAGCCATTTTATGGCTAGTTATAGCCATTTTTAAGCTCATCTAGCAACTAAAAACTGTATCTAGCCATTCTTTCAGCTATTTTTCATCCTGACTCTATAAAAATATGTTCATATTTCTGATTTAAATCAAATCCAGACCAGTCTGTATTTCTATGGATTTTGTACTCCATGCTTCCTGTGATTTTTACAAATTGACGTCGACTTCAATGTCGTCAACACATCACGGCATACGTCAATGTCAATACTACTAGGTCTAGCTCTGGATCCATGATGAAAATAGACTGGTGTAACCACTTGTCAATTGTTTTTTTCCAAAACGTGTAGACCGCGAAACACCGTAGCAAGGCCGCACCGGATTGACTGTAGATGGCGTAGGGAACATGGTACCACATATACTTCACAGATATAATGAAAATTTCACGTCTTTTTCATTAAATCAATCACTTTTTCCCAATGTTTTTAAATTACGAATTAATATACGTAAATGTAAACAACAAAACAACCAATGTGTAGCAAGATCACTTCGGGAACAGCGCCATCTAGCGTTAGTTTTGCGCGGCCTTACTACGGTGATAGAATTCGACATAATCAAGTAGGCCAGAGGTCTACAAAAATTTCTAGGTTTTTGTAAGAGGGAGCTATTTCACCATACATATATCCACCTTTTCTAGATCTAAAGCTCTAGTCTCGAGTTTTTAATGTAAGATTCGTAGGCCATGGATTCGCCTTTTGACCATGGAAGGAGACACATGACGTCTCCAGGTCAAAAGTCAGGTTAATGCGTGTGCAAGTCTATAATTTTTCTAATTACCTGATCTGGATTAAAATCCAATATTTATTGTGAAGTTTAATAAGTGTGTGTGAAAATTATCAAGCCCTTTTATTTCTACGCCGGTATAGGGGCCGGATGGTGACGGATTCACCGGATAAAGGGGCCATACTTGAAATCAAACGTGCTCAGCATGAGCACATACGATAGAATCTTTGGACATTGATGAACTGGGCTTCCGGGCAGGGTGACGGACTACGGTGTCTTTAGTGCTCGAGTCGAGAGATAATATTATTACATAACCATATATATTCTTGAAAAAATTAATTACCTGATCTGAAGAAATTGTTACCGAAAGGTGACAGAAATCCAATAAACCCAAAAGAAGAAGAAGAGATTTGTAGGCCATGGTCGGATTTCTTGTTTTTGCTAGAAACATTCCAAAAAAATGGCTAGATTGGCCAAAAGATGGCTGAAACATTTTTCCATTGCGGTGCGCTTTTATTTTTAGTCATAAGTCAGCTCTTTTTCAACAAATGGTCTCCAAACTTTTGTTGCTGTAGTCATAAGCTATATTAAATAAATATTTCAACACACTTTTTTTATAAATTTAGTATCATAACAATGCCCCTAGACACCGTTTTCAGAGTTGATTTGAACGTGTTTATACCATATTTTGTAAGAATACTACTGTTTTTGTGCCTAATACTGTTTTGAATAACAAAATACTCAATTTTTTTCTAATTGTGTATTTCTGTAGCTTTGTTTTCGAAAACAAAAATTCTTTGGTTTTGAGGTGTTCAAAGAAACTCTCAGGGAGGTTGAATTGAAATCGCATGGTTTCATCATAGTCGTTCAAAGTATCCCCGATCGTGGGGTTTGAACACCCATAAATTAATTTGAAAAACATTGTTATCATTTCAAAAATCGACTTTTTGGCAGTACAAAGCTCTGACGCCCGGTATATATTTTATTGGGATTTTTCATTCGCTGCCTTTAAAGATGCTTCAAAGTAACAGTGTTTTACGGTACCTACTTTAACAATATTCATACTGTAGATGCTCATTCCCCTGATACATCATTCATTAGTACTCGTATCAAGTATTAGAAACATTATATGGGTAGCTATTATAATCTTTGCACTCTGTAAATATTATTTCTATTGTGATATATTTCAAGTTTTTGATGTGAACGTCCTCAAACTATCAAATTATTTAAGTATATTGTTGTTTTATTTCAGTTTAATAGGTACAAGAGGGAAAACTTGCAGTTGTTGAAGTGGTGGCAGGTGTGGGATGAATGCATGATTTTTTTAACCAAAAAATACACCACTATTTCAGGTTTTGAATAAACAGAGATAAACTCTTGTGCCTATCCTATTATCTGAGTATATTGTTGTTTTATACCAGTTTGATAGGTAGACGAGGGATCATTTGCAGTTGTGAAATTTATGGAAGGTATATATATGGCTTGGAATCAAAAAAGGTTGCTACTATTTCAGGTTTTGAATAAACAATGACAACCTCTTGTGCCTATCCAGACATTTTAGAGAATTTCTATAACTTGCACATGTGATTTGTGACACTTTGGCACTGATAGAATAGTTTTCATGTTTATAATGGGGCCACTTATGAAATCATAGCTGCGTTGTTCCTAGATCGGGTGATGTAAAGAGTTTTACTGTAGATTATTACTCTCCTCTTTATGTTAGTTTCGCCATTTCCTCAAACTCTTTACAGTACTGACAGTTTTTTGTAAGAACAAATTCACTAAGCTTATTACATCATAGATATATTTTGTATTTATTTTTAGATCTACAAATACCTCATACAGTTATCAGCGTTTGGTTGAATCAACTCTCATATCTGTTTTACTTTTTCCATTGTATATTGAAATCTTTGAATGTTCAGTAATTATTTGTGACATTTTATGGAGGTGTGCCAAGGAAAAGGAATTTTGATGGAGATGAGACGAATATATTGAAAATAAATGTTGCTTTCTTGAAACTAGTCAAAACTTTGAATGATGATTTGTCTGAAATGGGTTTGTCATTATTTTTCATGATGGCCTGTTCAGAGTGTAATTTTTAGGTCAAGAAATATATTTTGTCAGTCTGTGTAGATCAATAACATTTATAAACAAATGTATTTCAATACTAATTATTATACCTATATTGTTGTAATAAAAGTACTTTAAATGGAAATCATTACTAATGTTTTACTTTCCATCAATATTTTTTCAACAAAATCATATGTTCGAATATTGAGAAATGTAGGTATTTTCAAGAAAGAACTATCATATTTTTTTTTTCTGAGACAGAAACCCATAAAAAACCATTGTAATTTTATTTATTTTTTGTGAAAGTTTGTTCTTTGGATATTTTTTATAGATAGATAGATAGATAGATAGATATTTATTTCCCAAGATAACTGTTTACAATTCCAATACAATGAGGTGTCTTAATGAAATATTGACAAAATTATCAGATGCCATTTAGGCTTGGGGAAATGGTTGCTGTTTATTCCAGTATAATTAAGCATATTGATAAGCATTAGTTTGAGTAAAAACTTACAAAAAATATAATAGTGAATTTGACACAAGTAATTCAACCTAAAAAGAACATTATGAATTAGCGAGGAAGTTTTTATTGAAGAATTCTGTGGTGTCGTAAAAAACATGGTGGTGTAGGATTTTCTTTAGCTCAGATTTAAATTTCCTAACTGTACTACTTTTAATGCGTTCTGGGAGATGATTATAAATCTTGATTCCCATATATAGTGGACCGTTTCGTGTTCTATTATATCTATAGTTTGGCAATATAAGTGATTGATTGCGTGTCGCGTAAGAATGTTTGTCCGAAGAGCGGGTCAATTTGGAATTGTTTTTATGTATCAACAGAGATACTTTATAAATATAAAGGGAAGTGAGTGTAAATATTTTGTGATTTTTGAAGTAATCGCGACATGAATCTCTAGAGCTCAGACCAAAAAGTGAACGGATGGCTCTCTTTTGAATAATGAAGGTGGTGCTTGACTGAACAGCAGTGCCCCAAAATTCGATTCCATACTGTAAGATACTATGAAAGTGAGCATAGTACACTGATTTAGCTACTTTCAGATTGGTACTCATTTTGATAGTTCTTAAGGCGAATGTAGCTCTGGATAATCTATGATTCAATTGATTTATGTGTTCAGCCCACGTTAATTTTTTGTCAATTGATATTCCCAAAAATTTGGTCGAATCTTGTGAATTAAGTGGTGTTTCATTCAGAGTTATCTCGATGTTTGAGGTGTTAGCATATAGACTGAAGAGTATGCAGTGTGTTTTATTGATGTTGAGGGAGAGCTTATTTGCTAGGAACCAATCGAAAATGTCATTCATAATTTCCTGAGCTGTATTTTGTAATAGTTGGCTATTTTTTTCGTGTATAACAATACTAGTATCATCCGCAAATAGTGAAAATGTCACCGATGGGAAGTTACAAACAATATCATTGATATAGATAATAAATAAAGTAGGTCCCAGAATGGAACCTTGAGGCACCCCCGTCAGAACTGGCGCGCTTTCAGAGTAGTGAGTTTGTAAAGTGTCTCCAGATTTATGTTCCAATTTAACTAGAAATTGTCGTTTCAAAAGATAAGTTCTGAACCAATTCAGAGCCATACCCCTGATGCCATAGTATTCCAATTTATTTAAGAGTATTCCATGGTCGACGCAGTCGAATGCTTTGGACAGATCGCAGAATAGTATTAGAAGGTTATCTCTGGTATATTCAACAAAATTAAACACCAAACAGGGATAAATGAATCAATTAATATCAAACCTTCTTTCCTTCTGTTACTCTCATTGAGTACATGGAAATTTTGAATGGGAATATGTATCTTCATAAAAAAAGTAAGTGTTAACCAGATAGGGGGCAGGGTTTCTCTATAGAAAAATTATTCTTGCCAGATGTGTATACCAAAGTGGTGTATGATAAGGGGAATGTATTGACTACCAGCATCAACAAGCAGAACTACTGATTATTGATTTTATTTCAGCTCCAAAAATTTCATTAGGCTGATAGTCTTTTTAAGATGGAAACATGTCCCTAAGTTTGAGAAAAGTTTGTCACATCATCAAATATTTTTGGAGACAAATTTGAGCATTCCTTCTCCTAATAGAAATTAAACTTTGAGGAGCATGACTAACCTCACAAATAATACTTGATCAAATCATCATCTACAGGGGCAGCTACTACAAATAATTAAAACAAGTAGATCAGATTCTGACTGACATTCTTTATTCCTTATGTAATTGCAATTATATTTATTTAATAGGCAAAAAACCTCACCACTTTGTACACTTAAAAATATACTTACAACCTACATAAAATTGAACCTGTCCCTAAATTTTGTCAACTAGTACTACATTACAAGACTTCACATCTCCTTTTCTTGATGGAGAAAAAGTGCCTATTCAGCCACACCTCTGTAGTGCTTGATGTTGACCAGGACCCACATGGGGACCGCCAAGATACCGACGGTGAGGGCGACCCCGTGCACCACCTGCTCTAAGGTGGACACTTTGACTTGCGGGGGGCCCGATACGGCGCTCATGTTCCTCGAAGCCTGGACGGCCGAAGACCGGGCTGTCGCAGCGAATTTGACAGCAGTTGCCGCAAACATTGCTGTAATTCAAAGGATGCAGATGATGCAGTTTTTATGGAAATTTATAAAATATACTCACTTATTTGTGATTAGGTAACTGGTAAACTAGTAATAGACTACAAAGTACAAATGGAGTGGAGATGACTCAAATGACACTTGACAGTGACATTACATGTATGACGTATGACAGTTCAAGGATCAAGATTGCAACTTGACACAGAACAACCGTTTACAGTTAAGGGTATTCTGTGTTGTAGATTCTCGTTCTTACGTTAAGTTATAACTGCAATGTGCATTTTTTGTAGTCTAGGGGGTTGGTTTTGGAAATGATGGAAATAAGTAGATGGTGTACTTCCTGATGCACTTTTGTTTCAAAAATTCTTCTCGACCTCTCGTGAGGCTCGAGAACAATGGTTTCGGCCGGCAATATTGCACGATTATGGAATCTGTAAATTTTGGAATTGCCGCAGATTTTTTAAATTCCGAGTGAATAAAAACCCACTTTTTCATATGTCTCGCGTTCCTGAAATGCCATTTTCCATTTTATTTTCTCTTGTCACACTCGTCACAGCAGTACCCTCGATGTGACGTAGAGAAAAGAGTAATCATAGTAGGTAGTCGAGTGATTTTTCTTCAGTTTTCAATACGTGAAAATGACCGAGTTCGCGCACCATCTACTTATTTCCATCATTGTTTTGCATAAGGTTCCTCAAATATGTTTGACGTGAAATGTCAGGATTCTGATGATTTGAGATTCATGATAGTGTTTAAGAACGTTGGCAACAGACACACCACAGACGACGATGTTATTTCGTTGGCAACAATGAAGATTGAAAAATTGCGTGATTATTTCCTTCGAGAGGACTCCTGCATAAAATCGCAAAACAAGATTTATCAAGAATAGGGGAAATTGATGAAATATGCACTTTTCTCAAATATATTGGACGTTAACTTTCAGGTTTGGCCAAGGTACTCTAGTTGTGGGATTCATTATAGTGTTCAAGAAGGTTGGCAACAGAAACACAACAGACTATAATCTTGTTTGTTGGCAACATTGAACATTGAAATATGGCTTAATTATTTTGACAGGACCCCCTTCTGTATAAATTCGCAAAACAAGATTTATCAAAAATTGGAAAAACAGAAAAACTCAGCACTTTTCATATGAATGCTTTTCTCACAACAATCTTTATCCAACTTGCTACTGCTTTGCAAGTTCAGAAGGAAGCTTAAGAAGATTCCCATTTTATCGCCCGAAAACAGCAATCGGCGTCCATGTGAGAATACTACAAATTTAACATCAAAATGTGGTTGAAATAGATTTTCACCATCTTCTATCTGTTAACGAAGTACAAACCATCAAACTGGGTTAATTACGGGCACAATGCTTATGCAGACTATGCCAAGTCTGCAATGTAATAGTGATAACAAGTGAGTGAACATTATGAAACCTAAAATGGGGACCCAAAATGTGGCTGAAGGTGAATTCAACGTGCCGCAGTTCGAGAAGCAGCTCACTACACTTAAAGACTCTCAAGAGGCCATAAATCATTGTTGTCAATGGTGTTTACAAAACAGGATCCACCACAAGAAAATTGTTACTGCATGGTTAAATGTTTTGAAACGGGTTAGGGTTGAGCAAAGACTTGTATTGTTCTATTTAGCTAATGATGTAGTGCAGTATTCAAAGAGGAGGAACTATGACTTTGTTGAGAGTTGGGGAATTGCTTTGCAGAAAGCAACAACTATGGTTCGGTAAGTACTACATGAGATATCAATCCATACTAAGCAGTATTTATTTCTGTTTTTTGTTGTAGAGATGAAAAGGTGAAACACAAGGTACTCAGGATATTCAAAATCTGGGAACAGAGGAATGTTTATAATGAAGAATTCATTTCTGATTTGTGTGGATTGCTTAGTATTTTACCAAATTCTCAGAAGAGTGAAGAGCCCAATGAATTTCAAGTAAGCTTGAACAAGGTATATGTTGTTCTACTACAGTATAACTTGATAATTTTCAGCCAACCTATGTCATAAACAAAATCAAATCATGCTCCAAACTTGAAAAAGACACAGATGTGAAATTGAAAGTTCTTAAAGAACATAATCCCAAGATACAACTGGATGATGGTTTAGTGGGTTCTCTGAAGGGTATGTAACTGTATTCTTGACAAACCAACTATTGAAGTATTAGCAATTTCTTCAAGATCAAATATAGATGCCTCAAAAATTAATGATTGTCTGTTTTCCTCAAATGTTCAATAGTGATTGATTTTTGTAGACCGTGCTCATGATGATGTGGAAAAAGAACTTGATGTATACATCAAACACATGGAAGACTATATAAATGCCTTGAAGTTGGAGATAAAGAATAGAATAACTTTGATAACTGTATTGAAACAAGCTGAGACTCAGCTAGAAGCAGATAGAAAAGATGTGAAAGTTGTTGCAAATGTAAGTAACCATTTTGTTTCCCCTCAGCTGAACATACTTTTTTTGTAATATTGTAATTTTTTCTATATGCTTGCAGGCTTACAAAATGTTTGGCACCAGAGTGAAAACTTTTCAGAGAAAATTGGAGGAGCATAAAGAGACTCTTAGTAGTCCAGTACCTTCACCTGATGTGAATGCTCCTTCACCTAGTCCAGACTCTGACATTGATCTGCCAGATGAAGCTGTTACAGAGATAACTTCACAAAAAGAAGGTGAGGTAGAATAGAATTGAATTCATTGATCTCATAACAAATTCAATAGGAAACTATGCCATATATGCAGATGACACAGTACTTTCATTTGAAAACAAAAACCCTGAAAGTTTATAAAACAACATGAATGAGGTTTTGAAGAAAATGGAAGAATGACTATAATCCAATCTTCTTTCCCTTGATTCTAATAAGACACAATATTCAACTTTCCATAAAAACAAAATATTGATTTGAATATTAGAATAAAAATGATAGATTGAAACAAACTGTCTATACCAAATACCTTGGTATTTGAATTGATGAAAAGTTAAAATGGGGCAAGCATATTGGCATGCTCAAAGAAAAAATTTCTCCCATAGTCAGTCCCAAATATAGCAAGTACAGTTCTATACTCTCACACCCTTGGTAAAAAGAACTACCTCATAAATATTTGGGGTTCATGTTTCAAGAATAATTTTAACAAAGTATCTGGACTATATAAAAAAGCATTAAAAGTACTGTGTTGTCTTCCATGACACCCCATCAAATCAACTTTCTGAAGAAACGAATACATTTTCTTTGGAAGAGCACTATCTAATGAATACTCTCAAAATTTTTTTTGATATTATCAACAAACACCTCAAATCTAACTTCATATTGGTAAGGAATTCTCAAATCCATGAACATCATACTAGACAATATGACTTGTTTCATCTTGATGCTGCTAATTCTACACTTGGCCAAAAAAAGTGTACTTATGGAGCTATCTCAAAATTCAATAAAGTACCTGATGATATCAAAAGTTGCACAAATATCCCCCAATTCAAAATTAAAGTCAAGAAACATATCCTCTTGCAAAGAGAGAATCAAACCTGAGTGAATGATTTCTCATTCACTAATTTATTTCATCATGTGATAATGAACTTTTCATGAGATTTTTGTTCTATTATTATTATTTTTGAATCTGTTGTTCATAACTTAGATTTGATAACACATGAATAATCTTAATAAAATATATTTATATGAGATGCAATGTAATGTTTATATCAAAGAATGAAATACATCTTATTGTTATTATTATTAAATAATGACATAAGACAGGTCAAAAAGATTACATTAACATTGAAAAGTCTAGCCAAAACTAGAGCATTTACCTTGAAATATTGAAATTAGCCAATAGCCTATATGCCAAAGAATACAATATAAAAATTTTTGCAGCAAGGCAAAATCTTTGAAACATTGTGGGAGACTGTTGTATAGAAAAGGAATATTCTCAGATAAATTATGAACATACAAAAATGGATATATATTTATATAAAGCAATACATTGAGAATTTGCATTCTCTATGTGATGAGAATATTTACTCTTTCTCAGTTGATTCAATAGAAAACAACTACTTTCCTGGCTATATGCCAGGACGAACATTGAATTATATCTATTGAACACACACGATAAGAGTTTGAAAATAAAATATAAAAACTTCTGAAATTGAGAATTTGCATTCTCCTTCAGACAAAAATATGTATATGCACACATCATTCTGAATATTCAACAGAAAACAACTACTTTCCTGGCTATTTGCCTCGTCGAACATTGACTTATATCTGATGAACATTCAGAAGGAGAACATGAAAAATGAAGAATAAAAACCTCCGAAATTGAGAATTGACATTCTTCTTCAAATCGGATGAATAATATGATGTATAATGATATAGAAATATAACTTACCAATATATTCAGCATTGAAATGAAAATTGGAATGTATAGAAGTATACTGGCATCAACTCTGATCTTGATGAGCTTGAAAACTTCCAAAAATAATCATTCATATCAGTGATATGGGAAATATTATCTCTCACACTCAGGTTATATGACTTTATTGCAATGAAACCATTTCGGATTTCTGAATCCTCATCAGTAACCATGATGTCCACTTATTCTTACAGCCATTCTTATATTACTATAGATGATTTCTTACAGCTGCCTATTTTTGTGAAGAATTAATCAAATCAGCAAAGTCAGGAAACAAGCACTTGATTAGTTGAACAATTAATTCCTGGGTTGATTCATAAAGTTTTAATATAATAAAAGTTACACCAATGAGAAGTCCATTAAGAGAAATACAGAAATGGGTTTATTTGGTAATGTTTCAATGAGCTATGACAGTTTGAAATTGGTGAACTTCCTGTTTATGTTTAGGAAGAAATAAATCTTTCAAACAATCAGTATTTCTGATTCTTTCCATGAATACTTTACTGTGGGATATAGCATGGTATAGGACTGAATTTTTTTTTTAATCATTCGTATAACTCTGCAATACTGCACCATATTTTCAAAGAGGCATATCCAAATAAACAGATTTGATGGTTTGCAAAACATTACAAACTGATAAAACTGTTTTTCTTCAATAACAACTGAAGCAACAGAAATATTTTATTTAAAATGAAATGGCATGTGTTATTTTATTTCTTTCTATTAAATATGAAACTAAATCCTTCAAAATAATTTAGAAGTTTAAGGTTGCAGCATTTTATACATTGTGTCCAAGATAAGGATATATATCATTGGGATCTTGAAAACCATAAGAGATAGGAAGATGGTTAAATTAAAGAAAAGTTGCGCGCGCATTTTCAAGACATTCATAAAGTTTTAAAATTCCCAGTAGTTCAGGAGATATACCTAAAGAACCGAAATTTGCCGAATTCGTTTTTATTTTTTTCTTAAGATATTTGAAGGGATATTGGAAAACAAAAGACACTATCTCATTGCCACTTTTTAAGCTCTTCAAAACAGCCTTGACAGATTTTCCATATACCATTTCGTTTTAGAGAAGCCATCGTTAACTGTATCTTTTATATGGCCCGTAAAAAAGTATACCCTGTATTAAATCTCTCAACGTTGTTTTGTAGAGCTTAAAAAGGTGTGTCTTTTGTTTTCCTATATCTTTTCAAATAGCGTCAGAAAATTTTTTCAACGAAATCGGGAAATTTCGGTTTCTTAGACATATCTCCGGAACTAGGTACTTGGTATTTTGAAACTTTCTAAAAGCGATATTGTCAGGCTTGAAAATGCGCAATTTTTCTCTAATTTAACTATCTTTCTATCTCTTAATGTTTTGTAGATCCTTATCTTGGACACCGTGTATATTGTATTTTTTTTACTTTATGGGGTACATGGAAGGGAATCTCTATAGGTCGCGTGCACGAAGACCGACACTGGAGGCAAAATATTGAAACACAACCTCATTCTTCTGTGAATTATTGAAACACAACCTCACTTTTTTATTTGGTTACAGAGGAATCAAAAGGTTGAAATAGTTTTTCACAATATTTTGGCATACGAATCGTGTTTCTTGCGTTATTCATTAATTCAAGCATGCCTTCGCATTGTGCTGTTGTACAATGCACAAAAAATGCAGCAAGAGACTAGGGAATATGATTTTTCAGATAAATAGTAATCTCACATAGTTAGCATTATGAAATGTTGTCATTCCTTATTAAAATTCCTTCTGCCTTCTGCCACTTCTGCAATACAAGCTAATGCTGCTAATAGATTGAAAATGTCTACAACACACACGATCGTCAGCATGTCAGACCAGTCCTACCGATTGATTGCATGAATCCAATCTTCTTGCATTATTCTAGAAATTTCAGGTATATTTCTATTAGCTGATCCTATTGCAGAAGGAATTCCGATGAGAAATCAGAGAAATAACCAAATTTCAAAAATGAAAACTATGTGAGTGACTATAGTAGGTACTTACTTTTGAATCATAATGTACCATCCCGATTGCTTCATCTTCCACTGCAGTTTTTGTGCATTTTACAACAGCACAATGTGATGGCATTAGCGAATTGATGAATAGCAGAAAAATACGATTCATATGCCAAAATAATTGTGGAAAACTATTTCGATCACTTGTAAACAAATATGTTTTGCCTCCAGGGTCGGTCATCTGACAGTTCTTGCACGCTACCTATTATGTTAGTGGATCATTATTTGAATGTTTGGAGGTTATAAGTTCTTGTGAATACTTCAGTAGGCGAAGAAATCCAAAGCTTTGCCGTTCTTTAGACAAACGAGTTCTGTTTTAATTTTGATTTTGAAGAATAAAAATCAAAAATGCTTGAAGACACACCATGATACACAACTTGACTATATTAACCTAATTGAATCAAATTTTTCACATATTTTGGCGAAAAAAGGTCAGGTACTTGAACTGAACCATTAACTTTGTTCTTTTATTTTTTAAAATCAGTCAAGGAACTTTCCAAATGTTAAAATGGTATTCTTTTCCTTTTCTTGTGTCATCAACAAACATTTTCAATATTCTACGTTGGAACCCTGAAGTGGAAGACATATTTTTTCACTCTCAAGTCTAGCTTAACTCATCTATTGAATGTGGAATATCACATAGGGTAAACTTTTTGAAGAAGTTGATGTGAGTTTTGGAAAAACGGAAAACGTGGCAACAATGTCCTAGAAATTTACCACTCTGTGGATTGGAAAAAAATCTGAAAAATGTGTCCCAGATTTTCAATCGGGAGGAAAATGAAGCATGTACACGTTTGAAAGGCTTTTCTTGAGGTTTTCAGAGATTGCAAAACTCATTGCTAATTTTTTTTAGCTCCACCTGCCCATTACAATCCCAAGGCAGAACTGCAATATAATGCAGGTTATTACACACCAACAACATCTACGGAAAACACTATTTCGAATAGTTTTCTCAGCAATGGAGTATCCAGTTTTATTGGATCTGAGACATTCAACTTGGAGGTATGCTTAGGAAAATTATCATTATACAAGGTGTTTTTCAAATAAGTGCACATACTCAGTACATTAATATGATACAGTCTAAGGAATATTTCCGTGATATCAGATTTTTTGTAATCCTTATAATTAACGAGGAATTTCATTCCAAAAATTGAACAAAATACGAGAAAAATATGAAGTGTGCCACTTTAAAACAATTTAAATGATTGAACTCCGCGTGATTGTGCCTACCGCATGAAAATTTGAACAGAGGTGACGTCGGATTTGCTACAGTGTAGGACTTTGGGTGGAAAATGGGGTCTAACCTCAAAATTTATTTTGAACCCTACATTTTTTTTATTAGTGCCATGCGATAGTACACGTCGAGCTTTCTCAGTGTTTGAAATATTTGCACTTATTTCAATACCACTGTTTGTTGTTTTACACAAGTAATACTTTTTAAATATGGCATATTGATTGACTGAATGAGTTTAGGAGTTGGAGGGCGGACTAAATGTGACGATCGTTCTTCTGAAAATTCTGTTAAAATGAGTATTTACGCTCGCAAAAATGCAGTTTCGATGTGACCGTTTTTTCAAAACCCCCAATAGAAAGTAGGTGGAAATTTACATATGGGGGTTCCAAACCATAAAGAACAATAATATGAGGTTAGATTTCCTGTAAAAAAATGCCGAATATGATTTTATGAAAAATCGACCCCTTTTTATTTCAATAAAAACGCACGGCACTGTCCAAAATAATGTTCATCTCTGTAAAACTGATCATATTGATGGTTATTCATACCACACCAAATTTGGTTGGAATCACATGACTAATAACTGAGATATAGAGGGAGGGGCCATTTAAAGTGAGACACGCTGTATATTTAATAATACTCATTTAATATCTCTACGATTATATTCACTATATTGTACAGGGTGGCTGTTCTAAAAAAAATTTAAAAAAAGCCACTTTTTCTTGCCTACAAGATGACGTTTTCAGATTCAAAATCTGACGTTTCGTCTTACAGAAACCATCATCAACTTATTTTTTTTAAATACGGACCTAGATTTTTTATTTAATTTTTTGTTACCTTCGGATATTAGCGTCTGCGGACAGGCGCAAGTAATAACTCTGTGGTGTGAGAACGTTATAGTGGGCAGTAGATGCGACTGGCGTTATGCGGCGCCGACTGAATCACTTCATCATACTTCGTCTCGTAAGCAACTGGTTGGCTCAGTGAGCAGAGCATCGGCATGCCAAGCCGGTGGGCCGGGGTTCGAATCCGTGCGAGGCTCATCTTTTTTTTATTTTTTTCTTGTTCTCAAGTGATTTCTAAAAAATATTCTCTATGGGAAATAGGTTCATTTAGGGGTTTTCTATGTTTAGGCCAGAGGTGAGGTTCGGTTAGGTTAGGTTAGAATAGAATAGAATATTTTATTTGGTGTTAATAAACATCAAGTTTTACACAAACATGTCAACGAAACAAGTACAGATATACTCATAAAATAGATAGGTTAGGTTTTCTCATTTTTTATGCAGGAACAATATTTTCCTTCCTCAAGAAAAATTCTCCTTCTAGAATATTTTATTTGGTGTTGATAAACATCAAGTTTTACACAGGTCAACGAAACAAGTACAGATATACTCATAAAATAGATAGGTTAGGTTTTCTCATTTTTTATGCAGAAAAAATATTTTCCTCCCTCAAGAAAAATTCTCCTTCTTCAAGAAAAAAGGTTCATCTAGGTCGATTGATTGTTAAAAAAAAATTCCTTCCTTATATTAGTCTCGACACAAGTTAACTGACGTTCCCCTACCACGGAGTTATTACTTGCGCCTGTCCACAGACGCTAGTCCTTCGGATAGCCAAAAAACCATGAGCTATCACAAATTTCGATTTTCGAATGTTTTGATGACAAAAGTTGACGGTTTCTTTATTTTTTCAAAATATTCAATCCGAAACCATTTTCAAAACATTATTATTCATCAGTAATATAACTTGGGAACGCTAATCACCACCTTAACATCACTGGTTGAATTTTAATGGAACCCCTCACCCCTCCACTGCTTAATTATTACAAAATAGAACTTCTGTCCAAATAATATCTATAATACTCAGCCAATTGATAACAACTGTGCCTAAATTCTAAAAAGAACAAAATGAAATTCTAAAGTAAATGCTCCAATAATCCACCTTTCTTACCGCATTTATGACAGCTCCTTCATCTTCAGCTTCAAATCTTTCGCCATACGCAATTCGGGATTTACTAAAACTACCTTACAGATTCAAATTCTTGTCCAAATTGTTGTAAATATCTCTCACAAGAAATTTGCGAGTTTCCATTAACACTATAATAAATTCGGACCATATCACGTTTTTCTGAATTGGAAAATACCATTTTTGATCCCGCAAATTATTCAAAACATTGAACTATCATACTTTGACGAGTGGTTGAGACTTTTCATCTCTGAAATCGAGACCGCCTTTTCCATTTTCGGTAATATTTTGAAAAAATAAAGAAACTGTCAATTTTATGTCATCGAAACATTCGCAAATCGAAATTTGTGCTAGCTCATAGTTTTTGGGCTATCCATAGATAACAAAAAATGAAATAAAAAATCCATGTCCGTATTTTAAAAAAATAAGTTGATGGTTTCTGGAAGACAAAACGTCAGATTTCGAATTTGAAAACGCCATCTTGTAGACAAGAAAAAGTGACTATGATAAAGTGTCATGCATATCGATTAACTTCTTCAAATAACGCCAGAAAAAAAATAAAAACGGTGTTCTGAAATTTCGATTTTTTTCGGATATCTCTGGAAGTGTTCGAAATTTTCCAAGTTTCAGAACGACATTTTGTTAGGCATCAAATTGCGCAACTTTGCTATAATTTAACCGACCCTGTATCTCTTATGGTTCGAAACATTGATTGCCACGTCATAAATATCAGTGAATGACAGCTCCACTTCCGTTCAGGTCGCGTCATACATACATGTATGACGACCAATTCATGTTGTGAGGCCGCGTCATTCGAAAATGCATGCCAGAAAATTTCATTCAGATAGGGATAAGAATGCATGGCCCCCAAGGAACTCACAGGTATGCTTGGCCAGAGCAAATTTTGATAGATCATGATACAATTGAATGAAACACAAATATCAAATATGTACTGTTTTATTTATTGTGAAAACAAAATAAAATTTGCAAAAAATGTTGAATAAAAACGTAATACCACATGAATGAAATATTGGGATAATGTCAATAATGTCCTACCAAAATATAACTTGTTGGTTCTGGAATAGTGCTCGAATTTTTTCCCCGAAAAATGAATTTTTTGACCGTGCCTCGTATACACCCTGATTTACTATAACTTATGTGATTATAACTAGACATGTTTATGAGTTCCGTTCAATACATTTTCTAGCTTATTTTGTTTCATTTATACTAAAAAAACAGTTTTTTCCATTGTCAATCCTACCCCGCTACGGCTTTTTTACGAACTTTGTCGGCTTGTATCTTAGAAACTAAATATACAAAACTTTTCAAACTCACATATTTATCTGATAAGCCATCCCACAACAACATAGTAAAATTTCAGCCAATTCGACCGAGAGCCAATTTCCCGTGTTTTCGTGCGGGATCCTTTATGAATGAAAAAAACTGAAATGATGGCCCCGTAGAAAAAACTCTAGATATAGGCTTGGCAATCAATGTGTTAAGAGATCCCAATGATGTACCACCCTGTACATTGCCATCAATCAATTGAATTGAATTCCAGAACTTCAACAGCAGCATCTTCTCGAACATCTCGAGCCTGTCGACGGGCAGCGCGACGGGGACGGGGGCGGATATGGACCCGGGGGCGGCCCCGCAGCCCGTCGCCGCGCCCGCCCCCTCCGCCGACTACAGCTACAGCACGGCGGCGGGCGGTGTGGCGGGGGTGCCGTCCCTGCAGCCGCCCCCCATGCCGCCCTTCGCGAAGGCCGACGAGGAGTACCGGTACGGGCAGGCGTACAGTTCGGCGCCGTCGGGTGTCACATATGGTATGTTTGTTTTTCTCCCAAATGACATTGAACATTGCTTTTTTCTGCAAACGACACAAAAGTCGTCCATTTTACGATACCAAAATTAGCTCTCGAATTGACGTTTCTATTACTGACACAAAAATAAGATAAGCTAAGATGTTTATTTCCAGAAAAAACAAGTTTTGTAGGAAAGTGCACAGTAGTTGTGCTAAAATGATAGTTGTGCTAAAATGATCATCATATCTGAACATTTTACAAAAAAATATATAAGAATACAAAAAAAAACAAGCTCTTAGTGTACCTGATACAATACAAATCCATTTCGTAGCGATTGAAATTATTTGGTGTATACCATATCACAGATATACTAGGATTATATAAGTTAACGCTCATACTACACATTTACATAAAAATAAATAAAAAGTTGAGAGTACCTATATCAAAACAATGGAACTATACAAATGCTTTTCATAACACTTTAGGTATACACATATCACATATTATTATCATTGGGAAAATCAAGTACTGAGTAGTATGCTTTATCTATTAGAAGATTTCTCACTGAACTTTTGAATATATTGAATGGCATAAACTTATAATCGGTAGGCAGTTTATTGAAGCACTACTGTAATAAACGCTGTTCTCAAAAAACGATGTGCTATGATGAGGAAGTAAGATCATTTTGTAGCATTGTCGAGTGGAGGAAGAACTAAAGTTGAACAGATTTCGATTTTGGTGACAAAAACATAAAGCTTCAAGAAAATAGGTATGTTGCTAGGCAAAATATTCAGTTCCTAGGAGCTAAATTTGAACTTTCACACCTGGGAACTAATAATGATGTACTAGACGTTATCAAGGTAATTAATAATCGCCTCTTGAATTTTTTAAACAAAAAAAGTTTTTTTATAAGCATCAATATGGCTTCTGCAAGTCGAGTGACACAGGGTCGGCAGCAATAGATTTAGTCACTGAGATACAACAAAACACCAATAATCATGATAAAAGTGACCTAGTGTCTCTCGACCTGAGGAAGGCGTTTTGCCACAGTTGATCACCATATTCTATTGTCCAAATTAGAAAGGTTAGGTATCAGAGGCGTAGTTTTGAAATTGTTCAAAGAGTACCTCTCAGGCAGACTACAACATGTAGCAATTGATGGTGTAGCTAGTACTAATCAAACAATAACATGTGTCCCTCAGGGCACAATATTAAGTCCAACATTATTCCTGATTTATGTCAATTCAATGTCAAACCTGAGCCTCTGAGGAAAAATAAAATTGTATGCTGATGATACCATACTACCTTATTCAGGTAGATCTATAGAACAAATAAGAGAGGGCATGATGCTTGATCTCCTACTTGTTGAAAAATGGCTTGCAAGTCACAAATTGACTATAAAAATACCGAGAAGTCACGTTTCATGTTTGTCTCTAACAATAAAATCAATTCAACTGAACCTCTTATCTTTGGCTAACCAAATCGAATATGCCTGTGAAATAAAATATCTAGGTCTACAGTGTGTCCCACTTACCATGCTCACCATGGGTATCTTTTAAACGGTGAGAGATACGAGGTCGGTTAAATGACACCAAATGTGGAGTTTGTCAAGGCCAACTATAATGTGAAAAAATATTTTGATAAAATCTATTCGTTTTTGTTTTATACGCAAAAAACAGATTTTGATCATTTCCATGTCTCCTCCGTAACTTCTTTATTCATAAAAATATTCAAAAAGGAATTTCACATTCTCATGGCAGTTTTTCAAAGTGATTTCGAAAAAAATATGAAATTTATACCAACTCTTCTAGAATTTGAGATATCAGCACCAACTTTAGTTTTTCAAATGTAGGACATAGCTCACTATGACTTAGTTACAAATAACTTTTTTTTCTCTCTCAGATGATATATCGCAGTGATAGTTTTGTGTTGATAACAACGGAGTTATCGTCATTTATACAAAAACAAGAAATTATTGGGGAGCCGCCATCTTGAATTTTTGAATTTCAACGAAAATCATGATCTCCGACATCAAAAACCCCCACTCACCAATTTTGAACCGAATCGGACCAAATCTTCTCGCCATCTTGGAGCAGCCATTTTTTTTCATTTCAACAAAAATTCCATAACTCCGATTACCTTGAAATTTGGCAGGTGTTCATAATTCCGGTGACAATACATTATGGAATTTTTGTTGAAATTAAAAAAATGGCTGCTCCAAGATGGCGGACAAGATTTGGTCCGATTCCATTCAAAATTGGTGAGTGAGGGTTTTTGAGGTCGGAGATCATGATTTTGTTGTTAAAATTTATAAATTCAAGATGGCGGCTTCCAAATAATTTTTTGTTTTTGTATAAATGACGATAACTCCGTTGTTATCAACACAAAACTATCACTGCGACATATCATCTGTGAGAGAGAAAAAAGTTATTTGTAACTAAGTCATAGTGAGCTATGTCCTACATTTGAAAAACTAAAGTTGGTGCTGATATCTCAAATTCTAGAAGAGTTGGTATAAATTTCATATTTTTTTCGAAATCACTTTGAAAAACTGCCATGAGAATGTGAAATTCCTATTTGAATATTTTTATAAATAAAGAAGTTACAGAGAAGACATGAAAATGATCAAAATCTGTTTTTTGCGTATAAAATAAAAACGAATAGATTTTATCAAAATATTTTTCCACATTATAGTTGACCTTGACAAACTCCACATTTGGTGTCATTTAACCGACCTCGTATCTCTCACCGTTTAATAGGTGAGCATGGTAAGTGGGACACACTGTATACATTGACTCAACACTGTCATGGAGTAACCACATAAATCGTTTGACCAAATTGAATTAAAACAAAATTGATGTCGCTGTACATTTCTGCAGGTTACGACACGTCCACGTCATCGCCGTACCTGTCGACGGACGCGCCCTCTGGCGCCAACCCTTATCCCCCAACAGAAGAGTACAACCCCGAGGACAACGTGCAAACTTGGGAGCCGGACGCTAGTTGGAAGGACAGCTCGCAGCCCGAGACCACCGAGACAGGTACTGATTCAGGATTAAATAAACTGGTCAACATTGATAACGTCGTGGTCCAAAATATAGCCTCAATTCAAAGTAGAATAACTCACGAATTGCCTTGAGAATTTGAAATCGGTTTTCGCTGATGATTAGCCTAATCTCTTGACAGTTTGTTGTGGCAATATGAAACTTCTGTAATGTCAGATAACATTGCTACAGGGTGATAATTGAGTGGGTGTAAAATTGCATCGTGGTCGTCATTTTACCGTTTGAACAGATTTTTTTTTCTCACCTGTATCCTCTTGATTGATGCTTTCTCTTGAAACGTTTTCGAAATTTTCAAATTCAGAGCTTTGATAATCGTGTTATGAATATTCATTCAAAATGATGCATTTTTTCGACGATTAATTGAATGAAATTGGGAGTTGGAATTCTTTTCCAAAGAATCAACGTTGTATGTATAGTCGTTGGATATGTGATTCTGTTCCAACACAGAAAATTCTGAAGAAGTCTATACAAAGTGATAAAAGAAATACTGAATAATGGAATGGAGAATAATGTAGTCTTCAGTGGATAAAACATAATTTTCTCTGTGTTACTAGTGAAATAATGGAGTGTTACTTTGTCATAATGATGTCTGGTGTCTGACCTCGAAATGGTTTTGTAATTTCTCGGATTGAAGGCCATATTATAATGAAGGTACGCATTTCTAATGAAAATGATGCATTTTCGTCAAGATAAATTATAACATTCAAAAAAATACGATTGTAGTTCCAGAAGTATGAAATTTATATTTATTCTTGACTATGGATTTACAAGGTGCGATAAATTAGATAGATTACATCCTCCCGAAATCTATGCAATAATTCGTATGGACGAATAAAATCGCAAGTGATTCCTTGAGCTGCGCCTAAGTGGTCCAGGAACGTGTGACTACCTGCAGACCGGTTTCGAGCTGTTGGCTCTCATCAGTACAGGGCTGTCCCAGATAGCTTCTCGACCGCTATCCGGTGCGAACCTGACCCAACGTAATCGCATCTCAGCATTTATACTCCACGAAGCGTTCAACGTCCGCGAAATGAACGCGAACGCCGAACGTCACCTGACAAGGAAAGATACACTCCAAATCAAGATCCCATTTCAGGTGAAATGGGAGTGGCTGGTTGCCCGACTGGCGTATTTTCAACTAGGAAAAAGCCAAATACTCAAAGTGGAATGCAATGGTCACAAAGAGAGAAAATCAAAGTCATTACCACAATAGTTCATAAAATGAATGAAAATGGTAGATAACGAGAGGAAAACAACTACTTTCCTGGCTATTCGCGGGAATCAATGTTACCAGGTGGCGCTCGGTTTTCATCGTTCCATGTCAAAGCCACGTCAAAACTGGGGGAAAACAAACTCAATCCCATTAGTGCCATTGGCTTGTGTACTGATAAGAGTGATAAGTTTTTAAATTTCTTGACATGAATTGTCAATATTCGTTCGAAAAAGTTTAATAATGCCTGTTGTAGATGTTCTTTTGGCAGATATTTTGCTCTATTTAGATGGAAAATGCCGACAAGAAGTGAAAGGAGAAGCAATTCTCCGTTCTAATCATGTGATTTTGTGTGAGGCAGAAGACTTCAACAAAAGGCACATTTTTGCACTTTGTCTACAAACTTCGGCGATGAAATCTTTCCCACATGAAGTAAAATTGAAATTGGGGTCCAGAGGAACTCCTGTAGAACAATGGATTTGTATTTGTTCCTGCAAAGCAGGACAATCTGGGTATTGCAAACATGTTGTAGCTGTTCTTTTATATGTCAATTGATTTGCTCGTTATAATTAGTTTGAATTGTTTGAACTATCTCCAATTCCGTTCACTGTTCACTAAACTGATAAAAATGTAATAATGTAAAAAAATTAACCAACTCAACCATCATCACTACCAACAGTACCAACACTTTATGTCATTGACAAGGTTGACTACAGCTTCAGCAAGCTGAATGCAATGTAGTCTATGCACTTTAACCATAGCCAACAGTTTGTTTTCCCCCACTTTGAAGTTTGTATTATGTAACCTAGATGTCGCCCACTTCGTGAATCTCGCGAATATGCCACGCTGAACCTTGGATTACATCCTCCCGAAATCTATCGAAAAATTCGTATAATCCTTTTTTTTTTGTTGCATATAACCAGGAAAGTAGTTGTTTTTATCGTTATCTACCATATTTCCTAGTTGGAAATAAATCTACTGTAGGAGTCCATATAATCTCAAAGTGGAGTGATGTAGTTATAAATTAAACTCTCCAAGTCGTCTCTACAGCGTTTAATTTCAAATTCATGGAGGGGGGATCGTGTTTCACACCCAAAAGGTGTCCATCATCAGCCGAAAGAAATTATTCTACAAAGAATCAAGACACAGTAAGAATATCAAGTAATACATAATGGTACTCACGTGGAGAAGAACAGACTTAAGACATGTTTGTTAGTAGTTTACATAAAATGAATATCGAAATTTGTGATGGCTCATAATCTTTGGGCTACCCAAAGGTAACAAAGAATGAAATAAAAAATCCAGGTCCGTATTGAAAAAAAAAATAGGTTGATGATAGTTTGTGGAAGACGAAACGTCGGATTTCAAATTTGAAAACGCTATCTTGTAGGGAAGAAAAAGTGGCCATGATAAAGTGTTATTCAAATTGATTGATCTTTTCAAATAACGCCAGAAAAAAATTGAAACGGTTTCATGAAATTTGGACTTTTTTTCGGATATCCGTCGAAAGTATTCGGAATTTTCCAAGTTTCAGAACGGCATTCTGTTTGGCAACTTTGCCATAATTTAACCGACCCTGTATCTCTTACGGTTTACGAGATCCCAATGGTGGGGCTTGAATTCCAGCCACCCTGTACTTTTTCTTTCCTGTCAGATACTCCAGAGAGTCCTCCCATGTTTGAAAAGGAAGGCTACACGGATCCAGTCGAGTACCATGACACTCTGATTCCCAGCGGAGCTGTCGACGTCGATCAGAGGATACTGCCGAGCATATCAGCTGATATGGGTATGGTTTCTGTATTAAATTGACCACATTCTGAATTCCCAGTGATTGGGATGATTATATTTTTCAAATTGACTTGCAATATTTTGATACGAGGTTCATCTGAACAAGAAAACGTAAAAACATATTTCGAAAAAAATCTGTCAACCAGTTTACGGTACACCTAGAGAATAAAGTGGTATTTTAAATCCCTAAACAAAAAGTTTATATATAATTTGTTAAGGGAATTAAAAACACTTTAGTCCTGAGGTGTATATGTCGGCGTCAAACAGTGAAATCCGTCATTCTCTGGAATGCCTAGTCATTTCACGTATTGTCGGAACGTTAACCCTTTGGTCTACTTTGTACTGCGCTGTTATTCAGGTGAAGTCGCTCGTGAGCTCTAAACCTGTCGTGGAATATAGGGTCCCTTGATGCAAACTGACGTATTTGTCATCTAACAGGGTACGGACAGAACCTAACTCTTTCCTCTTTTAATCATCTAGTGACTTTGGTTTCGATTATTGGGGTCCCTGACATGACATTGCTGTCACGTCACATTCATAGGCGTTCAAAGAGATCTTACAAAATTTTAATTTCATACTTGATCTTGATACGACATTATTCAATTCTGTTTTGGAAGGACGGTAAAATGTGCTGCGTTAGGCTGTATCAATCAGTTGGATGGCAAATTTGAATTTGTCAGCCTTCCATCAAATGCAAATGAACTTAAAATATGGAAAGTGAAGCATCAGCAAAATATTCGAGGTAAAATTAATACGAAATCACATATTATACTTTCTCATTGAGCCTATAATTATCCACTCCACAAGTTTTTGAATGCATTTTAGTAGAAACTACATTCAGGAAATACTGAGCCAATCAGAGACCAGCATCTAGTTGGAGGCCACACCCAACGTCAAGAAAATGCGACGGAAGTGTCACGGAACATCTCCATGACATTTCCCTGTTCCGTGAAACTTCCGTGGCATTTCCATGGCATATCCGTGGCATTTCCACGACATTTCTATGTTCCGTGACGTTTCCGTGACACTTCCGTTGCATTTCCTTGACGTTTCCGTGGCGTTTAAATGACATTTCCATGTTCCGTGATGTTTCCGTGACACTCCCGTGGCATTTCCATGACGTTGGGTGTGGCCTTCAACTATATACTGGTCTCTGATTGATTTGAGCCAGAAACCGCATAGCCCCTCTACTTGAGTGTGAAAAACTGCAAAAATTATTCCCAACATGAATATATACAGCACACGTGACATATGAGCACACTAGTTCGAATACCTACATACAATTTTTCACCATTTCTCAACCATAAGTCTTAGTCTGATATCAGAATTCATTCATTGATAGGTACTGCCTAAGAACTGTCCCATTTGGTAAAACGTATTGAACTTTCAGAAAAATTTGCTCACTGCCTCACAAAGATTATGCTGGAGTTGAAAAATCAAAACTCGAAAATAATCATCATCATTTGGATATAATATGTAGAGTTGAATGAGAAATTACATGTGGAAATTACATATGATACGCCAATTTCCTCAATATAACCTAAAAAACTACAAATGTCAGAAATCTAGTGTATATCCCCAGAAATGAAAAATGATGGAACTATATAATTGTTTCACAAACACTTTAGAGTGAGAGAAGACGAGGATTTGTCCGTACCCTGTTAAGATGACAAATACGTCAATTTACATCAAGGGAACCTACAGTAGATTAATAAATTCTTTTTTGAAGAAGACTCGACTAGCAGCCTGGGTGGCAAGGACGTGGATCACAGGAACTTGATAAGTCTGACAGGTTCGCCAGGTCAGTCGACGTCGAACCATTCCCCTGAATCGTTATGGAATCAAACCGATCAGGTATGATTTTTTTTTTTTTTTTTTAATTTCACATTAGATCCACAAAGCAGAGAGCTTGTACAGGATCCCATTATCCATTGATGAGTATCATACTGTTTTTAAAAGTAATACATTAGCAATATTCTTTTTACCTTGTTACATTCTCACTACTGAGATCAATTGAGTAAGAAGGAGGTAAGACGGATCTGAGTTGTGGATTGAATAAAAATAACACGTTTTTATCTGTCAGGAAGGGCAAGAGAAGAAAACATAACTCAACATAATTTTGTATCTATTATAAATCTATTGCATGAAACATTAAAACTTGATATATGTATTATTTTACCTGCTTTATTCTGCACTAGAATCGAATTCTCGTCAGCGATTTTATTAAATATACTGTACGCTAGCACAAACCACGCCCACCGTAATATCTCATCTTCGAAGTACTTAGGCAAAACTCAGAGACTATTTATCCTTAACGAACTAACCCATCCCTGATTGCAATATTTTTGAGGAAGGAAAACCGAATGGAGTGTAGAAACACATTGATTAATAATATATTTCAAAAGTTGAGTTCTTCAACAAAATTGAATAAAATGAGACTGTTTATCCTAAACGCACTAACCTATTTGACTTCAAATATTTTATGAAAAAGGAAAACCAGAATGAAGTAAAAAAACATTGGTGAAAAAAAAAGTTGCAAAAAAAAGTTCAAGTTCACAGCGATTCGAACCATGGACCTTCAGACTGAAAGTCGACAGCGCTAACCAGTAGACCATTTGGGTATATGAATTTATTGCGTACAAAAGATTGACAACGAGAGAGCTTCAGTCGAATTCGTGTCAAAATCATGAAAAGTGTATTCTTGCGTTGGAGCACAGTATATTTAGTGCGATGTGCTGACTCCGAGTATATCGATAATGTTTGGAGATATGACGTATTATGGTGGGCGTGGTTTGTGCTAGCGTGCAGTATATTTAGTAAAATCGCTTCCCGTCAACGATATAAGCATTATTTTTGTCACATCATAATTATTATCTGGCCTGTTGGACTGCATGCTTCAGCCTTAGAGTTGTAATAATATGTCTTTATTAGATTTTATCACCTATATCAAGGAATTTTGGAAACAAATTAATTATTTTTTTCGAAGGATTTAACCTGTGGACTGAAACTTCAAAGCTGAAAGCATGTCAAAATGAAAATATAACCTCACAATTTTCAGCACAGAACCACAGAATTACTAGAATTAATCCAGTCTCACCTTTTTCTCACTACAACACCAGATGAATAGCAAGCTCAGTTGGGGTGAGGGGGAAGAAATAGTCTCAATAAGTTCTTGAGACAACTCACATCAGACTAAGATAAATGAAACATGTAATACAACTGAGCTATTGAGCTGTACTGAGAATCTCGATAATCTCAGTCAAAGTTGGTAAAAAGAATATTACTATTGACTCAATAGGCCTGTTCGTTTGTATTGTTAAACTGGCTAAAGTTGATCTTTTTCCCATAGTTGTATCTCTTCATGCCATGATGTAAACAAAGAAAGTCATAGAAAAAAATCAAGTTTAGGAGGTTGAGCAAGCACAAACGAACAGGCCTAATAGGTAATTGAATGATTACCCTAGAACTTAGTACATGACAAGAAATAGATAAGCATATAAAAAAATATGCCTCGAAATAATACACATGAAACACATCCCTATAACAACACAAATTGTCAAATCAGGTCGTTATTAAGAATGAAATCAAACAACTGCTTCCTGAACGATTTCATACTATGATTATTTCTTAGTTCAGTTGGTAGGTTATTATAATGATTGATAGCTTTGCAAGTTATTGAGCTTTGAGTTCTGGTAGATTTGAATCTATTTGGCTGTAACTTGTTTGTCGCTCTTGTTGAGTAATTTTGAAACTCGTTATATATGAGAGACATGGCATGCAATGTGTAGAGGAAAGCCGCGGTGAGCCCATTCTGGCAACACTGTTGAAAAGGTCTCCAGCCATCCGCACAAATGCATATCGTTCATCCGGAAGAAGAGAGTTACATCTCAAAAAACATATTTTTTCAGGAGAAGCATTTTGATATTGGTTGAAATTTCAATTGACTTCATCTTCTCAATCGTATGGTAGATACTAACTGTTTTTCGAGCAAAGTATCATCCATGAACCCTGAACTGACGGAAAATTAACTGATGTATCTCTCTTGAATCCAAAACTGTCACCATATCTTCATGATTGTCAATGTTACAAAATGGAATCTTGGGTAATAAACGGGCTTGAAACTTGATATTCCATTATTGAAAAAATCTACATTCTCGATAATCTTAATGCTAAAATGAGAAATCAAAACCTATCAGTGAAACTGAACACATTGTTTTCTTTTACAGATTTTCATGAAAATTGTAAAACATCAGCACACATTCTTTCTTTTTTATCAAAGAAATCAACCCATTTTTATTCACTTCTGTGATACCAGGTGTTTTCAAATAGGCGGGCTTGAGATTCATATTCACGATGTCTAGTTTTATTCTCGTATTCGGAATCAAAGCTTAATCAAACCCTAATCAAACCCTTGCTGGTCGTATGATGTCTTATAAAATGCAAAACATTGATTGTCTTTGTCCAATTCGAGAACACTTATATCGGACAATATTCTGGTATGCTCACATATGAATCAGCTGCCATTCTTTTGATGTCGTTGAAGTCCTGGGGTATCAGTTTTTCTAGCGGTTCGTATGATGCTTGCATACTGATCTGGACAAAAAATTGAACCAGCTTTTTTGAATTTACTTATTTCCCACTCGATAGTGGCGTGGAAAATGTCTCCTTCATTCTCAATTCTTCAACCTTGTTGGTAAATTATCAGTATAACTTTTCATCACAAATTAAAATCAAACAAATCTGAAAACATTTGATATAAGTAATATTATTTTCGAGATAATACAGTTACATCTTGAGGTACAGCACATTAACTTTCATTATATTGATCGGAAAAACAGTTACATCACTGAAAAAACAATATTGGAGTGGAAGAATATGTCGAAATTAGATACACCTAAAAATAATACTCCCTTTCGAATTGAATTGAATCATGTGTGAGGATATATAGTTTTGGAGGAATAGTGTTACATTTCAAGTTATAACTTCATTGAAGAGAAGGATGGTTCGCATATAGTACTCACCTTCGCAAATTTAATGTTGCAAACTTAGATGGCACGGTCTTCCCAATTGATATGTCCTAAAATTTCATTCTTCCAGAGATATACATGTCGCCATCTCTCGGCCGCTGAATGAAGCTCACATGTAACATTATTTTCCATAAAAGTATGCAAGATTTATAACCCATTTGGAAGAAAAACTCAGAAATGTGAAATTTTGAGTTCCAACTCTCTTCCTCCGGATGAACGATATATGGGTACAGAACGTCGAGGAAAAAACATCACGCTCGTTTCCTTCTCTTTCCGCAGGACTACCGGATACCGCCCTCGGGCCACGCCCACTCCGTGGCCCCGCCTCTGCCCGCCCCTCCCGTCGGCGACCAGGACTACCGGCTCGGCTTCAATCTGGAGCAGCTCAAGCTGCCGCCGCCGCCTCCGCCGCCGCCCAAGGACGCCCAGGGGGCGGCAGTGGGGACGGAAATGGGAGTGGATATGGGAGTAGGGGTGGTAGCGATAGCGACGACGCCCAGACGCAGCGACAACGTCGACGATATGGATATGGAGATGAGCGACGACGAGGGCAGGCATAACAAGAGCAATGAGAACCTCAAGGTAATAATAATCTTTTTTCTGTGACGGGAAAAAAGTTTGGCATTTAATCTCTGTTGGCAGGTTATAAAATGTCACTTTTCATAAATTAATTTTTTCCAGGATATTATTCACATATATATATACACTGTTGATGGCTCTTGTTGTGCTATAGTTCCGAAAAATGAGTCAATAATACCGTCTCCGAGAAAGAACTGCAAGTCCTTTTATCTTCCATTCGACTTCGCGGTTACGTATATTACTAAACAACCACTACAACACAACCTGCAGCTAAAATCTACTACTTTTTTCCCTTGTATAATAAATGACTATTATTATTCCCAAGAATAGTTATTTATTATACAAGGGAAATAAGTAGTAGATTTTAGCTCCAGGTTGTGTTGTCTCCCGACGAGTAGCGGATGGAGACAAAAAACAGTGAGCTAAAATCTAATATTTTTCCCGTGTATAATACACTATTTTTTTCTGTGACAGAAGAAAGGACGAATCAATATTGAGAAGATATTACGGTATTTTGAAATCTGAAAATTTTCGACGTGAAATTTCAAGTTTTCAACAGTAGGACACCTTCGTTGTAGGCATCTTTATCATTCTTTTGAAGCAATCAAATATCTGATGTCACTTCTGTCAGTCTAATTCTGTGATTTGATTTCAAGAAATTGCGAATTCAGTGGTTGTTAAGTAATATACATAACCGCCAAGTCGAATAGAAGATAAAAGGACTTGCAGTTCTTTCTCGGAGACGGTATTATTGACTCATTTTTCGGAACTATAGAACAACAATAAAAGTCATCAACAGTGTATATATATGTGATATATATCCAGGAAAAAAGTAGTCACTTTTTTCCCATGGGAAAAAAATAATTTATGAAAAGTGACATTTTATAACGTGTTAACAGAGATGAAATGCCAAATCTTTTTCCCGTCACAGAAAAAACATATATGTTCATAGCAGGGAAAATTATGAGAGAGCAAGTAAACAAAAAAAAAAGATAATTGATTGATTGATTGATTGATTGTCTTTATTACCCCAAGAAACATTTCTGTTTATGATAGGGATACATAAATACATATAAAAAAAAATTATAATAAAGGGTTAACTATAATGAATTCCACTCAGTGGAAACGAATTAATATTGTGTCTTATAAGATTAAAGTTATATTTCATTCCTAAGTAATCAAATCATGCCACATATTTTTCTTTCAAATTGTCCTGAGCAAGTATTTTTTAAGATTGATTTTAAACCTTCTTGCATCATGTATATTTTTTAACTCATTCGGTAATGAATTGTATAAAATTATTCCATTGTGAAAAACAGATTGTTTGCCAATGTTTGACTTGAATGTATTTGCAATCAAGTAATTCAATTGTCTAGTCCCATAATTATGGACTGTATTGACTTCATTGAAAGCTAAATTTGATATTTTCAACTTATCCCTGGCAAAATGAATAAAGCAACATATTTTAAGTTTATATAACGAAATCAGGTTCAGAAAATGTCTTGGTTTGTATAAATTTATCGTTGGTTCTAGAAAATGTAGATGAAAAATGCACTTAATTGATTTGTTTTGTAATTTCATTAGAGGTTTCAGATAATCATTTTTAAATAATATATATTTATGGCAGCAATCTATTGAAAAATATGGTGAAACCTTAGCCGTGGCACTTGATATCTCCAAGGCATTCGATCGAGTCTGGCACATCGGACTCCTCGCCAAGTTGCCATCTTATGGTTTGCCTCCCCAGCTATGTTCTCTGCTAGCTAGTTTTCTCTCAAACAGGTCTCTCCATGTAGTGGTCGACGAAGTTTCATCTGACTCTTCCACCATAAATGCTGGTGTTTCGCAAGGATCAATTTTAGCAGCAACACTATTTCTACTCCCTATCAACGATTTGTTGGAAGCAACTTCATGTCCAGTACACAGCTTCGCGGATGATAGTACCCTCCATACCGCCTTCTCTTCCAGGGATCCAATTCCAGCCAGGCAAATCAGAAACGAACGAGGGAGAAATGGAAATATGGACTTGGCAACAATTCTCGAATGGAGATCCAATAACTTGGTAGATTTCAATGCAATCAAAACACAAGCATGCCTTTTCTCAAGAAATGCCGATCTCACTGTACCAAACATAAGCATGTCAGGAGTAACCATACCTTTGAGGACATCCATTTCGATGCTTGGTATTACTATCAGCAATAACCTTTCTTGGGAAAATCACGTGAGATCAATTGCTAAAAGTGCATCCCAAAAACTTGGTTTTATGTTTCGGGCCCGGAGCTATTTCATTTCCAGTCAGCTGCTTGTGATCTATGAGGCACAGATCCGACCTGTCCTGGAATACTGTTCCCATATTTGGAGTGTAGCACCCAAACATACCCTGAAACTGTTGGATTCTGTCCAAAAAAGGGCAATTCGTCTCGTGGGTGATGCCTCGCTCACAAACTCACTCACTTCTCTGGAACACCGTAGAAAAGTTGGCGATCTGGCTCTATTTTATAGATATTTTCATGTACGATGCTCCTCTGAAATATCAACAATTATTCCTCCATTGACAGTCCCCGCGAGGTTAACCCGTCGAATTGAGGCTTCGCACCCCTTCGTGGTCACTTTGGAGACCTGCAGAACATCTCTTCCCAAAGACTCGTTCATCCAACGAACAGCGAGGCTCTGGAACACATTGCCAAGGAAGGTGTTTCCCGAGGCATATAACCTCCAGAAATTCAAGAAGTACACCAATTCCTACCTTATTCCCCTTGGTTCTCACGATGTTCTCTGAACATTACAGGATATCCCTTTTCGTGGGAACCAGAACATAAAAAAAACACCGATAATCATTTTTAAATAATATAAGGTACACCGGGGTAAGTGTAAATTTGGGGCAAGTGGAACCCAGGCCAATTATCATTTCATTTTTGTTTATAAGATGACTCAGTCTATCGCATAATGAACCTACCCATATCCACTGAATGCTCAGTGATGTATCAAGCTACCAACCCACGAATTACGGTTCGACCTTGCCGATGTTTCGGATAGTGTCCATTTACGTCGTATACGGAACTATCACGTGTTCGTTGTTGGTGTACGTGAGCTTCAAAAAGGACCACGCACACATTATATGGGAAAATGTCTTTCGGCGAAAATGGCTGGATTTTTGATATGTTGTAGCTGTAGTCATTCTAAGTGAAAGACTCCATTGGACCAACTCGATCGTATGACCAGATTCGGCGCTAGAGGGTGAAACATCATGAATTTTGTGTATTTTTGTGTCTTGGAAGCTCAATGAAGAACATGAAAATCTCGTAATATGCATTCACCCTACCAAAATTCATTGAAGATAGATATGTTTCAAGGTTACAGAAAGGATTTGTAGCCTTTTTACAAGGTGGTCAACAATAAACTGATATTCAGAAAATCCGAATGCCAACGCCTATATGAGAAAGCTGATTTATTGAGTTCATCGATGGCGATCGATCAGAATAAACTTTGATCGAAGGAAAGAAAATGATAATCATTGATACACAGTGATCTGAATAACAGAAGTTGCCAATATACTCATTTAGATGATTTAATCATGGCATAGTCCTGAATATGTCTTCTGATGCCATTGTCTGAATTCTTTCCGACGAAACACAATGAGAAGTATGTTCAAAGTATTTAAAGTGAGTAGCTCAAAAACAATACTTCTTTGTATTTTGAAGGTATGAAGGACGTATATTTGTTCACATGGAGGAAAAGACATAGGCTACATATTATGCCCCTTGAAAATAACGTTTAGGGGAAAGTGTAAACACGTGTAACCTATGTTAGGTTTCAGTTGCCAGGACAGACCTATGTACCGCTATCATAAAAAAAATGTAGATCAAAGATTTGAGCACGTATCTCGTTGTACATTTCCAGATCCTTTAAATAATTTTCCATCAGTAAGCTGACGTGATTGGAACGAGAATGGCCCATTATTATTATTATTATTCTTTTTTTAGTCTATAGTGGAGATATTGAAATTCGCGGTTCCACTTACCCCGGTGTACCTTGCATAGTACATATAATGTTGTTTCTTCTACAGACTGTTGAATATAAGTTGATGAATTGATTTAGGATGATATAAGAGAATCAAAGACGTAAGTATTTTTTCAGTTCTCTTGTGAATTTCTCAACACTTAATTTTTTCTTCAGTCTGGCAGGTAATTCATTATAGAGAATTGTGCCATTGTATAAAATAGATCTTTTACCCATATCTGATTTAATTTTGATGAGAGTTAACATATCTTTTTATATGGTTATGTGTTCGTGTTTATGACTATTGACTCCAAAATTCAGATTTCAATGTTTATAATCATATTTGACGGAATGGATGAAATTTAATATTTCGAATTTTTAAATGGAGTTGATATCTAACAATTTTCTAGGTTTATAAAGATTTCTTGTTGGTTTCAAGTAATCTAGTTTGTATGTTCATTTAATAATTTTGTTTTGAAGGATTTTGATCGGCTTCATAATTGATAACCTAGCCGTACGCCAAACTGAAATCAAGTAAATGGTTACCTTTCCTCCCTTGATATATAAATAGCTATTTCTCTGTGACGGGAAAAAAGTTTGGCATTTCATCTCTGTTGGCAGGTTATAAAATGTCACTTTTCATAAAGTACTTTTTCCCGGATATTTATCACATATATATATATACACTGTTGATAGCTTTTGTTGTGCTATAGTGTCACGAGTGGCTCTAACGCCCACTATCGCAACTCGAACTTACTCGCTTGCAAGAGGTTTTTTTGAAAATGATAACTAAATAATTTAACTCCACTTCACAAGTTTATTCATTTTGAATAAAAACAATTAGGGCATGAAATAAATTGACCATTTCTCCAGCAAGATACATCCAACTCAAATCGAAACAAAACAGGAAAACTAAAACTAGTAATACTCAAAAAAGGTACTTACAGAAGGGCTCGCTCTTCATTAGAGGATTGGAACTGCCACTCACGAAGTTTAGACATGATGCAAATTAGTTTGAGATTTACTTCTATTAGAAGATTTGAAAAGACTTTACGGTCCACTGTCCGAACCACAACTGCCGGTTTTTTCTCTAATACTTTTTCATCTTGGTTTTGGTAGTGGTAATTGATTCAGCATAAAAACTAGTGTATTCACCTCGATTAGGAAAAATCCAAAACCTGCAGTTTCTGCCCGTCAGCGACTTTACTTGAATAATAATAAAATTGAAATCCGAACTTTAATTTCCTTTGAATATCGTAATTCTCTACTGATATCCTGTAAGCTAAATAATTCTAAGAATATGATCTAGACTAGGTTATTGTACTATTCTTGAATGAAATGAGAATTTCAAATATTCTCAATAAAATTATAGTTTTTATCCATTCTTGACAATAGTTCCGAAAAATGAGTCAATAATACCGTCTCCGAGAACTGCAAGTCCTTTTATCTTCCATTCGACTTCGCGGTTACGTATATCACTAAACAATCACCAAATTCGCAATTTTCTGAAATCAAATGACAGAATTAGACTGACAGAAGTGACATCAGATATTTGATTACTTCAAAAGGATGATAAAGATGCCTACACCGCAGGTGTCCCTACTGTTGAAAACTTAAGAGCAAACACTACCGCGTCATCACAATCAGTCGAATTTCTTCCTTGCCCCGCGCAGCTCGAGTTTGTAGACATATATCTATCAATAGCGGTTGTACAGGTGGGGGACTCGTAAACAATTGGCAACGCAGCCTCTGTCCGCAAGATATTCATTATTTCCATTTTAGCTTTTCTTTCTAGTAGCGTCAGTGGAAGCGTAGCTTAGATGGGAGCAGTGGCGTCGTTAGGAGCTTACACAAAATATTGTTTCGGTTGCCTTCTTCAGTGCTGATTTGTGCTATAATTACTGAACACACGAAGTAGACAGTCGGGATGTTTTACTGAATTACTTAGCAAAAAAAATAATTGGGGAATTCACGGAAAAAACTCACTTCGCCTTGAAGTATCACTAGAAAGTAGATAATCTGAAAATTCACTAGTAAATGTTCAATAATTGGGTATTGAACGAAGCTTTGATAATTAAAAAAAAAACGGACTTCACAGCTGGTAGCCAGATGAATTTTATTATTACTCTTTCTACCGGGTGGTTACAAGAACCGCGGGCAACCCCTGTAATTTTGATGCCGTCCGAGATAAAAATTTCAGGAACAGCCAGGTTCTCGTGGCCATTACAAAACGATTTTTCTTTATTATATTTCATAATTTTGCATGATCCTCAAGTGCTTCCTAGAACATTCTCTGATTTCCAAGCCTCTCGGTACTCTCGGATCTACAAGCTCTGGCAAGAGGCAATTGAAATAAAATATTTTCAATTTGGGAACCATTTCATTTTCCCAGAAGTTATCATCTCTCTAAAAACATATATATTTATGATCTAAAATGTATGACGGAGGATATGATCAATAGTTACCTCTTCTACAAGGCAACCTTTTGGACTCCATATAACAAAGAAACATTTTTCCCTTTTGCGTTATTGCTAATTGCCCTTGGACTTGAAAATAGTAATTATGTTTTCTATTCAGTACTAAGGTGTCGTTTTCGATTTTGCCGAATTTGATCTTTTTCATCCCAATTTCCTCTTCTGGGCATATGTCCTTGATGTTGAAGGGACACTTCATCTCCACAATGGTATTTTCATCCACCAACCCATCAGGACTGGCACCCAAAATAGTTATATATGCAACAAGTGCAAAAAGTGAATGTTTATTGCAGTCGACGTGAAATTGTCCGACGAGGCCGTTAGGCCGAGTTGGACAACACTTCGAGTGCAATAAACAATTTTTGCACGAGTTGCATACAACATTTTTTCTACGTTCATGCAAAAAGCAAAAAATGATTTATTGAGGTGCGGCACTAGGTACAATTCTGTGAATTGTCAGAATTAATTTTTGACTGACGTTTCTATAACCACAGTTGCATTATAGAAAATGGTTGTCATGATGACAGCACGTTGAAGTAGAATGACAGATGAGTGCAATAAAAACTTAATTGCACTAAGTGCTTTAATATTGTTTTTGACTTCGATGGCAAAAGGTTCGTTCAATTTTCCATATTCTGTCGCTTTGCTGCCTTTCAATTTCGAATATAATAATCCTTTTATTGTATTAATGCTGCGGGTGTTCGATTTCATTTCTCTTTTCTGGTAGTTCTTTCTCTTTCACTTCTTCGACCCATTTTTCTTCCCACAATTCTCACTTGATTCACTGTCAAAACACGAATGAGCAAGGAGCAAGCACCCAATACTTTATTTACCTACCCTACCCATTGAGGGATTAGGATTTCCAATGAATAATTATTGTTTTCAGGTACGCCTATGAAAACTATTGCATATACAACCTAATCTACTAAATGCGACGGTCCGGACGGATTAACAAAATTGGTTACCAGAAAAAGACAGCAACACCTAGTCTTGTCGATTATTAACAATATTCATTTCGCCCTAGGTAGGAAGCTTTTCCAACGTTGCCAATTGGGTCGAGGTTCGTTCGAGAGTTATAAAACGACATAGGTGGCAGCGCCAATCAGATACAAATTTCATGATCGTAGAATCGATTTTTCGTGAAAACTATAGCTTTTTTGTGGAAAATGTTTGTTTTGATGGATTCAGAGGCCTCATCAAAGTTCCGGATCTTCATTATTTTTTTCATTTATCAAATTTTTTTTTTGAAAATTATCACATTAAAAAATCAAGGAAGTTCCGGAATTTCGAAAAATGAAATGCATCAGTTGCACTAAGAATTTTTATTTTGAAAAAAAAACTGAACGAGTAAAACCGATTCCCGTTTTATCAAGGTAGTGTTTGCTCTTAAAATTTCACGTCGATAATTTTCAGATTTCAAAATAATGTAATATCATCTCAATATTGATTCGTCCTCTCTTCTGTCACAGAAAAAAATAGTGTATTATACACGGGAAAAATATTAGATTTTAGCTCACGGTTTTTTGTCTCCCTCCGCTACGCGTCGGGAGACAACACAACCTGGAGCTAAAATCTACTACTTTTTTCCCTTGTATAATAAATAACTATTATCTCTGTTTGTTAGATATTTTATTTCCAAGTGTTGAAATCATGATAAAATAGTCCAACCTGATGTTAGGTTTAGATATTTGATATCCTCATTTCATCATCTAAATAATCCGATACTTATCAGACGGATTCTAATGTCCAAAGAGCAAAAAACAGACATCAAAGCATTGACAGAATGAAATGTCTGACCAATCAAAAAGTGTACCACTATTGATGCCACCTTAGGTACTTCTCGACGGGCCGGCCGTCCTACAGCCGCCCCCTCTCGCCGCCCCCTTCTCCGGCCTCGAGCCGCCGCCCCCGTTGCCCGACCTGCCCGACGACGAGGACGCCAACACCTTCCTCGATGACCTCGTCGACGACCTGCACGAGTTCGCCGCCCTCGACGACCTGCCCACAGGTAATAATATAATGTAACGCCTCAACTTATTATACATATGTTATAGTTAATGCTAGGATTATTTATCATCATCATTTCAAAGATTGTTATCATTATTTTCATTATTTTTGTTAGTTCTTATTATTATAGGTGTAGGTATTTGTTAATTACTTTTATTGGCATACTGGTAAATCGAATGGATATATTCGGTATATTATAATACATTTTTTATGGGTGAATCATCAGCGGTATGTTCGAATCATGTTTGATGTTGTATAATCATAAGAAACGGTTGATATTGCTTCAAGAATGTGATTCATTAGTGTTCGTTGTGTACTGGCGTGAGCATCGTCACATAAAAGGAAATGAGTGACGCCCAACCAGATTCTCATTTCAAACCCTGAAATAACCGGAATAATAGTAATTTTTCTGCATACGTCAAAAATGAGAAGGTATGCGCATTGTCTATATTAATATTGTCACGATATAAGGGTTGTTTGTTGTTAAAAATGAATTAATATTTTTTAAGTCATGGAAACCATTCATCCTTCTCAAAGTGGTCCAGATTTTTCAAAGAAAAAACACAAACGCTAAGTCGGTCGACCACAAAGTTTAATTACAAAAAGAATTTTTGTGACTAGTTTCGGCTCAAGCAGCCATCTTCAGACACAGTATATAGTACCTGTAAAGATATTGATTTACAAGAAAAAATGTCATATTGAGGAAAAACATACCTATAAAGTACACGTGGAATCACATAATTGATTAATTGAAAATTGAAATTGCAAGGGTCATTGGCCAAAATTCAGTCAGGTGAAAATATTTGTATTATTTTGAAGCGACTGAACAGCCAAAAGAACCTAATAAGGATTAGATTCAACATTGGCAGAAAAATTGGAAAACTAGCAGTTAAATTCACTCACATGAGTTTCATCTTAAAATGGCCGTTTTTTGAAAAACAAAAGCCAAGGAGATGGCAACGAAATGTCAAGCAAAGCAATAGACGTTGACAGAATTACATGACAAATGACATTGACATTTGATGAAAATTCAAATGACATGCACAATATAAGATACAATTTTTGAGTTATGATAATGTTGCAGTAAAATTCTGAAAATGAATTAATTACAAGATAAATTATGTCTAAAAACCTAAAGGAGAGATATGTGGTGAGGCCGAATGATATGTAATCCAAGAAAAGAGAAGAAGTGTCACGGTGTACTAATTGTGATCTAACCCAGAAGAAGAAGAACTCAGGAAGGTGAACAAAATGGAACAGGGTCGGCTTTGGAAAAATGTAAGATAAAATGGTCATGAGAATTTAAGTGTGCGAAAAATGTGGTTTCGATCAAAATTGGTTTGGTCATTGAGACAGATAATATTGGGATTGTTTATACATTTTTGGATTTCTAAAATTTCTAAGAGGTTTAACCGTGGACCTTTATTACAAATGTGGATAATATCCATGTTGCAGTTAACATCAAAAGAATGACTGGAATCAATAATATGGTTTGCAAAGGAAGATGTAGTGTTAGGATTATCTGAGTTGAGAAATTTGTGGATGAGTCTGTTATGTTCCGAGGCACGGGTTTCAAAACTTCTACCAGTTTGACCAATATAAGAAGAGTTACAATCATTACAATTCAATCTATACACACCTGACTTTTTTGACTGAGAAATCTTGTCTTTCGAATTAACAAGTAAATGTTTGAGATTGAAGGAAGTTTTATAGGATATGTTAATATTGAAATTTTTGAAAAGTTTTGAAATTTGAACAGAAAAATTACCAAAGTAATGTAAGGATTTGAAAACAGGGGGATCAGTAACTTGACTAGATCACAATTAGTACACCGTGACACTTCTTCTCTTTTCTTGGATTACATATCATTCGGCCTCACCACATATCTCTCCTTTAGGTTTTTAGACATAATTCATCTTGTAATTAATTCATTTTCAGAATTTTACTGCAACATTATCATAACTCAAAAATTGTATTTTATATTGTGCATGTCATTTGAATTTTTATCAAATGTCAATGTCATTTGTCATGTAATTCTGTCAACGTCTATTGCTTTGCTTGACATTTCGTTGCCATCTCCTTGGCTTTTGTTTTTCAAAAAACGGCCATTTTAAGATGAAACTCATGTGAGTGAATTTAACTGCTATTTTTCCAATTTTTCTGCCAATGTTGAATCTAATCCTTATTAGGTTCTTTTGGCTGTTCAGTCGCTTCAAAATAATACAAATATTTTCACCTGACTGAATTTTGGCCAATGACCCTTGCAATTTCAATTTTCAATTAATCAATTATGTGATTCCACGTGTACTTTATAGGTATGTTTTTCCTCAATATGACATTTTTTCTTGTAAATCAATATCTTTACAGGTACTATATACTGTGTCTGAAGATGGCTGCTTGAGCCGAAACTAGTCACAAAATTCTTTTTGTAATTAAACTTTGTGGTCGACCGACTTAGCGTTTGTGTTTTTTCTTTTTAATATTTTTTACTTAGTTTTTGTATAGGTACAGATGGTTGTACCATGCCTATCTGTGTGCACTACCAGGAACGCCCCATTTGAAGATCAAACCGAGACAGTCCAGTTTTAGCATGCTGGACCGTTCGCAAATCCTAACCAGATGCCCCATATAAAAACACATTTTTATATTCAATACTTAAAATAATGAGAACTGTCTTACTAAAATATTTGTTTGACTTCAATGGAATAAAAATAATCGAATTGAAAAAACAAAAGAACGTGAGATTTTGAAAGATGAGGTTGGTTAGGAAGAACCAACCTCGGGAACGAGCCATTGTCGCCTCCACCATGTTACGATATAATGGTTGTTTCCACCATGTCACGATAAAATAGAGATGGTACGCCACCATATCGATTTATAAGGGGTAATGCTCTGCTCGATTGGTTGCGAGAGGTTTAATGTTCAAATAGGCACTAATAGTTTAGGGGTAACTGAAAGTACGAGACTATATTCAAACACAACAATTTGTATTATAACGTGTAACATTATGGGCAGCAATGACAAATATGAATAACCAACAATGAATATGAAGACTTAATAACAACTTACATTATAACGACCATCACGACGAGCTCTTGTCAAGTCAAGAGTAGCCCCAGACCAGACTAACTTCGGAACCCTCACATCCATTATTTATATACATCAATTTATCAGATTCGCACGTTTCTCATGAAAGTTTCTTGGTTAGTTTTTATAATGCAATGTCAACGGAGGATTTGATTAACTTTATGTTTATAAAACCCTCATGGTTCGAAATTTCTAATATACCGTATGTTCTACTCGTGACAATATAATAAAGATGAAAGATGTTATAGGCAAAAAGCGTATTCTCACCTTCAGATGTACATTACCTGACATTTGGCTAGGAAGTGATTTGATAAATAAGAAGAACAATTCCACATTTCATGGCTTTACTGTAGATGATGAATTGAAATTCAGAGACCATGTAGTGAAGTTGAGTAAAGAAGTAGCTTCAGGTTGTTATGATCTGAGAATCATTTTTGATGAGTTGGGATATTTCCTATCAAGAACAGCCAACTTTGCATTAGTTGACTGCCATAAAATATATGGCATTGCTTTCTGGGGAGTTTGTTCAAGAGTGCTTTTGGATATGATTTTTGTTCTTCAGAAAAGAGCTATACGGTATATTTGCAAGGCAAAAGTGAGGGATACCTGCAAGCCACTATTCAAGGCACATGGTATCTTGATAGTAATTTCCATGTTCATCCTGGAATCAGTATGTCTGATAATGAAGCATAAATCCTCTTTCGCCAGTCATGTATCTTCTATATTACCCGTCGACCCATCTACAATTCCAAATATTTCGCTAGTTAAGGAGTCGAAAATTTTAAATGGAATCAAAATGTTCAATCAGTTGCCGATACATATAAAACAAATTGAGGAACAATAGGCATTCAGAAATGCTGTGTATAGGTTGCTTGTTGAAAAGACCTATTATTCTTCACAGGATTCTTTTCGATGATAAGCTTGAGGGATAATTAACTCCAGCTATAAGCAGCTGGTGGTAGTTATTAGTTATTATTATTCTTGACCAACTTTATTCCACTAAAGTTGGTGAAAAGAATATTTTGTTACGAGGAACTCCAAGCAGTATCAATGAAATTAACATCCATAAGATTGTTATCTTCTTTATATGAAATTATGAATGTTACATTACAGGATATCCCTTTTCGTGGGAACCAAAACATAAAAAAAAATTTAATTGATAGATTCGTAAACGGCTTGACCGATTTCACTAAATCTTTTTTGTTGTGTTTGTTATTGTCAGGAGAAGGTTCCTATGCGAGAAAAATTTGAGAAATCTAGATGGCGGATCCAATATGCCGGATGAGTTTTGTGATTATAAATCAATTCCATTCAAAATAGCTCCGATTCGAAGATACAGAGTGGTGAATTTAAAAAATAAAAATCGACAAATACACTCCAAAAAAGTGATGACCAAATTATATCCACGAAGATAACAGCTCGAAAATATTCAGAAAATAATTTCCCCAAGAAAAAAAGTGTAAAACTACTCTAAGAAAAAAGTTATTGCCATTCTAAACCATAAGTGAAAAGGTGACATATTCGGGTTCCGCATCCCAAAAAGCTCCTGGCAACCAATTATTGAACTGATACGTTTAGAAATCTATCAAAAATATACTTTAGTGTCGAAGAAACACATTTTTATTGACAAAGCATGATAAATAAATAAATAAATAAATACAATAAGTGAAGTGAAATGAAAAATTTCATAGTCAAGATTGAAGTTGAACTCGTTGGAATACAGATATATAGACAATTTGAAAGACCAACAATTGAAATAAATAAATAAAGTGTATAGACTGGTATATAACATGAAGGTACATAAATTATTGAATGGATCCACATGCACTCCTATTGAAATGTATCTCTGTATATAAAACAGATATAGATAAAATAAGAGTAGGAATGAGTAGGATCAAACATAATGAAATCAACAATCATTATATGTATTGCACATTTGGAAATGTACAATCCAGTCAAACAAAACAAGAACAAGTCGATACATAAGTTTGTAGATATGGACGTACAGTATAACTCAACATACTTATAACACAACATAACACATATAACATTATTGTAAAAATATCTATCGATACTTTGCTCAATTAAAGTCGGTATTTTGTATTTGATTCAGCGTAGTAATATACTAATATTTTTACAATAATATTTCCGTGTGAAATTTCCTCACCGAATACAACTCTAGCATCAATTAAAAACCGGAAATTCTTTCTCGAACACGAATATTTAGAAAATTCTCTCTCCTCTTCGACTCGGGAAAAAATGTTCAAAATACCGCGAAAAATATTTCGGTAATAATTGAAGCTCTTGTTGTATTATAAGTGATGATTTCAGGAGGCGGGGAGCAAGTGGGAGCAGACGGGAGGTGGGAGCGGGCGCCGCTGCTGCCGCTGCCGCCGCCGCCGGCCTTCGACGGGATGGTGGGGCCGCCGATGATGCCGATGCCGCCGATGGATACGTCGATGCCGCCGCCGTCTATGCCGCCTCCGCCGACGCCGCCAGGTGAGTTAGAATGATGATGATTATGGCTTTGAAGATGTATCTTGGCATCAAGGCTTAATTGACAGATTGATTCTGCAGTTCCACTAATAACTATAATAATAATAATCTTTTATTTCCTCATATGACAAAACAATGTTTGTATAGGAACAGTAATTTTTCAGCCTAATCTAACGTTAGAGAACTAAAATTTACACTACATTAATTTAATTCTTGGATCGACATTATTTTATGGAATAAACAAGTAGGTACATAGACTGTGTAAAATACAGGATTACAGGTATAATAACGGAATAGCACATTAAAATTCTTGAAATTGGTTAGCTGCTATTGAAAACGTCCCCATTTTCCATCATTTCAAATTCAGAGATGCTATATAGACTATTTTCTGTTAGAATATTGTGCAGTTTCTGTTTAAAGAGTCTAATTGGTAAGTTCCGAAATTGTTCGGGCAGCATATTGTAGAGTTGTACATCCTTATTAGATGTTCTTTTCAATCTTTTCTGAGGGGGTACCAGGTTTTGCTTGTGCCTTGTATTGTAATTGTGTATGTCTGAATGCATGGAGTAGATATTCACATGCGCTTTGATAAAGAGAAGTTTTTGATAAACAATAATTGAATATACAGTCATAACTTTCAATGGGGGAGAATAGTGTTCTACAACTTGTGTTCCATGAGGCTCTAAGGATACTCCTGACAGCAAATTTTTGCAATGTAAATATTTTTGATATGTGTACTGGGGCAGCATTACTCCAGCATTGTACGCCATATAGTAATTGTGAATGGAACAGAGCATAATAAGTAGTTAATGCGGCATTTATGTTAGAAATTTCACTTTCGATAGTTTTGAGCTTAGTGCACTAACATGGGCTGACCAGTTGAGTTGAGGATCTAATTGAACACCTAGGAATTTTATTGATTTTTCAAGAGAATATTCATCACTGTGCTTAACACTGAAATGAAGTAAATTTGTTTTGGTTTCATTAAGAAATAGCTCATTAGTGGTGAACCAATTCTTTGCTTTAGACATGATATCTTGGTAGATGGCTTGTTGGTTTGTTTCCTTGCCAACTTCAATTGCAAACGTTGAATCATCAGCAAACATGCATGAGATACTGTTGCCAAGTATTACATTAGACGGCATATCATTGATATAAATTAAGAATAATAATGGTCCCAGTATAGACCCCTGTGGTACCCCTCTTGTTATTGGCAGTGCATTACTAGTATTTCCATCCACAACCACTACTTGGCATCTATTAGACAGATATGAATGAAATAATTTTAGGCACACTCCACGCACACCATATCTATGTAATTTGTCAAGGAGAATTGTGTGGTCTACACAATCAAATGCAGCTGATAAATCTGTGAAGATTCCTAAGCATTGGTTTTTATTTTCGAAACAATCTTCAATGTATTTAGTCAGATATAATATAGCATCAACTGTGGATAACCCTTTTCTGAAGCCAAACTGATTGGGGGCTAAGTACTTCGTGTAGGTTTATGAAATCAATTAGATTATTATATGCAACTTTTTCAAGTATTTTAGAGAAAGCTGGTAATATTGCGATTTGTCTAAAATTGTGTGGTATAGATGAATCACCTTTTTTGAATATAGGAAGAACTTTGCCTTGTTTCATGTTATTTGGAAAAACTCCCTCTTCTAGACATGCATTTATAATATGTACAAGAGGATTGGTTATATAGTTTACACACTTTTTCAGGATAGAAACACTAATACCATTGATGTCTTCAGTTTTTTTATTTTTCAAATTATTTATTATTTTTTTAATTTCTTCACATGTTACTGGTTGGAAAAACATTGAATTTTTTGAGTAAGGATTTTTTATAAGAGTTACTGCGCGGATATCAGTTTTCTCCATATTTTTCACAATATTATCAGCATTGTTGACAAAAAATCGATTGAGTTCATCCACTGTCAGATTTTCTGGTAATATATTTTTTTTATTTCGTCCAGTTTCTTTATTGATTATGTTCCATAATGTTTTGGGCTTGTTGTCAGATTCAATAATGCGAGTATTATTCAATTGTTTTTTTGAATTTTCTAGTATTTTGAGGTATTGTTTTTTATAGTGATTATAAATCTGTTTATTCTCACCTGTTGGATGGTTTTTGTGCCACGAGTATAGAAACATCAATCGATTTTTTGCGTCAATGATTTCAGGTCTTATCCATTTTGGTTTTCCCTTATATTTATTTAATTGTATATGACTGCAAGATTGTTCTGCCAATTTTTTTTATGTTCTGGTTCCCACGAAAATGGATACCCTGTAATGTTCAGAGAACATCGTGAGAACCAAGGGAAACAAGGTAGGAATTGGTGTTCTTCTAGAATTTCTGGAGGTTATATGCCTCGGGGAACACCTCCTTTGGCAATGTCTTCCAGAGCCTCGCTGTTCGTTGGATGAACGAGTCTTTGGAAAGAGATGTTCTGCAGATGTCTAAAGTGACCACGATGGGGTGCGAAGCCTCAACTCGACGGGTTAATCTCGCGGGGACTGCCAAGGGAGGAACAATTGTTGATATTCCAGAAGATCATCGTCCATGAAAATATCTATAAAATAGAGCCAGATCGCCAACTTTTCTACGGTGTTCCAGAGAAGTGAGTGAGTTTGTGAGCGAGGCATCGCCCACGAGACGAATGGCCCTTTTTTGGCAGAATCCAACAGTTTCAGGGTATATTTGGGTGCTGCACTCCAAATATGGGAACAGTTTTCCAGGACAGGTCGGATCTGTGCCTTATACCGGGTGTCAACGAATCTATTAGACAAGTCATAACTTCTAGACCATGAGGTGTATCAAAATGAGATTTGGTATAGGTGAATGGTATGTGAAGAGGAGAGTTCTCACATATTTTTCACTTCCCGGTCACTTCCGGTTTCACCGGAAATGGCTCCGGTTCTAAATTTTTAAATGGAACATCCTGTATATTGTAACAATTTTGGATTTCTGAGACAATTCTAGATCAGAATGTGACATTTTAGAAATTTTTTATGCCTACTTAATCATTTCGGAGTCACTTTCGAAATTACATCTAGGTGGCCATGATCGCGGAAATAAACGAATCTAAGGACCTCAGGTGATATCAGAAAATTAAAATCGCGAAGTTTTAGTGACAAGTATGATAGATATGAATAAGACAAGTTGGCAAAATCACATTTTCATGTCTATTATTTTTCAAATGGCGACCAATTTTTGTCAAGCACTTTCCGAAAAAAGGATATGTTGACGAATCTAATGATACTAATTTATTTACGATTGGATTACAAATAAGAACATGAATTAAATATTACTAACGAAAATACTTCATAATAATTCATTTACTTTTGTCAAGTGTGCCATGGATAATAATTCATTTACTTTTGCAAACACTTCCCGAAAAAAGTGTATTTTGACGAATCTAACGATACTAATTTATTTGCGATCAACAAATTTTTTGTTGAATTTGTTGGGCCCAGTACCGAGAATTTTGCTTATTAAACAAGCCATTATTTGTAAATCGTGATTCGTCGGAAAATATAATGAAGTTGATAAAATTTGGGTTAACTCTATGATTTTGAAGCAACCAATCACAAAACACTACTCGTCTATCGTCATCGTCAGCATACAAATGTTGATGTAACTGATATTTAAATGCTCGATATCCCTGCTTTTTCAATATTTTTCTTGCTGATTCGTGACTAATCTGTATTTCTCGACTAATTTCTCTTAAAGAAACCGTTTTGTCAACCTCTTCCATAGCAAGAACGTTAATCTCAGTCTCCTCATTTATGATAAACCTCTGTTCTGCCTCTCGATTTCCCTCTTGCCTAAAACGATTCTCAACATATGGAAAATACTGATGGGATGGATGTTGCCGATTGGGATATCTCTGAGCATACAACTCAGCAGCATTCCTTGAATTTCTTAGACATTCTCCAAACAATAACAACATATCCACTTTTTCACTTTGAGTATACTTTATTTTGACGGAAATTTGAAATAAAATTTAACGAAAATCAAGAAAATTTTACCTTCTGCTCTTGAAGCTTATGTCACTGTCATAACCTAAGTGAATGTTTTGTTCTCCCAAGAAGACGATCGAAATAATTGCATAATATTATGCATCATGCCTATCCTCGGCACACTTGACAAAAGTAAATAAATTGTTATGAAGTATTTTCGTCAGTAATATTCAATTTATGTTCTTATTTGTAATCCAATCGCAAATAAATTAGTATCGTTAGATTCGTCAAAATATCCTTTTTTCGGAAAGTGCTTGTCAAAAAATGGTCCCCATTTGAAAAATAATAGTTAGACACGAAAATGTAATTTTGCCAACTTGTCTTATTCTAATCTATCATACTTGTCACTAAAATTTCGCGATTGTAATTTTCTGATATCACCTGAGGTCCTTAGATTAGTTTACTTCCGATCATGGCCACCTAGTTGTAATTTCAAAAGTGACTCCGAAAAAATTTAGTATGCATAAAAACTATCGAAAATGTCACATTCTGATCTAGAATTGTCTCAGAAATCCAAAAATGTTACAATATACAGGGTGTTCCATTAACAAATTTAGAATCGGAGCCATTTCCGGTGAAACCGGAAGGGAACGGAAAGTGAAAAATATGTGAAAACTCTCCTTTTCACATACCATTTACCAATACCAAATCTCATTTTGATACACCTTATGGTCTAGAAGTTATGACTTGTCTAATAGATTCGTTGACACCCGGTAGATCATAAGCAGCTGACTGGAAGTGAAATAGCTCCTGGCCCGAAACAGAAAACCAAGTTTTTGGGATGCACTGTTAGCAATTGATCTAACATGATTTTCCCAAGGTTATTGCTGATAGTAATACCAAGCATCGAAATGGATGCCTTCAAAGGTATGGTTACTCTTGACGAGCTTATGTTGGGCACAGTGAGATCGGCTTTTTTAGAGAAAAGGCATGCTTGTGTTTTTTTTGCATTGAAATCTACCAAGTTATTGGATCCCCATTCGAGAATTGTTGCCAAGTCCATATTTATGTGGTCAACATTTCTTCCTCGTTCGTTTCTGATTTGCCTGGCTGGTATTGGAGCCCTCGAAGAGAAGGCGGTATGGAGGGTACTATCATCCGAGAAGCTGTGTACTGGACATGAAGTTGCTTCCAACAAATCGTTGATATGGAGTAGAAATAGTGTTGGTGCTAGAATTGATCCTTGCGGAACACCAGCATTTGTGATGAAGAGAGTCAGATGAAACTCCGTCGACTTCTACATGGATAGACCTGATTACAGATATTAATAAATAACTTGTTATTTTTGAGAACTTCAACACCCTGCATCTCAAAAGTTGAGACGTTTAGATCATAAGTTGATATATTTTCTTCTTAAAATGGGTTCAAGATTCGCCTCTTCAAATATTGACATTCAATTTGAAAACACCCTGTATTTCTAATGGGTCTGCTACTATTTGTCGATCTTTTTACATCGAGTATCGAGAATCCCGCATTCGACTGTGTAACTTAAATTTGGACTGAAAAATCTAACCTCAAAAAAGTTATGCTCAAAAGAACTCTGTACGAACCGTGTAACTAGTGCCCTCTATGAGTGTCAGATATAGAAACAAAGTCATACGATGTGTCAGCTTTCAGAACTAATCCATTCACAATGTTGCCAGTATAGTTTCCACATAATCGTAAAAAATGTGTAACACCTTGTATCTTGACGGATGCCGATACGCATTTTTTCACTTAGCAAACCCAACTTATTTTGCAATGTACTACCTACCCTAGCAAGGGGGTTAGGTTTTTTTGAAACATCCTGTATATACTTTCTATATATGTATTTCGTTATTTACTCACAATGTCTATTACTATCTATTATTTATTTATTCACACATATTTCATATTGCTGACGTATTCTTAGTTATTGTACAGGGTTCTAAAAAATTTTTGTTCTAAAAAAAAAAAAAATTGTTCTAAAAAAAAAAATTGTACAGGGTGAGTCAATAGTGTGTTCTTCTTCGATATTGGCTGAACCGTCAGATATATAAAAAAAATGCAGATAGAACAGTTATAGGGTTTCATGAGAACTATAAACCTAAATTATTTTCATATCTATAGGGTGCTCAAATTCCAAGATATCGACTGGTGATGAAGTTTTTAAAGAAGACATCCTATATATTATTGCATTTTTAGGTTCTCCCTGAAGAGCTGATTTCACCAATGCATCACACTTGGAGTCTAGCAGAAATGATTTCAGAGATATAGAGTGTTCTAAATCGCGATTTTTCAAGTTTAGAATTTTTTTGTATCGAAACTATCCATTATTAGTCAAAACGGCCCACATGTCCCTATATCAACTTTTTACTTACTATCTACTGACATTTAATTGGGACAGATACAGGGTGATCAGAATTCTTGAAGTTTGAACCACCCTGTATTGGTTCCAATTTAATGTCAGTAGATAGTAAATCAAAAGTAATCATAGGGACATGAAAGCCGTTTTGACTAATAATGGATAGTTTCGAAACAAAAAAATTCTAAACTTGAAAAATCGCTATTTAGAACACTCTATATCTCTGTAATCATTTCTGCTAGACTCCAAGTGTGATGCATTGGTGAAATCAGCTCTTCAGGGAGAACCTAAAAATGCAATAATATATAGGGTGTCCCATTTGAAAAATCCATCATCTTGCGATATCTTGGAATTCGAACACCCTATAGACATAAAAATAATTTGAGGTGATAGTTCTCATTAAACCTCATAACTGTTGTATTCGAATTTTTTTTTCTATATATCTGACGGTTTTGCTAATATCGAAGGAGGACACACTATTGAATCACCCTGTACAGCTGTACTTTTTAACAAATGAAATAAAATCTATCTATCTACCGTTTCAAGCGATGCAAATGATGAACCACCCCCCGATGATGGCCCAATCGCCGCTCCTCCCTCTGCCGCCACAACCCTGGATGCCCGAAGAGGATCATCAACAGCAGCACCACCACCACCAACAGCAGCAGCCGCACCTGCACTCTGGAGCGAATGGCGGTCATTTGGGCAACCTCGCCAACTTCGACGACGACCATTGCTGGATGGGCGGCTTGGGCGACGTAGGCGAGATGGACAACATGGGCGGGATGGATAACATGGTCGTCGGGATGGACAGCACGGTGGGGATGGATGCCGGCGGGATGGACGTCAGCGGGATGGATATGGCCGTCATGGATATGCCACTGGAAGGTCAGTTCTCGTTCACAGGTGGTGCAGAAAAAATTTAAAATGAGCAATATGTTCTTTGAATCTTCTTTATATATTTTGTCTTGTTTGTCCAATATGTTTCCTGTGTTTTGATTGACGTATTTTGTGATGTGAACTCGTCTTTTTGCTTATTATTATTATTATTATCACTCCGTTCAGGCAAAACAAGATATTATGTATAGGGATAGATATAATCGTCATGGATATGCCTCTGGATAGTCAGTTCCCTTCTACAGACGGTGCTAATAATCCTAAAATGGTCAATATGTTCTTTGAGTCTCCATTATCTGTTTTGTCTTGTTTGCCAACTATGTTTCGTTTGTTTTAATTGTCATATTGTGTGATGTGAACTTTTCTTTTTGCTCATTGTCACTATTAGCACCCTCTTTAGTCAAGCATGATTCTGGATATAGGGATACATATGGCCGTCATGGATATGCCACTGGAAGGTCAGTTCTCGTTCATAGGTGGTGCGGAAAAAATTAAAATGAGCAATATGTTCTTTGAATCTCCTTTATCTATTTTGTCTCGTTTGTCCAATATGTTTCTTGTATTCTGATTGACGTATTTTGTGATGTGAACTTGTCTTTTTTCTTATTGTTGTTATTATCACTTCGTTTAGACAAAACATGATTTTATGTACAGGGTGTTAGCGAAACATGTCGTGTGATTGAGAATTTTGTGGAAATCTCATCGTTTGTGAAGTTTTTACATTAGCTATGAATTACAAGTTACGGCCGAGTCAATTCAAAATTTGGACAATATGTTCTTCAAATCCTCTCTATCTATTTCGTCTTGTTCTTCCAATATGTTTCGTTTGTTTTGATTGTCGTTTTGTGTGATGTGGACTGTCTTCTTGCTCATTGTTATCATTATCACCTTGTTTTGTCAAAACATGATTCTGGATATAGGGATACATATGGCCGACATGGATATGCCTCTGAAGGTCAGTTCTCGTTCACAGATGGTGCGTAAAAACCTAAAATGTACAATATGTTCTTTGAATCTTCTTTATCTGTTTCATCTTGTTTGTCCAATATTTTTCATTCGTTTTGATTGTCGTATTGTGCGATGTGAACTTGTCTTTTTGCTTACTATCATTCTGTGTTTCTAAGATCAATAAAATTATTATTATTATTATTGTTTAGACAAACTATGATTCTTGATATAGGGATAGATATGGCCGTCATAGATATGCCTCTGGATGGTCAGTTCCCGTTTAAAGACAGTGCTGAAAATCCAAAAATGGGCCATATGTTCTTTGAATCATCTTTATCTATTTTATCTTGTTTGTCCACTATATTTCGTTTATTTTGATTGTCGTATTGTGTGATGTGAACTTGTCTTTTTGCTGATTGTTATTATTATCACTCTGTTTAGTCAAAATATGATTCTACATATGGCTGTGAATGGTCATTTTCCGTTCACAGACGGTGCGGGGAAACCTAAAATGGACAATAATATTATGTTCTTTGAATATTCTCTATCTATTTTGTCTTGTTCAACATGTTTTGTTTGTTTTGTTTGACGTATTGTGTGATGTGACCTTGTCTATTTGCTTATCATTATTATTATCAACCTGTTTTGTCAAAACATGATACCAGATATAGGGATACATATTGCTGTCATGGATATGCCTCTGGATGGTTAGTTCCCGTTTACGGACGGTGCGTAAAAACCAAAAAAATGTGTTTTAACTCTGTTCAGACAAAACATGATTCTAGATGTAGGGATAGATATGGCCGTCAACGTTATGCCAATGAAAGGTCAGTTTTCGATTACAGATGGTGCGGAAAAACATAAAATGAGTTATATGTTCTTCGAATCTTCTTAATCTTTTGTCTTGTGGTCCAATATATTTCCTTTGTTTTGATTGTCGTATAGTGTGATGTGAACTTGCCTTTCTCCATATTGTCATTATTATCACCCTGATTAGTTGAAACATGAATATGCCTGTCGTTTACATGTGGTGCAGAAAAACCTAAAATGAACAATATGTTCTTTGAATCATCTTTATCTATTTCGTCTTGTTTGTCCAATATGTTTTATTTGTTTTTATTGAGGTACTGTGTGATGTGAACTCGTCTTTTTGCTTATTGTTATTATCACCCCATTTAGACAAAACATGATTCTAGATATAGGGATAAATATGGAAGAATGGAAGTCATAGATATACCTCTGGTTGGTCTGTTCTTGTTCACAGGTAGTGAGCTTCCTCATAGGTACGAAACTCACGACACGCCACTGGTACTGATGTTTTGTAGCAATGAGTGTTATCAGTGTAGATATTCAAATGTAAGGATTATCTAAAAATACTTATACTTATGACGAATATTCAAATGTGGAAGGATTATCTCATAAGTAAGTATAAGTATTATTAGACAATCATGCCACATTATAGAGGTCAGGCTTACCCAAAATATCGTTGATACGGGTAATTTTTGCATATTTTATTTACTGAACAGACAATATTATACCTCATGCGATTATGCAGGTGTAATATTGCCTTCAACAATAACCAATCCAACCAAAGCCAACGCTTCACTATGGTTTCCAACGCTGTCTTCTTAGTTGAAATGGACTTTAATGTTCAATCCAAATATCGCACTGCCAAAAGGGAATTTCGCAGGTAAAACTGGTTTTGCACCAATCATGAGCTAGTGAGAAAGGTTTCTCGGACACATCCAAAGTGTTCGTGTTATAACTGTAATATCGGAAATGTCTATAAACAGGGTAGTTAAAAGGGAAAATAGAAATATTGATTGCTTTATTCAAAGAATTGAACTTTTTAATTACATGCAATGGGGAAGTTTCCTTCAGATGAATTTTCATAAAATAAGTTCGGAACTCTCCAGTTTTATGTCCACGCTGTACATAATGGCGAATGATAAATTCCAAGTCCTCTTTATTTTTCAAATTGAAGCAATTTCTAATTTTCGACGTGGCAAACTGTGACGTACTTTCTGAATCTAGTCTGAAAATAGCTGATGGTGAAGAATATAGCTAGCAAATAGCTAACGAATAAAAAAAATGGAAGAAGAAGTAAAACTGGTAAGCAAAAACATACATAACCACAAATGGCTTCATTCTGACAGGTTATGGTTTTGTTATTAATGCATTGAAATATCTGGAGTAGAGCTCGATCCTAAACGGAAATATCATTGAATCAATGAATCACTATCGGCTACATTCAATGATACTATCCTTCCTAATTTACTGCCATCGGTCAGAACAGAATGAAGCCGATACCCATGGCTACTGCCTCTTGTTATGCCTGTCAGTATTTTGAGGGGTGTGGACGGACTCGAAGTATTAGGCGCTGTTGCATGATATAATCTGCAACTTTCCTAGAAAATAGATCCGTTTCATTAAGGAAAAAAAAAATGACTGACAAGTTATGAATAACATATTGTAATATAACGATATTGAAAAGTTATAGATACTATTGCAAAATATCATAATTTATCTTTATTAGTAATCAACTTCATCCAGCCAATGAGAGATTTATGAAAATTATTCATAATACTTGACAAAGTAGGATTGAAGAACTTATCATATCCCATTGCTGTTATGATAGAGTTATCATGCTTTCAAAGAACAATTTCCGGAAATCTTGACATATTGATGATGTCGGCAACGTCGTACTGGCACAGGGAATCGTATTTTAACTCTGTGTGAATGTGGATTTTCAGAAAGTACGTCATAGGAATGGTGGAGGAGCCAAGTTCCTCTTTTATGTATTTTTTTTTTGAAGTGAAATCTGATCTTACGGAAAAAAGAAAAAATATGTATGCATTAATTTTTCAAAAACTTCACAGTGAGATAAAAATCTCAATAAAGGAAACTTCCCCATTAGAGGAACCGGGCGTCAAATTAGTGGTGTTTAGTTACCCTAAATATTGTTTGAATTGCAATAATTCTCCGTGTTCGAATGAAACACATAAATAAATCTGGATTATATCGTTTAGGGGATGAAGGCAATTGGGATAAGCCGTTCCCTCAGCAGCCCCCTAATGAATGGATGGGGCCCCCTCCGCCGAACATGGGCTTCGGTTTCAGAGAGAGAGGCCGAGGGAACAACAGAGGAAACTTCATCAACAACAATTTCAGTAAAAGAGGTGAGTTTTTGCTGTTATTTCTCCCTAAAATATATCGAAAATATATAATTTGTTTGCATGCTAAAGTGAAACGGAACTCGAATAAAATCGAAGGAGTGATTAGGAAGTCAGGAATGGTAGCCTGTGTGAAAAAGATTCTACAAGTAGCTCATAGTATTAATTCGTGATACATTATACTGATGGAAATTATTTGGGTCCTACCGACGGCGCCAAATTTAAAATTGCATTCAAAAAACACATCATTTCATTACAAAATAGATGAAATTGTTAATTTGTCATCCACTGATTGATCCCTGTTGCTGTTTAATAATTTTATCGATTCAGCATTTTTTTGTTGTTGTTGTCCCCTCATGTTATTTCATTATTATTCATTCCTTCCTCATACCAGAATTCAATTTTTGACTGGAAGTTATTTTCACAATAAAAATATAAAATATAAAAAGGCATTGAAAGTATTGTATCGTCGTCCATATGATACTTCAACGAATCAACTGTATAAGAAAACAAACACATTTTCTTTTGAAGAGCACTTTTTAATCAATACTATCAAATTTTATATTAATTAGGAATACCAAAATTCATGGTCATCACACTAGACAATATAACTTGGTTCATCTTGAAGCTGCAAATTCTAATCTTGGACAAAAAAGTTTGCACATGAGGCGATTTCGAAATTCAATAAATTACCAGATGATATCAAAAACAACCCAAATATTATTCAATTTAAAAATAAAGTGAAGAAATATATATATTATATGCAAAGGAATGATCAATGCTGAAAGACTATGAATTTCCTTTTTTTTCTTCACTGTTTTTTTCCCTTCTTGTTCACTGTAAAATGACTGTTATATTGAGATATCTTAATGATATTTTTTTTTGAAACTTTTTTTTGAAATAGTTTCATTTATTCAAAATTGTATATAATAATATATAATACATAATATATAATTTATTATTTATTTATTTATTTATTTATTTATTCTCATATGAATACATTTACAAAGACATACATATTCTAATATTATAAAAATTCTAAATTTTATCTACTTCACATAGGTTATTGACCTGTGTGTGAATTAGATAATTATTATAAACTTTTTGTAAAAAATTTTCAAGTTCTTAAAAATAAAATATTAAGGATTAATTCATCTAATATATATCAAAAAATTTGAATAATTTATGTAAAGATAAAAAAATATAACATCTTTGAAATTTGAATTCTTCCAGTACTTAATTATACAATGCAAATAAACTGTACAGAGACCATATTGGACATAACAAATGTAAAATTATGAATATATCTCTTTGGCATATTTCTTGAATATGGAGTAACTGTAACATGCTTTAGTTTCATCAGGAAGCCTATTATACTCTTGTAAAGCTCGACCAATGGGATTATTTAAAGTAATGTTGGTTCGTACATTGGGCAGGGCTATGTCATTATGGTTTCTTGTATTGTAATCATGTATGTTGTGCCCATGTTGAATTCTTCCATTGGATTTTTGTAGTGAGTTCACGATTTTATATGCATATTTAACTTGTTTGATTTTAAAAATACCATCCAATTTTATCAAATGTTCATTACTGTATAGGACCTCACTTGGAGTTCTCATATTCAGACTGAATAGCATTTTTAAAACCTTGTTTTGCAAAACTTGCATTTTTTAAAATGGGTCTCCGGACAGGTTCCCCAGATGGTAATTAAGTACCTGAATACACTGATGAAGTATACATTATAAATGTTGTATTTCATATACTGGTCTGTGAAATCTCTGAGTTTATAAAGTGCTCCTACCATGGGTATTATTTTATTACTAATTTTGTCTATATGCTCAATCCAATTCAACTTATTATTCATAATTAATCCTAGGTATTTAGTGACTGTAACCCTTGCCAATGTATATTCACCTAATTTAATGCAAGTGTCATCTATTTCCATATTCCTTTGTTGGAAACAAATATAAACAGTTTTTGATTCATTTATTTTCAAGATATTTGTCAGGATCCATTTTCTATATACATTCAGGTCTTCGTTGATCAGGTTTTCCAGCATCTTAAGTGATTGACCTGTATAGACTAGTGCAGTATCATCTGCAAAGGTGAAGTATCTTGCTTGTAGATTGCATTTTTTTAGGCTAAGTACATGTAATGAGTAGAGGAGTGGACCAAGTACAGAACCTTGTGGTATTCCGCAGTTAATATATGAGCTATCACTATTTATTTCGTTCACCGATACAACTTGTTTTCTGTTATGTAGAAATGATTGTAATATTTGATGAGTTAACCCTCTTATTCCCATTAAATATAGTTTTCTCAGCAAAATTTCATGGTCAACAACATCAAAGGCTTTTCTCAAGTCTACGAAAATAGCGATTATATATTGTTTTTTATCAAGGATATGTATGTTTGTTCACTATTTGTAATTTCAATTATACAATAGTAGATAATACTTCATGAATGATCTTATACCAACCATTACTGTTTGATTATTCATTCATTTCTACTAGAAAATTAATTATACTTTATATATTATTTGTTTAAAATGTATCAGTGAAGAAAAGAATGTAATGCAATATCTGAAATAAATGAAATAAACATAACGTATCGTCCGAATTATGATTACAGGTAGAGGCAGGGGAGGCAACTTCAACCGCGGCGGCGGTCCCGGAAACAATTTCCGCGGTGGCCACAGAGGCGGCCCCAGGGGTGGCCCTAGGGGCGCCGGAGGTGGCAACAGGGGTTTCTTCCCGAGGGGGAATTTCAGGGGCAACTTCCGAGGTGGGTTCTGATAAACCGCCGGTGTGCCGTCTTTGTCGCATCTTTGTATCATAGGCTATTGTACGGTGACACGCACGTCATACGCGAGGTATGTCGAAGGACCCTGCAGATTGTGATCGGCATATGTGGTGTTCGGTGGACAAGTTTCTCGATTTGGAGTTGATTTTTTTCGGGTTCGGAAACACACTTAGGTCCTTCCAAAGTTGGTCTTTGAATCATATTTTTATGTTATGGATTTCGGTAAAGTAGTATTGAGTCCAATAACTAGTATAATGTTTCTTATTTATAGTAAGTTTCAATAAATGTATGCACCCATAGATATCACTTTTCATTCTTGAGATTTACACGGTAATATCACTATGACTTTTTCCCTACCTCAATAATATCCTCAAGCAAACAATACAACTTCATAAAGAACAACAACAATTTAATGATGCTTCCATCGAAGCAGTGTTGCAGATTTTCGCCTCTCAGTGCATCTATACTAAACCTGCTGTTTATTTTCTTCGCCATATTTTTCATTGAAGGCTCACATTTTCTTTCTTACCAGTCTACACTACTGGAGCTTGACCTTTTCTACAAATTTCGCTAGATAGATAAAGGCAAATACCTGCTTTTCCAAACATTTGCTGTGATGTTCCCATCCAAGCAGTGTTGCAGATTTTTCGCCTGTCAGTGCATCTAGAACCGTGCTGTTTCTTTGCTTCGCCATCTTTATCATTGACGACATTTTCATTTTCACCTGTCGACAATCTAGAGCTTTGGGTTTTCTCCAAATTTCGCTAGATAGCCATGAAAGCAAATACCTGCTTTTCCAGCATTTGCGGATTTTCTTATGTGTCCTACCGATTGCGCCATACTTTTAGTGGCTTTGAGTCCACTAATTAATTGAATACTTCATATTTACAATAAGTTTCAATAAAAGTATGCACTCATTCTTGCAATTCACAAGGTAATATGTATTCCCTACCTCAATAATATCCTCACGCATCCAATATAACTGTGATGTTCCCATCCAAGCAGTGTTGCAGATTTTTCGCCTGTCAGTACATCTAGTAACCCTGCTGTTTCTTTGCTTCGCCATCTTTATCATTGAGGGCTAACATTTTCATTATCACCTGTCGACACTTCTAGAGCTTGAGGTTTTCTCCAAATTTCGCAAGATAGCCATAAAGGCAAATACCTGCTTTTCCAAACATTTGCGGATTTTTTTGTGTCTTACCGACTGCGCCATACTTGTAATGGCTTTCAATGAATCAGTGGAATGAGTCCACTAACTAATTGACTACTTCATATTCACAATAAGTTTCAATAAAAGTATGCACTCATTCTTGCAATTCACAAGGTGATATTCCCTACCTCAATAATATCCTCACGCATCCAATATAACTGATGTTCCCATCCAAGCAGTGTTGCAGATTTTTCGCCTGTCAGTGCATCTAGTAACCCTGCTGTTTCTTTGCTTCGCCATCTTTATCATTGAGGGCTAACATTTTCATTATCACTTGTCGACACTTCTAGAGCTTGAGGTTTTCTCCAAATTTCGCAAGATAGCCATGAAGGCAAAAACCTGCTTTTCCAAACATTTGCGGATTTTGTTGTGTCTTACCGACTGCGCCATACTTGTAATGGCTTTCAATGAAGCAGTGGAATGAGTCCACTAACTAATTGACTACTTCATATTCACAATAAGTTTCAATATAAGTATGCACTCATTCCTGCAATTCACAAGGTAATATTCCCTACCTCAATAATATCCTCACGCATCCAATATAACTGATGTCAGTGCATCTAGTGACCCTGCTGTTTCTTTGCTTCGCCATCTTTATGATTTAGGGCTCTAACAATTTCATTGTCACCTGTCGACACTTCTAGAGCTTGAGGTTTTCTCCAAATCTCCTTAGATAGCCCTAAAGGCTAATACCTGTTTTTCCAAGAATTTGCGGAATAGTGGTGTCTCCCATATTATAAAACTCTTGATGTTTTGATGTGTCCTACCGACTGCGCCATATTTGTAATGGCTATCAGTGAAGCAGTTAATTTTTTTTTTTTTTTTTGAATACTTCATATTAATGAGGAGTTTCGATAAATGTATGCACCCATTCTTGCGATTCACGAGGTAAGATTATCATGATTTTTTCCTACCTTAACAGCATCCTCAATCCAGTGTTCCTGCTGTTTCGTTGCTTCGCCACCTAGGTGCTACTAGAGCTTGACATCTCATTGTCAATATTCTCAAATTTTCGCTGGATAGCTCTAAAGGATAAGGCCTGCTTTTACAAAAATTCACGAACCATTGGTGTCTCCTAGCTGAACGAAAGAGACAAAGGTATCCTAAAGTAGGGGTCATATGAAACGAAAGAAAAAGTATGTCATGAAAAGCTCACGTTCCTGCAATGTAATCTGGTGGACATTAAAATCTTTCTAAGTCAACATTATTTACGGATACCGGTTACTTTCACTACTGATCTAACTACCGAGTGTACCGTGTACCGAGGTGAAACATCGATCAATGCAAGTTTATCATGTTATCTTTCATCGATGCACTTACTTCATAATAGTTGGTTATAATGGACTCTAAATAACATCACACGCGGTATCTTCATCTAAATTTGCATGGTTCTTGAAGTTGTGTGATGTGTCCTACCGACTGCGCCTTATGCCATTTTGTAATGGCTTTCAATAAAGTTTGGCAATGAAACAAACACTAATCAGCATGTCTCATGTTTTTTACACACTTGTTCCTTCTTTCATTTTATCGTCAAAATTTTACAAGGGAGTGTCAGACTTTTGTAGGCTAGGGTACTCGTGCGCTACACTTGCTCTGTCTGGAAACAAAACGATTATTATTAATTAGTGATGAACCATAAACAGCTGAACACCCTATTTTTGATCCTGCATTATAAATAAAGACCCTGCTGAATATACAGACTGTAGGCTGTGATTCTGCTCAACTATCGAAAAACTTGGATTCCAAGCGCCATTTTGCGATAACAGTCTGCAGGAATTCCTCGATAATGATGATTTATCGCACGTACTGTAGGTTAGGTTACGCAGAGGTACCGAAAATCTCGATTTTGGCGCGTTTCGACCGAATTTTTGGTGGAGACGTGCGATATGTAGCTATTTTTATTTTCTAAAATAAGATCAATTTCGTGACAGAAATGTCGATTGTGTATTGAATTTTTTCGATTATATACGATTTTGTCTGTTCCTAGACATATACAGGGTGTTCCTCAGAGTTTTTGAGCGAATGGAACTAGTGTAATTAATTGAAAATCAACAAAAATGATTGCAACAGCCATCAAGTGATGATTTCAAATAGTTGCTGATGTGGAATCACTATGCTATTTTTATTCCACTGGTGGCGGCGTTACATCTGTGTATGCTCCCTTTATGACTAAAAAGTGAGGTTAGGACGTACCGGTATTCTGCGTTTATTGCAGACGTCCTCGAAGAGCACGAATTCACGCAGTAACCATTATAATGAACTTTTGGAAACGAATTTCGCCACTGCGAATAAATGAATACCCAAAGATTAATATCTGAAATGACTGTCAGACTCAAGTCAACGACATAAATTACTAACTAGACCGCTAATGATATAGGAGGAGGTAAAACAACCTCACTTTTTTTATTTGTATACAAGAGATTGAAATAGTTTTTCATAATTATGTTGGCATATGAATCATGTTTTTTGGGCTATTCATTTATTCAAGTAAATTGTGATCTGAAAGTACTGTAGTCACAAATTTTATCTTTTTTCTTCAGAATGCCTCTGCCCCTTCTGCAATAGAAGCTATTAGAGTGAAAATGTAACACACACGATTGGTTCCTATTGCAGAAGGAATTCTAAAGAGGAAATACAAAATTTCAAAATGAGAACTATATGAGGGACCACACAAGCAATATTTAACTACCTGAAAAATCTAATTCCTTCGTCTCGCTGCATTTTTTGTGCATTGTTCAACAGCAACAATGTGATGCCATGCTTGAAAAAATTTATATCCCAAGAAACACCATTGATATGTCAAAATAATTGTGAAAAACTTCTCCAATCATATGTAAACAAATAAGAAAAGTAAGGTTGTTTTACCTCCATGGTCGGTCATCGGATAAATCGTTATTGGTTATCTTCAAGCATCAGTGGCAATGAAAATTTATCCATAACGATTTTTTCTAACCTGGTGGGCATGTTGGATATGTGGAATTATTCCGAGTTGTGAATGTACTGACAATTTGGTGATAGAAATTAGATTGACGATTGGCTGGTTGTCCAAACCTGAGGATTCACCCTGTATATAATTGTGCTGTAAATAAGTGTATAACCTATAGTGTAACTTCACGATAAATTACCAGCAAGTTGCTTTCACAGGATGTCGGGATTTCATGGAATTGTTATAGAGGATTTTAGTTTGACACCCTGTGACATAAATACTGTTTTCGGGAGATAGATTGCCTATTGTTTTGTATCGATTTTCTTGAAGTGTTTTCGATTCGAATTCATCCGTTTTCAGGATGAGAAGAGTCTTTTAAAATACCAGTTGAGAAATCGTACAAAAGTATAGTTTATGAAATAAACATTGATGTATGGAGTTTTCGTTCATTGATTTATGTGTTGTGTGCTCGAGGAACGGCCCTGTAACGCATCCTTGAGGTACTGCCGATTTAGGGTGAGTAGGTAGATTTAAAAGATGTTGAATAATGGAAGTGTTGTATATGGTTATTAAAGTCGATCTTCTGGATGATATGTGATTATATGAGCCTAGAGTTGTTTGTGATAATGCTCTGAAAACTAGGAGTATATTGATATGTCCCATGTGGTACCTTTTGTTGGAGATTGGGGTAATTTACAGAATTCACTCGACTAAAATTTATTGTAAATGTAATTTAAGAGGGGAATATGCGTTTATTGTGCGGAATTATATAAAAAAAACTATATTCACTATCGTTCATCGTTTGAGAAGCATACTTAATAGGCATTAAGGTGGTTTAGCCCCTATTGGTCGTGGAGTTGAATTTTGTTTAATGATTTTCTTTAATAATTCGATGTGTTCTGAGTAGTCACATACACTTTAGAGGAAGAAAATCTAAACTCGAACTAGAAGAGGATAATAGAGCATAAAGAGGGTGTCCAGAAGAAAGTGATTGAATGGAAATGATTCCTCAAGTCAAAATATTGGGGTATATCCATACTTACATCTACAACAACAAAAATCTCATATCTCAAGTTAGTTATTTTGCATATCACTCATTGAAGATATGGTGAATTAAAAAAATATATATTTTTGTAAGCACAGGTAGGTACATACATATTTCATTCCTTTGAGAAAACTACTGTACAGAAAATTTAAGTTATCAAATTTCACAACCTCGCTGTGGCACGTGTGTCCAATTTTTGGTCAGAGGTAAATATGTATGCTGTATCCCAATATGTTGAGCTAAAGAATTTGCTAATTTCGTTCTATCAATGTTGTTCTGTACACTTTCTTTGTTTCTCAAACCCCGCAAAATTCTTTGAATATTTTTCTTCATACACCATGAGAACCAATTGAGAATCCGAAAGAATGGGAATACAATTAGAACATAAAACTCTTTTGCGAAAAAACAAACTCTCAGTACAATAAAGAGATACAGTATTTTCATAGAAGCTATATATATACCACCATCATTATATCCAAAAATGATCCCACCCATTTTGAAGCGTCACAGTATCCGTTACTTGGTTTTGACATGATCAAGTCGCAAGCTCATGAAAAAGCAGCTTCAGAGAAGTTATTCCACTACCATTGATGGGTTTATTACCAAGGAACACGTACATACCTACATGTAAAGATGAAACCCTGTAGAAAATGGGTAAAACTCTGACGGAGGAAACGAGTCTTGTACCTACTTGTACCCAAAGATTCGAGATAATACCTACTTAAGATCTTTGTGCAAACCATATACTATGAGCAGTTGACCAAGAGGATCATGGATCATTCAAAAGACTTCATTAAGGGGACATATTACTAAACCCCCAAAGAGGAAAAAAAAGTTTCGGACTTGTCACCATACTTTGAATCTGGTACTGGAATTGCAGCAGGGCGATATTATTTTTTCACCTTGTAAAATATAGGTAGGTATACCTATACCAACTCACCAATATATGTCAAATAATCTCACAATTTGGACCATACTATATTCTTTTTACCACCATTTCCAGAAGCCATAGAACCTACCATTATCTACTCCTTTTCAAGGCGTACTACCAAGGTTGTTTTCGTCATTTCATTAATAGTCAATAAAGACCTAGCCACCTCTGTTATAATCAACCCAAATTCACTGTTCTGATGCGAGATTCGCAGGAATGGCACACGAATTTAGTAGGTATTTATCAATAATGTCTTGTTATATGCTGTCCATGGTCTTATTATGGCTCTTAGATTTTGATTAGAATTGAAAAAGAAGTGCTTTCATAGTGACAATGTTCATATTTCAGTTTCACAGAACTATAATGATTGAAATATAAATATCTATCTAAATAACACCGAAAAAATTCAAGAGGTGTTTCCTTGTGACATTCTAGTAATTGAAGTTCATGTAAACATGTCTCCTAACTTGCTCCGTTTTTGAGATACAGGATGTTGAAGTTGGAAGTATTAATTGTTTTTATTGATAACCCCCCTGTATATATAAGCTTTCATGGGGCCAAAATTCAGTATAGATGGAGACTGAGAAAGCCCCAAAATTTAAAAATCATCCAAATTGGGGTTATTGAGCAATCTCAATGGAAATCTTGAAAACACCTACATTAATTAATTTTAAAATTTGCAGTCAAATCGAATTTTTATTGTTTCCTCAAAAACTAAGCTAGATAAAAAATCACACAGAGGATAAAAAAGTTGTTATTTCAATAGTTCAATCTGATAAAAATATCAAATTCAGAAAAACCGGTGGTGTACAATGACATTCACCATTAATATCGATAAATTTACCCACTGTGACGCCACTGGAAATATTATTTCAAATCTAATTGCACTAGAAGAAGCTCCATATTACTATTAACAAAACCACTACATTTTATTGAAATTGATGAAAAGACAATTGATAAATTAATAGAGAAAAAAAATTCGTGGAAATATTAATACCCTGATGTATCTCGAAAACGAGGCAATTTAGGGCACATGTTTATGTAAACTTTATTTCCTAAAATAGGTATCACAAGGAATCACCCCTTGAATTTTTGCGTTGTTATTTAGAAACACCCTGTATATTGTTGATGGTAAAAAAAATTTAATATACACATTGGTAGTAAAGGCTGAATAAGCCTCGGGATATAATCTTGGTCCCTGGGTAATGATATTCTTCACTACCTTGGCATATAAATATCTATTCTTTGCTATATTTGTTACAAGTTGCTATAGGCACTTGATTGCAATAGGTGTGGAGGTCCAGCATTTTTGATTGTGTCATGATAAAAATGTATCGCCCTGATGAACTTCAACGCATTGTAGTGTAGACTATTGGTCTTTATTCAAGAAATCATACTGGGGTATTAACCAAAAGAGTTTAAACTAGTAGGTACCTAAATCATTATTTCTAGAAGATTTTTAACTAACTATATTCTTTTCGGAAAAAATGAATCACCCTGTATGTATTTTTTGAAATTCACAAAATAATTGGATAAGTTTAATGGCTGGGATCAGGCTGGGATGAACAAAATTCAATTTTTATTGCAAGAAGTAATTCAAGAGAAATCAGCAAAGGGACCAAATGTACCTAGATTAAGGGCCATTAGGGCCAAGGTCATGTCAAGGTAATGATAGGTATCAGATTTTGAGTTTATGTGTGGTTATGTTGATAAATGGCCTTGGGCCCCTTGGGGCATAGATCAGATTCTTGTGTCTGTGACCTGCGTCCTGCGTCATGAAATAAAATAGTGGTGGGTACTTCGCGTATTCCCGTGTCAGTCATATCAATGTTGCCGGATTGTGCTGATTTTCTTCAACTTGAGGAGGAAAGTACTTCAATGATCTTGAATTGATAGGATAACCCAAAAAGAAGAAAATAGCATTTTCATCAATTCACATGGAAGTGAAAAGAGACCATTCTTTGAAAATGAACCTTTACTCTAGAAAATAATGTTGTCATTACTATTTCTCAACAGTAAATGCCTCCACAGTACTTTTTTCAGGAAGGAAGGAAAATATCCTTCCTGCATAAAAAAGGACACTACTTTTTTTAATCCATCCAACCTTAATCGGCCTAAATGAACCTCCTTCCTAAAAATTATATGTTTCGGAAAATAAATTGAGCAAACTGAATTGAAAAAAGCCAACCGCCGCAGGCATTAAACCCGGATCGCCGACGTGAGATTCAAACTCACAGTCAACTACGCCACGAGAGAGTAGCTGTGGTAGTGTAAAGAAAGAATTCAGTTGCTGTACCCACACTTGCCGCGCTGATATTTGTTACCTGCTGTCTCTATTGACGCTAGTATTGAAACGAAGAAACGATAACTAGCAACGCTGCACTCCCCCACCATTCTAAAATGTATGGCAAGTATACTCCCCAGACGCTACCGCAGGACGCTACTGGATACTGGATCACTGACCTGTCAACAAGGTCATGTCAATTGTTACGTCATCGATCATGGTCAAACGTTCGCATTCTATGTGAAAAAAACCGCATTGATATCAAATAATGTAGGTCGTAATATATTGAATAATAATTAATCGATTCATTTACAAATGGTTGAATGAAGAACTGAGTAGAGATGAAAGATGAATTATTTACGTTGTACTGCACCGTCGGTGTACATATAAACGAACAGACTTTTCGTGTTCACAGCGGTTGGCGACATTGAATTCAATAGCTGTCATTTGTCTACCGTCAACAATGTCATTTCTATATCCGTCTCACTCTTTGGCACAGAGAAACACAAATAATCTGAATCTCTTCTTTGCTCTTTAGCCATTTTGTAACTTAAGACAAAAATCACCTCTCTGAAAGGTATTTCAGTTTTATTATTGCCATCCAGTTTTGTTTTCAAGTGGACGATGGGTTCAAGAACTCTCAATAAAACAAAGTTCATTTGCCAGTGGTTATATCTTGGAAATGTAGTTTATGTCAAAAATTTCGGTATCAAAAACACATGCAATGCTCTCGCTAGGCGGTTTCCTATGCACCCTAATGTTCTGGACAGGAATAATTAATTACTTTATTTATTGTAAGCTACTTTGCTCGAGAAGCAATGCATTTGTTATCGAAATTTTCGCTGACTCATTCTGTTTATAAAATATGATGATTTCACACCAAGGTTTCGCAAACAATTCATTCTGATCATTGTGATGTCCTTCTTGGCAGTCTGATTACTCCCTAACAATAACATTTTGCTAGTGGTTCAATGAACAAGTTCATATCTAAAACATGTTTTTAGGCACAAGAACATGCCAGAAATGACTGAAGTAGACAAACCAGTTGTGGCAGAAGCCAAACCAGAACAGAGTGAATCTTCCACAGACAGCGATTCAGACGAGGAAATTCCTGAATTGGAAGATGCTGGAACAGCTAATGCTGCATCTGCAGCTTTTCCTGGAGCAACTGCAGCAGGATTGCCTATTGACATGGTCTCCAAAGCAAAACAGTCCAGAGGAGAGAAGAAAGCCAGGAAAATTATGTCTAAACTTGGACTGAAACCTGTAAGTACATTTTATATTCCATCAATTTATTTTTCCTTGTAATAAATCAATGAATTGCAGTTTACTGAATGATAACCTACTTGTCATTTGTAGAACTTTGAAAGTTTAGTTCCTATCTATAGCACTTAGAATAGTATTGGAGTATGAAAATGTATATACTGCTCACTTGTCCTCAACCTATACTTTTTTCTTGCCTGCTGACCATTCAGTTATATATGTATAATGAATAGTATAGGAGTATGAAAGTGTATAGACAGATTGCTGACCAGTCCCCAATGTATACTTTTTGTATAGACTACCAACCATCCAGTATACATTATTTCTGTATAAAACCAGTCTGCTACCTATACTTTTTCTCTAGACTATCCAAGATGGTTACTAGCACTGTGGATATACATGGGAATGTCAATCTTGTAGTCCAGTGTTCAAACTCCACATGGAACATGGAATAGTTTGTTTTTTCATCACATTTTTGTTTCACTAATCAGTTAGTCTATTTGGGTTGTGTGTACATCACTTTTTCTATATATTTCTCTAATCTAGTTTTTCCTTCCTCCATTGTGGTCATAAGATTTTTTTGATCAGTTTTTGTTTCATTTTTTTTTTCAAATCATGTTTTTTCTTTCTTCAAGTTGATGATTTCTTGAAAATAGTTTAATCAAGTTTAGTACTGGTCAACAGTCTACTGGTTGGAATCCTAAACAAATGAATAGTCTGCTGATCAGTTGACAACCCAAAATAAAGCATAGATTGCCAACTGTTGGCATTCTATACACTTCCATCAATATAGTATATTAGATAGGAAAAATACAATCATTATATTATTCCAGAAGGAAATTGAAATATATGAAATTCATTGAATCAAATAAAAATATCTTGAGTAAAGTAATGGGTTGATATTTCTTCAAATTAATTCTATGTTTTTCTGCTTCCTTCATATTCACAACTCATTTGGTTGACAGTTATATGAAATTGTGCTACTTTGAAATTTCAATTGACTCCCAAAAATTTTAATTTTCAACTCATTTGGTTGAGAGTTATTATATGAAATTGTGCTACTTTAAAATATTGATTGACTCCCAGAAATTTTAATTTTCAACCCATTTGAATGAGAGTTATTATATAAAATTGTGCTACTTTGAAATATCAATTGACTCCCAAAAATTTAAATCTGATGTTTCAATGACTTTTCCAGAAAATGTATGAACCAACTGAATGATGAGATTATATTGAAACCAACTTGAGTGAATCTTTTGGTTTGTATAGATTAACACTTGGTTCTAATTCTAATAAGATAATGTAAATCAAAAGTACCCGTCACCATTCACCATTTTGTTCTTCAGTGGCTTCAAATGTGAAATATTTGCTCCAAAATATATTGAATATTGTAAAATTTCAAATTAAATAGGAAAATCACGTTTTTAGGCATCTAACAGGATCACCATTGTGATTTTTCTATAGAAAACTGCAAATTGGATGAAGTTTTTAAACAATCTATTAGTATAATTTCATGTTAACTAATATGAGACTGATTAATAGCAATTTTACACAGGTTTGAAAGTAGGTAGGTATTTATTTTTCAATAATATGTCATTATCATTTTTCTTTTTATTAATTATAATAATTTGAATTTGAAAAGCTTCAATAATAAGTAATAAAATTGAAAACAATTGCAAAATTTCCAGTTCAGCTAGAATTGAGAGAGAAAAAAATCACTTCCCTGTCCTTGTCTTCAGTGTTCCAACAGACATTTTATGTTGGCAACCCTGGAAGTGAGAAGAAATGGAGAAGATGATTTTATCCTTTTTTTTTATATTTAGGTTAATATGATCTTCTCCATTTTTTTCCCATTTCCAGTGTAATAACTTTGAAGAGACTAGGACAGATGGGGGAAGACATTTTTTTCTCTCTCAATGCTAGCTGACCTGCTCCATTGTATTTGAAAAGTGTAACTTGTAATTCAGAAACTATTAGGTTGTAGTTCATTTCAAATTTGTAGATTGTAATTCAGAAATATGTTCTTTTGGAAACTATCAAGGACTTGAATAAGAGTATATCCTCGAGTATATCAATATTCTGCTCAAGAAAAATGAGTCATTTTTCTCCAACACCCATACCTTCAACATGTAGTCAAAGATTTCTTTTCCAAATGGTACTTTGTTTTAGACCATATTGTTTCAGGTGGGTCAACATTAACCCGCATAGTTCATCACTAAAACATTCAAGTAATGTCAAATTTCTAGGTCTTATAATAGACAGATAGAAAATATCGGCACCTACAGGAGTGTTGAGGAGACTGAATTATATTTTTCCAAGGAAATTCTTATTCACATTTACAGTATCTCACTATAATTTGGGCTACATCATTTAACAATCAATTAAAACCCCTTGAAGTACTCCAGAATAAAGCTATTAAGAACTTGTACTGATAGGATAAGATAACTGTTTTCACACTAGAAGTCTGTATCAAGTTTTTAACATTATCGCTATAAAGAAAATATTCATATATCAAAACAACATTTTTATTCATCAATTACTAAATAAATCTAGACATTCAAATATCATGATCAAATACAGGCATGATATACACACATACACATACAACACAAGAAATCACTCTCAAATAGAACTGCCAACTATCAAAACATGAAAGGGAATGAGTTTCATATACTATCAGGGCATGAAATATTAGAATAATATACCAGAATATCTTGAGCATCTACCACTCAACCAATTTGAATCTGAGATGAAAAACATCTTCAAGAAACGGAAGGACGGGGAAATTAAATTATATATGAACATAAGACTCATGCTTCCTTGTTTTTGTTTTCAGTGACACACAGTATACAGGTATAAGACGGGTTATATAGTTATGTATTTTTTGTTATATTAATTTTCAAATAAATCAAAATCAAATTATATGTAATTTATGTCATGTATACGACAATGTATCAGTTAGTAGAGTACTGCGTCCCTTCATGAACTTGTACTAGTTTTTTGGAATTCATAAATTAATAAAGAAAAAAAAAACATTAGGGTGTTTGTACCCATACAAAGGAACATACAATTTGTTCGTAGTTTCTGAATTTCAGTTGATACTTTTGAATAACCAGTAATACTTTCTGAATTACAATTGACACTTTCTAAATTACAATTGACCATTCTGTAATTCAAGATACAGTTACAGAAATAATAATTTGAAAAACATATGTTTTCTGAATCACAATTGACAATTCTGAATTTCAAATTATACTTTCTGAAATATATCTTATGAGGGCGCATCAGTCAAAACTGCCATGCAGAGGTCAGTTTGATACCAAATCATTAATAAACTATAAGTGTAAGCGCAAAAGTGGTTGGTACATATTAAAGACGAAGGTTGAGAATAGGATATGAAGGAATTTTCCAGCGAAATTCGATTTGTGTAAAAAAATATATGGTAATGAAAAACAATAACATTGACAACGTTTGTGTAACAGAATCGAATAAAAACCTGGCATACCCTAAGTTAGCAATTCAATAAATTTTTGATGAAATAATCAGCTTCTGGAACATTGTCGTTTGGGAATGTATTGTTCGTAAAATTAATTCTGACGTTTCTGCATCTATTTTCAATATCGCCATATTGTTAGCGAGGTTTCGACAGTGGCAGAGTAGTTCAGCTATTGTCTTTCAGAGGGCTACACAGTGAAACTACCGTGCTGCGCTCCTTCAAGAACCAATACAAACATTACAGTTCTCTTTCTATTAATTTCTTCTTTCTGGGTCTGGGGAACAGTGTTGCCAATAGAGCGCTTTTCAACTTCGTTTTGCGTCATTGCGATTTTTTGTAAGTAATTGCGCTTTTTTTTCTTTTTATAGTCTATCGAGTGTATTGCATAACTGACTCTGTTGATTGATAATATATATTAATCTAATATATAAAATTCTCCTGTCCCTGTCACGGTGTTTGACGCCGAACTCCTCCGAACGGCTTGGCCGATTCTTATGAAGATTTTTGTGCATATTCGGTAGGTCTGAGAATCAGTCGTAAACGATTTTTCAAATTGAAAATTCAAGATGGCGGATATCCAATATGGCGGACGAGTTTTGTAATCCGATTCTATTTAAAATTGGCATCTGAGGGTTTTCTGGATCGGATATTATGATTTCTTCGTCAAGATGAGGAGATTCAGAATGGCGGATACAATATATGGCAGACGAGTTGTTCAAATATAATCCGATTCTGTTCAAAATTGGTATCTAGGGGGTTTTCGGAGTCGGAGATAACAATTATTTCTTCAAAATTTGGAAATCCAAGATGGCGGATCCAACATGGCGGACAAGTTTCGAAATTATAGACCAATTGTTTTCAAAATTGGTATCTGGGATTTTCGGGTCACAGATTCAGAATCTTTAGTCAAAATTGGGAAATTCAAGATGGCGGTTTCAATATGGCGGACGAGTTTTGTAATTATCGACCAATTCTATTCAAAATTGGTGTTTGGGGGGTCGGAGATTATGATCATTTGGTCAAAATTGAGAAATTCTCATATCCCATATCTCATTCGTAACGTAACCACCACTTTTCTTCCAATTTATAGAAAATAGTTTTGATTATCTTGAATTCCCATTCAAAAAACTGGTGTTGAAGTAAGTATACATAATCCACTCATGACAGGTAATATTCATAATTAAAAATTAGTGTAGGCATAAACAAAATATTGTCTTTTGTGATAGGCCCATATGCAACTCAAAAGATTATTTTTCATGAAAGCAAGTAATCAATCCTTTCCTCCTTTTCTCATTTGCTAAGAATTAGAAATCTGGTGCTACTTAGTTTCAACCAGTGACCAGTGATGCCAGGTCTAAGGAAATGTCATGAACATGAACGATTGACCCCTACTGATATATACAAAAACATCAGTGTTATAATATAAAATAGCAGAACGCTGGCAGCACTGCAACTGGCGGAGCGGGCGGTGTCGCTGTATCAGGCAGTGTGTGTGATTCCCCGAACGATTCCAACTGGAAAAATCGATAAGTGACCAGTGTAGCCAGCATGGGCGATTTCTCGACAATTGGGCTATCTCTGAACCTATTTTGGCGACCAAAAATTGAACTTGGCGACAGGCGACTTATTGAGACGACTTGATGGGCTTCTGGGAGTGAGATGAGTATCGCGAGTCCAAATTCAATGGCTTTGTGGCTTCACCATCCAAGTAGATTCGAGTCATCCGCACAGAGCGACATCCATTTGACGTTAGCAGGTGTTTTGTTTATATTATGTTTCTACACTCTACACTCTACAGTATCATTCATAAAGTTGGCATCATATGGGAAAAATTTTTGATAAAAATATATCATAAACATCTAATCTATTTTCATTCAAAAACGCACAGAGAAAACATGTCAACAAAAACTTCAAAATCTCCGGGAAGTTCAAATGATTATAAGAACCAAAGGTACAATATGATACGTATAACTTCTTCATTCTCTGGCCACAGAAGTCTGAAATAAAAAGAGAAAATCCCTTTCAACGAAAACCTATATAGATCCGGATCCAATATGCAAATTAGATCCGCCATCTTCAATTTCCTAATTTTGTCAAAAGATTCATAAACTCCGATACCGAAAACCCCCAAATACCAATTTTGAATAGAATAGGGTTATAATTACGAAACTCTACCATATTGGATCCGTCATCTTCATTTTTCTGATTTTGACAAAAGAATCATATTCCCCGATGCCGAAAACCCTCAGATACCTACGAATTTTGAAAATAATCGGATCATGAACAAAACTCGTCCGCCATATTGGATCCGATATCTTTATTTTTTAAATGTCGACAAAAGAATCATAAACTCCGATACCGAAAACCCCCAAATACCAATTTTAAATAGAATAGGATTTTTTTTTTCGCTTGGAGCGCACGATAGGGAAACCCTATAATGTTCAAAGAAATGTTCAAAGAACATCGTGCGTTCCTAGAGAGGATAGGGATAGGAGGTAGGTAGTGGAATTTTTTTATAATTACAAAACTCTACCATATTGGATCCGTCATCTTTATTTTTCTGATTTTGACAAAAGAATCATATTCTCCGATACCAAAAACCCCCAGATACCGATTTTGAAAATATTCGGATCACAAGTACAAAACTCGTCCGCCATATTGGATACACCATATTTTATTTCCTTATTCTGACGAAAGTATCATTATTTTCAATCCCGAAAACCACCTGATACAGAGATTTTGAATAGAATCGGATCATAATTAGAAAACTCGTCCGCCTTATTGGATCCGCCACCTTGAGTTTCCAATTAAAAAAATAGTTTACGATCGATTATCAGACCTACCAAAAATGCACAAAAATTTTCATAAGAATCGGTCAAGCCGTTTCGGAGGAGTCTGGCCACAAACACTGTGACAGAGAATCAATAATATATGTTAGATATAAACTATCGTATGACTTCCATTCTATGGTGAGGTCATCACAGGATGGGAATGCTAGGTGGTAAATATAATAATGTGAAATATATCATTCCACTTATGAATTTCTACTACTACTAATTTGGCGACGTACTCTGATTAAATACTGGCAACACTGTAGGTGACTTTGTACCTGTTCCCTTAGTACAGCCACAAACATTATTCAGAGACATCTATTGATGAGGTTCCCTATTGATTGAATTGAATGTATCTAAAGGATTCTGTAGGAATAATTCATGAAACTATAATTATGGCGCCACTAGACGGCTGTGATATATTTATAGTTTCACTGGTGTCTGTGGGCGAACTATTTCACTGTGATGCGCGCCCTTATATTATGTCCGAATGAGGGCTACCATTTTCAGTCTTACCAGTTGGTGCTACTTTGAATGTTGGGTCAATGTCAGTCAAAAATCCCAAAATTTTGCTGCATAGTCTTGAAGGCTGTGGTCTGTTTTACCGAAATTTTTTGAAAACAATTATGTTCGTTATTTGAACAGATACAAATCCTCAAGTTATGGAAAGACTTGGGCACACTTACGTTTTTCATTCTCAATGCGGAACTTAACAAAGAAGATTTGCGGTCGTCAAGGTCATTATATGACGTTGGGATGCCATTAAAAACTACGGGAAAACATATCTAGAGCGGGATTTATAGATTGAAGCGCAGCCGCTGCCGCTGAGGTTGCAGCCACCGAAGCAGTTCTGGAGAAATGAGTCAATTTATACTTAATTCCTGGGGCCAGCTGTTTTTCTCCATCAATAGATTTTTGTTATTTTTATCTTTCTAATTGTATAGTTGGGGAGAGCTCTGTACCAAATTTAGGAATACTCATATCAATGTTCTCCACACATTCACTAACGGGAAACCAAATTTCAATAAAAATATAACAACCTTTTGACTAGTAAATTTTTTGACACAGAAACACAGAACTGGAAATGTCAGCTTCAAGATCATCTTATTTTATGTCATTCGTTCGTTGGCAGCGGCGGCTTCGGCGATTCTATAAATGTATACATGTTTACCTACGGCTACTACAGAAAATAGGCGAGAACACACAAGATAATAGCTCTTTACGCACAGTAAGCACATCGCACAGTTTTCATTTATTCCGCCAGTCCTCATAGTGGAAGGAGAAGATGGTGTGCTCAACAGAAAGCTCAAACTCGTCTTGTTCTGCGCATGACGTCAGCTGGGATATAACTGTCATTGTTATTATTTGTTTTCATGATTGATTTCTCGAATTTCAGACATTATATAAGTACTAAAATTGAATGAAATAATTTCGAAATGCCTACTTGTTTCGTTTCTGGTTATGGAAATTCCAACTAACATACAAAAGGCACATATATATTGAATTTTTCTGCTTTTCCAAGAATGGAGACCTAATGAAACGATGGGAGCTTGCTGCCAATAGAATATAAACTCAAATTATGGTACCTACCTTTTATTCCTTGTATCCTCATTCCAAAGTATTCACCTATCATATTATCATCACATTCATATTACAGCACGTATTTCTTCAAAACATTTCCATGCAAAATGTTCCCAAACAAGTGAGAAAGTAGGTACAGTTCTTGAATTTACACCTCCAAAAAATCACAAATATTTGAAACAAGATGCCATTCCTACAGATCATCTTCCGAATATCAAGTCAGAAATAATTGAAAATGAATTCAAAACTCCTAATTTCTCACAAAATATAAATTGCAGCAAAGATTTGAATAGCAAAACGGCAAAAATGTATACTCTTGTTGTCGATGTCGGAGCAGAAGCAACGTCAACGTCGTTAACTGCTGAATTTTAATCTGTCAGAATCGACACAGTATTGGCAATGCACAATAATTCGTACGTATTTGCTATTTGCGATTGCGAATTACCTCAAGATCACAATTTCCAGATTCAATGAAATAGTAAAATCAAAGGAATAGGTACCTGTTTATATAAATTGAATTATTTCTAAACAGATCGAGAAACATAGAAATTTCAATGAACATGATTGAATTCATTGCGCACGCCCATGGCAACGGTATCTGTCTGTGACTAGCAGCTGATATTGGTATCCCAGATGACGTCACACTATGGCCAGTCATGATCGCGTAATCGCCGTCAACAGCGGATGACATAACTGTCAAGAATTTTAATTCAGACTGTTTGTCCAAACTTTTCTGGTGTACTATATGGCAGAAGGTACGCTACTGAAACGTGAGATCAGCGTCAATAGAACTAATAAGATATACTTCCTTTTTTCCTGTCATTTGGCCTCTTCTTATGTGAGTCTGCGCGAGTCTCTTCATGACTTGAGATTTTCTATCTGTTCCTCGATTTGTTCAAATATTCTACATCGTATTTTCCGAATATACTCGAAAAACAAGCCACAGACTTTTGAACTATCCGACAAAGTTTTGGGATTTTTGACTTTGACATTGATCTCAAGTTTTAGTAACGCTCACTGGTGAGATTGAAAATATTAGCGCTCATTGAAGAAGGTCTAGGTAGACTACTTTATAGTATTCAACGTTTGATTAGTGAAAATATTAGCGCTCTTTAAAAAAGGTCTAGGTAGAGTATAGTTTATCCAAAAACAATTGCAGAATCTTGTGCCGCACCTGCAGTCACTTCAAAGAAAACTTCAAACACGCCGACGCCGCACAGTGCGGGATATTCTGCAATTGATATTGGATATACTTTACCTTATAGTATTCAACGTTTCGGTTTGATGAGTAGTTCACTTGTTCTTTGTGGTCAAATGAATGATGATTCCTCTCACCAAAGTTTCGCAAACAAAATACCGTCTGATGATAATCGTGACATCATCCTTGGCAGTCTGACATCATAAAAAAATCCGTCGCTTCTACCTGAAACCCACAAATTCTACCTTCCTAACCTAGTTTTTTTCCCGCTAATTTTTTCCAGGTGCAGGGGTGAACAGGGTGACCATACGCAAATCGAAGAACATCCTGTTCAATTAGTGAAAATATTAGCGCTCATTAAAAAAGGTCTAGGTAGAGTACCTTATAGTATTCAACGTTTCGGTTTAATGAGCAGTTCACTTGTTCTTTGTGGTCAAATGAATGATAATTGCTCTCACCAAGGTTTCGCAAAAAAATACCGTCTGATGATAATCGTGACGTCATCCTTGGCAGTCTGACACCATAAAAAAACCGCCGCTTCGACCTGAAACGCACAACTTCCACCTTCCTAACCTAAATTTTGTCCCGCTAATTCCTTTCAGGTGCAGGGAGTGAACAGGGTGACCATACGCCAATAGAAGAACATCCTGTTCAATTAGTGAAAATATTAGCGCTCATTGAAATCGGTCTAGGTATAGTTCTTTATAGTATTCAACGTTTCGGTTTAATGAGAAATGAATGATGATTCCTCTCACCAAGGTTTCGCAAACAAAATACCGTCTGATGATAATCGTGACGTCATCCTTGGCAGTCTGACAACACAAAAAAATCCGTCGCTTCGACCTGAAACTTCCACCTTCCTAACCTAATTCTTTTCCCGCTAATTCTTTCCAGGTGCAGGGAGTGAACAGGGTGACCATACGCAAATCGAAGAACATCCTGTTCGTGATCAACAAGCCCGACGTGTACAAGAACCCCGTCAGCGACACGTACATCGTGTTCGGCGAGGCGAAGATCGAAGATTTGTCGCAGCAGGCGCAAGTCGCCGCCGCCGAGAAGTTCAAGGAGGTGAATCCGGCGGGCGAAAGCGCCGCAGGCACCACCACGACGTCGGTGGCGCCCATAGCCGAGGAGTCTGAGGACGAGGAGGTGAGAGAATTGGATGGGTCATGTTGTTCATTTGTTAATTTTCATTTATTCGTTCATTCATACATTCATTCATTCGTTCATGTATACATTCATTTATTCGTTCATTTATACATCTGAAAGTCTATGAAAGTTTTTTGAAATTATTAGCAGTCACCAGAAGTCAATGGAAGTCTTGAAAAATCATTGTAACTCACAAATTTTTCGTGAAGATTTACCCAAATTCAGTCATTTATTTATTAATTCATTCACATTCATTTATTCATTCATTTATTTATTCAGTCATTTATTCATTCATTCATTTATTCTTTCTTTTATTCATTTATTTATTCATTCATTTATTCATTCATTTATTCATTCATTTATTCATTCATTTATTCATTCATTTATTCATTCATTTATTCATTCAATTATTCATTCATTTATTCGTTCATTTATTCATTCATTCATTTATTCATTCATTTATTCATTTATACATTCATTTATACATTCATTTATTCGTTCAGTTATTTATTCATTCATTTTATCATGAAGGGAACATCCTCTTGTGAGTCCAGTGTACACTTCATTTTAATGATGAGACGTCGTTGAAAGTATGTGTTAGTCACTAAAGATTTTTTTAAGTCACTGAAAGTCGTCTTGGAAAGCCGGGGTGCACTTCATTTGAAGTCATAAGGCGACACTAAAAGTCATTGAAAGATCATTTATGTAATCATTTATTCTTTCATTTATTAATTTGTTCATTCATTTTTTCACGAAATATAATTGAATGAAGAGACGTCATAGAATTATTTTCAAGTCACAGAAAGTCTCTGGTGGTTATTGGAAATCATTAGAGTCAGTGTGGAAGTCGGTGGAAGTCTGCTAGTCATTGGAAGATTTTCTAAATCACTGGATGTCATTGGAATTGCCTGAAGGTTTATGAAAGTTTTTTGAAATCATTAGAAGTCATAAGAAGTCGTTAGAAGTCTTCGTGAAGATTTACCCACGTTCATTCATTTATTCATTCATTTTTTCACGAGGGGTAAATCTCTAAAGTTCGGTGTGCACTTACTTGGAAGGTAAGTCACTGGAAGTGTCTGGTAGTCATCGGAAGTCTTTTTGTGGTAATTGAATGACACTGGAAATTTTTGAAAGTATCTGGAAGTCATTATTAGAAGTCACGGGAAGACATTGGAAGTTATTAAAAGTGTTGAGTAGTAACTGAAAGTGGTAGTAATTGGAAGTCATTATCATGAATCATTGGAAGCCACTGGAATTCATTTGTAGTCATTATTCATTGAAAGTCTATATTTTTCGGTGATATTGACCCTCGTTTTTCTATTCAATTGTGGATTCGTTCATTTAATTATTCATTTTTTCACGAGGGGAATATCTCCTTTTGTAAGTCCAGTATTCAGTTCATTTGAAGTGATGACACGTCATTGAAAGTATTTGTAAGTCACTAAATGTCTGTGTAAGCCACTTAGTCTTTTGCAACTGGAAATCATTGGAGTCACTGAAAGTCTTTGCTAGTCATTGGAAGTTATTGAAAATCTATGAGAGTTTTTTGAAATCATGAAAAGTCACTGGAAGGCTGATGTACAATTTTTTTGTGTGGATATTTGCCCTCGTATTTTCAATATTTATTTATTTATTCATTGTTTCACAAGGGGTAAGTCTCCTTGAAAGTCCAGTGTACATACACTTCATTGGATGTAACTGTAAGTCACTGAAAGTCTTTGGTAGTCATCGGAAAAATGTATAACGGGGTTTTCTGAAGTTGAGAAATAGGATTCTCCAATTCAAGATGGCACCTCAAAAATGGCGGACAAGTTTGTCTTTTCTCGTCCAAATTGACTGAAAATTCATATCAGAGGTGTTATATGTCTTTTTTCTGAGCTTGAAAAATACGAATTTCCAGGTCTTTTTCCTGAGCTTGAGAAATACGAATTTCCAGTCAGAATTTGAAAATTCAAGATGACGGACTAGTTCGTAAATTCTCTTCCGATTAGACTCAAAATTTATATGGTGTTTTTTTGGGCTTGAGGAAAATGAATTAACAGTCGAAATTTAAGATGGTACCTCAAGGAAGGAAAAGTTCGTAGTTTCTCATCCGAATCAATTGAAAGTTTACATAAAATGTTTCTTGAGGTTGAGAAACTGGAATTTTCAGTCAAAATCTCAAAATTTAAGATGGCGCCCAGTCCGATTTGACTTGAAATTCATAACGGGCGTATTTTAGGTTTGAATAATGGTAATTTCGCCTCTAACATGGCGGACAAGTTTGTCATTTCTCCTGTGTCTTCACCGAACATTTTCATCGGGAGGGGGGGGTGAGAAATATGAGGTCAATGATTCAAGATGGCGGACACATTTTTGTTATTTGTTGTGCGATTTCACTGTGCAACATTTTTCTGATATTCAGCTATTCAACCTAGTCTTCTTTTCTATTTCAAATAATATTCTGGGAAAGGTGAATTTGTGAATTTGATGAAATAATATGATGAAAATGAATTCCTTCATTTTTTTTAGGTGGACGATTCGGGTGTGGAAGATAAGGACGTGGAGCTGGTGATGTCTCAGGCGAACGTCAGTCGAGTGAAGGCCATAAAGGCGCTCAAGAATAACCAGAATGATATCGTGAATGCGATCATGGAGCTTACTATGTAGGATCTCCTATAGTTGGATCGCGTTTTTTTTTCTTTTCTCTCATCTTTTTATTCATTAAACTGTCTTCAATTGCTGTCATTGGGAATGAATCGATAAGACTCCAGTGTAAATAATTAAAATTAAGTCATTAGTAGTCTCCTATTTGTGTTTTTATTTGTTACACCCTGTATTGATACCTGTGTATAAGTTGATGGACATATTTGGAAAAAAGTTGGGAGGGTGGGAAATGAAAACAAAACTCCTGATTTTGGAATATTTATTGTAGAGCAATAACGCTTCAAAAATATTCCTGTCTCTTTCCGAAACACGTCCTTTAGTACACATATTCCATATGTGTACTAAAGGAGCACTTCAACTCTCTTGATTTCTTCAAGGTACTTGATCATCAATTTCATATCGAAGGTACCACAAGGAAAAAAATAATGTCAGAAATTTCAACTTTCTTTTTTTTTTTTTTTTTTTTCATCTCAAGGAGCTGTGTTTCTAACCCACAGTACAGCATACCCTAAAAACCCTGTATACTAAATTTGAAGGCCTAAATGAGAGTTCTTTCTTATATGGTCAACGTTGATTTTTTGAGAGTGAAAAAGAAGCAACACCTTTGAACTTTTTGAAGAATCTAAAGTTTGTCTTTATCTCGATTAATTTCCGAAAAATTCGCGTTCACAAACTGAAAAAATTGTCGGAAATGTATGAATCAAAACAGAAATTCATTAATTCTCACATCGACCTCTAGTCAATTGAGGTACTAGATCCAGTCATTTCATTTCTGAGGTATCTCAAGTCAAGAAAATTGGGTCAAAAATTGCAACTTTTCCTATTGAAGCGATCCAAAATTTACAAAAAAGTCTAAGATCACTGGAATGGTGATAAGGAATTTTCATTTTCGTAAGCAATATCCGCCAAAAATTCAGTTTTCTTGACATCTATCTCTAGTCAATTGAGATACTAGATGGAGTTGTTTTTTCTCGATCTTTTTTATTAAAGGTACCGCAAGGAAAGAAGCTGCGATCAAAAATTGAAAAAAGAATTCTAAGATCGCTGAAATGGTGAAAAAGAATTTTTATTTTCGTAAGCAATATACGTGATTCAATTCAGTTCCACCAAGAATTCAGTAGTTTTCATGTTATCTATCTTAGTCAATTGAGGTACTAAATCGAGTGTTTTTTTATTGAAGGTACCACAAGAAAAAGAAAAGCAGATGAAAATTGCAACTTTTTTCCTATTGAAGCTAGCGAGCTGTGCTTCTACTCCGCACTAGAGCATCCATTAGCATCACTGCATACCAAATTTGAAGGCACTATGACAAAGTTGATTTTTAGGTCTGAAAAAGAAACAAGTTAACCCCTTTGAACTTTTTTCATCCAACTCGAGGCGTCAGAATAGGTTGAAAACCTACTTATAGAGCGTTCTCGATGTGCTGAACATGAATCTGAAGTCGGTTTGTTGTTATCTCACTTGATTCCCGAGATATTCTGGATCAAAAATTGAAAAAATTGTCTCGAAGATCGCCTGAATGATGGCAAAAAAATAATTTTCATGACCAAAATATTATGTGAATTGATTCTGTTCCGCCATGAATTCAGTAGTTTCCATGCCGTCTATCTCCATTCACAGATTAACAAACTCTAGTCAATTGAGGTACTAGATCGAGTTTTCTTGTCGAAGGTACCGCAACAAGAGAAAAGCAGATGAAAAATTGCAACTTTTTTCCTATTAAAGCAAGAGAGCTGTGCTTCTACTCCGCACTAGGGCATTCCTCAAAATCTATGCATACCAAATTTGAAGGCACTATGACAAAGTTGATTTTTAGGTCCGAAAAAGAAACAAGGTTAACCCCTTTGAACTTTTTTCATCCAACTCGAGCCGTCAGAATAGCTTGAAAACCTGCTTATAAAGCGTTCTCGATGTGCTGAACAAGAATCTGAAGTCGGTTTGTTGTTATCTCACTTGATTCCCGAGATATTCTGGATCAAAAATTGAAAAAAATTATCTCAAAGATCGCCTAAATGTTGGCAAAACAAATTTTTTTCATGGGCAAAAGATGTGATTCAATTCAGTTCCGCCAAGAATTCACTAATTCATTAGTTTTCATGACATCTATCTCTATAGTCAATTGAGGCACTAGATCGAGTGGTTTTTATTGAAGGTACCGCAAGGAAAGAGAAGCAGATGAAAAAGTGCAACTTTTTTCCTATCACAGCTAGAGAGTTCTGCTTCTACTCCGCACTAGAGCATCTCTCAACATCCCTGCATACCAAATTTGAAGGCACTATGACAAAGTTGATTTTTAGGTCTGAAAAAGAAACAAGGTTAACCCCTTTGAACTTTTTTCATCCAACTCGAGCCGTCAGAATAGCTTGAAAACCTGCTTATAAAGCGTTCTCGTTGTGCTGAACATGAATCTGAAGTCGGTTTGTTGTTATCTCACTTAAGTCCCGAGATATTCGGTATCAAAAATTGAAAAAAAATATCTCAAAGATCGCCTAAATGATGGCAAAAAAAATTTTTTTCATGGGCCAAATATGTGATTCAATTGAGTTCCGCCAAAAATTCAGTAGTTTTCATGACATATCTATCTCTATAGTCAATTGAGGCACTAGATCGAGTGGTTTTTATTGAAGGTACCGCAAGGAAAGAGAAGCAGATGAAAAAGTGCAACTTTTTTCCTATCACAGCTAGAGAGTTCTGCTTCTACTCCGCACTAGAGCATCTCTCAACATCCCTGCATACCAAATTTGAAGGCACTATGACAAAGTTGATTTTTAGGTCTGAAAAAGAAACAAGGTTAACCCCTTTGAACTTTTTTCATCCAACTTGAGGCGTCAGAATAGGGTGAAAACCTGCATATAGGGTGTTTTCGATGTGCTGAACAAGAATCTGTAGTCGGTTTATTGTTATCTCACTTAATTCCCGAGATATTCTGGATCAAAAATTGGAAAAATTGTCTCGAAGATCGCCTGAATCATGGCAAAAAAATAATTTTCATGAGCAAAATATGTGAATTAATTCTGTTCCGCCATGAATTAATTCAGTAGTTTCCATGCCGTCTATCTCCATTCACAGATTGACAAACTCTAGTCAATTGAGGTACCAGATCGAGTTTTTTTTATCGAAGGTACCGCAAGGAAAGAGAAGCAGATGAAAAAGTGCAACTTTTTTCCTATTACAGCTAGAGAGTTCTGCTTCTACTCCGCACTAGAGCATCCCTTATTAACATCCCTGCATACCAAATTTGAAGGCACTATGACAAAGTTGATTTTTAGGTCCGAAAAAGAAACAAGGTTAACCCCTTTGAACCTTTTTCATCCAACTCGAGGCGTCAGAATAGGGTGAAAACCTGCTTATAAGGTGTTTTCGATGTGCTGAACAAGAATCTGAAGTCGGTTTATTGTTATCTCACTTAATTCCCGGGATATTCGGGATCAAAAAATTGAAAAAAATTATCTCAAAGATCGCCTATAAATGATGGCAAACAATTTTTTTCATGGGCAAAATATGTGATTCAATTCAGTTCCGACAAGAATTCAGTAGTTTTCATGACATCTATCTCTATAGTCAATTGAGGCACTAGATCGAATGTTTTTTATTGAAGGTACCGCAAGAAAATAGAAGCAGATGAAAAAGTGCAACTTTTTTCCTATTACAGCTAGAGAGTTCTGCTTCTACTCCGCACTAGAGCATCCATTAACATCCCTGCATACCAAATTTGAAGGCACTATGACAAAGTTGATTTTTAGGTCTGAAAAAGAAACAAGGTTAACCCCTTTGAACTTTTTTCATCCAACTCGAGGCGTCAGAATAGGGTGAAAACCTGTTTATAGGTCGTTTTCGATGTGCTGAACAAGAATCTGGAGTCGGTTTATTGTTATCTCACCTAATTCTCGAGATATTCCGGATCAAAAAATTGAAAAAAATTATCTCATAGATCGGCTATAAATGATGGCAACAAAATTTTTTTCATGGGCAAAATATGTGATTCAATTCAGTTCCACCAAGAATTCAGTAGTTTTCATGTTATCTATCTCTAGTCAATTGAGTTACTAGATCGAGTGTTTTTTTATTGAAGGTACCACAAGGAAAAGAAAAGCAGATGAAAATTGCAACTTTTTTCCTATTGAAGCTAGCGAGCTGTGCTTCTACTCCGCACTAGGGCATTCATTAACATCACTGCATACCAAATTTGAAGGCACTATGACAAAGTTGATTTTTAGGTCTGAAAAAGAAACAAGGTTAACCCCTTTGAACTTTTTTCATCCAACTCGAGGCGTCAGAATAGGGTGAAAACCTGCTTATAGGGTGTTCTCGTTGTGCTGAACATGAATCTGAAGTCGGTTTGTTGTTATCTCACTTAAGTCCCGAGATATTCGGTATCAAAAATTGAAAAAAATTATCTCAGATCGCCTAAATGATGGCAAAAAAATTTTTTTTAATGGGCTAAATATGTGATTCAATTCAGTTCCGCCAAGAATTCAGTAGTTTTCATGACATCTATCTCTATAGTCAATTGAGGCACTAGATCGAGTGGTTTTTATTGAAGGTACCGCAAGGAAAGAGAAGCAGATGAAAAAGTGCAACTTTTTTCCTATCACAGCTATAGAGAGTTCTGCTTCTACTCCGCACTAGGGCATCTCTCAACATCCCTGCATACCAAATTTGAAGGCACTATGACAAAGTTGATTTTTAGGTCTGAAAAAGAAACAAGGTTAACCCCTTTGAACTTTTTTCATCCAACTCGAGCCGTCAGAATAGCTTGAAAACCTGCTTATAAAGCGTTCTCGTTGTGCTGAACATGAATCTGAAGTCGGTTTGTTGTTATCTCACTTAAGTCCCGAGATATTCGGTATCAAAAATTGAAAAAAAATATCTCAAAGATCGCCTAAATGATGGCAAAAAAAATTTTTTTCATGGGCCAAATATGTGATTCAATTGAGTTCCGCCAAAAATTCAGTAGTTTTCATGACATATCTATCTCTATAGTCAATTGAGGCACTAGATCGAGTGGTTTTTATTGAAGGTACCGCAAGGAAAGAGAAGCAGATGAAAAAGTGCAACTTTTTTCCTATCACAGCTAGAGAGTTCTGCTTCTACTCCGCACTAGAGCATCTCTCAACATCCCTGCATACCAAATTTGAAGGCACTATGACAAAGTTGATTTTTAGGTCTGAAAAAGAAACAAGGTTAACCCCTTTGAACT